TGGTTTGATGGTGAATGCAGTCGATTCTATGCCGACCTCACTGGACCTAAGAGACACAGCAACTTCCTTGGTTGCAGCAAGGCCTTATCAGCAGTTCTCAGGCACAACAAAAAGGCTTGTCTCTTTAGTCCAAGTGGAAGCATGAACATTTCAGATTTGTTCGACCAGTTGGAAGGTAACAATCCAAAACGTCATGGTTTATCAGGAGCGCAGTGTGCAGCTCTTTTGCTATGCAACAATAAGCAGAGATTCTTTGTTGAAATCTACATGCAGTGGGAATGGTATCCATACAGTGCAGCAGCAACATCCCTTTCGATGTTCGACTGGGATGTTTGCAAGGACACTCCAATCAGGCAAGTAATCCTTACACCGTGCACCACTCACTGACATATGATGAAGCAATGTGCTCGGGTTGGATTTTTCATGTCACTGATCATTCAAATGCAGCCTCGATTCAACAAACTGGCCTTATGACTGATGTGAAGGGTACTGGTAAAGGTGCCAGAGATGCAATTCACTTCATGTACCACAATGACAACGGTCAGGGTTATATCAGGATGGCTGAAGGCACAACTCCACCACGTCATTACAGGTATCCAGTATACTTTGTGTTGGATCCAAAGTTCATTGAGAGCCAGCAGCTATTCCTTACCAAGAACGGGGTGGTCTATATTTCGGTGACATTCCAGCTCAATTCATGCATCTTCAAGAACAACTACCAACACTGGCATGCAATGTCCTGAGACCTGGAAGAGGACACATGTTGCCACCTTGAGTGACTGGTGGAACTTGGCCAGCTGATGTTAGCTATGGTCGTGTTCGAAGTGAGAAGGGTGTTGGTTTTGTACCTGGAGGAGAAATTCCCACAAATATCAGGACCACAGCAGGGCACTTCATGGGCCAAGAGATCCCTCAGAACTATGGGAAGCTTGTCTTTGGTTTTCCTTTGGCATCAGAGGTTGATTTTGATCCAGCTCAAGAATCAGTTCATGGTTTGTTGGCAGAAGGCTCTCAAGAGAGAGAGGAATCTGCACAAGATAATCAACCTATGGCAGAAGGCTCTCAAGAGAGAGAGGAATCTGCACAAGATAATCAACCTATGCAAAACCCATATGAACAGCCATCAAGACGTGCAGGAAGCTCTCTTCAGAGAGAGGAACCTGTCGATCAGTGGGAACAACAACGTTCATCCTCAGGAAGTTCAGAACCTCCAGAAGAACAAGTTGAAGTGCCTCCTGATGATCAACCAGAACAAGAAGCAACACCAACACATGTACAAGGAGATCCACAAGAAGATGAACCCATGGGTGAAGAAGTTGTCAATCTCTGGGAAGCAGAAGATCCACCAGATGAGGACTTTATAGTTGAACATATGACACGTTCTTCTATTTCTGCATCAAATCCCTGGGTTTGTATGAGGCCGGCATTGTTTGTTCTCGAAATGAAGATGGACAGATTGAAAAGAACTCTTCAGGTGAGAAAGGTTGTTGTCCTTCGAGAATGGGGAAAATTGCTTGGACCTCAGAGAGTTGCTTTGAGAAGGCAGTCCATTGGACATGCTGACTGGGAGAAGCTACCATGGACAGGACATCTTTGCTATCTCTCATGGGAGATTGGTCGACTTCGTGCACACTATCACAAGGAAAGGAATTTTGAAGGAGTGAGACTCCTACTCGAGCAATGTAGATATTATTGGACAGACTGGTTGAGAGGACAACGTGAGCCATTAGGTTGGGACGATCGGTTTGACATTGATCGAGATCAATGGCATGAACACTTGCTTCTGTATGAACGTGATCTGATGATTCAAGCAGACCTGGAATGGTTAGTAGAAGCTGTGTTTACTTTCTACAGAAAGCATCTCGACAAATTGATCAGAGAGAATGACAGAATGTGGGGAGATTTTTGCAAGAAGAAGTATGATGATGATGGAAATGAGATTGGACTGGAATTGAACACTTTTGGATACGATCTGAGAAATCCAAATGTTGAAGTTCCCATGAACAAGAAGACCGTGATTCCAGATCCAGAAAAGCACTTCTCGTGGCAGTTGAGTTGTACCAACAAGAAGCTCCACGAGATTTCTGTCACTACACAACCTTTGCTTACCGAAAGCTCAAACAGTTTGTGATGATAGAAAAGAAATGACAGCTCAATCCTGTCGATTCTTTGTTGAGCATGCCTACAGTCAATTCTTCCAACATGAAGCATTTCATCAATCTGCACGAGCAAGGACAAAGGCAAAAGACTTGAATGCAGGTGATTTCCACACATCTACAAAACTTCATGGATATGTTTGACAAACCACAATACAACAATTATTTCACCAATGTCATCAAGAACCTCGGGGCACATCTTTTCATGAATTGCGAGGCTGGTAGTCTTTATCCCTACAGGGAGCGTCTAGAAGAGGCGAGACCCACTACCTGCTTCAATGATTATCATGATTTGATGGTTGCTGCTCGGATTGATAAGGAAGGATATATCCGACAAATTGCTGCATACAACACATCAGAGGATGACGCGCGCATCCGCGCGCATCCGGTGTCTATCTTGGGCAATCTTTGAAGTCTCTTGGGAAAGACAAAACATCGTGATACACAAGAACTAGAAGATCTCTCAAGAGCAAGGATGAAGATGACACGTGTTTGTGTATATCACGTTGGACAGAAGCATGTGGGAGATTCTCCCGGTATCACTGGTGAATGTATTGCGCGCATGGCCTTTGAGTGCACCCGTTATCAGGTTGATGTGATTGCAGGCGATGGAAACAAGGCATGCTACTGCTCTACATCAAATCGCCAGGCGTTCCCACATACGAAACCAGCCTTTTACAATACTGGATCAACAAGATGATGAATGTTGCAACGCAGGCAGGGAACAAGCATTTTGGAGTTTGTCCACCCGTCAGGGTCAAACGCTTCATTTCTTGCAGTTATCGAGACCTTGGCTTTCTTGCAACACATCTGGATGGCATTACAACTGAAAAGTACACCACAGAACTTGCGAACATGACTCATGGTTATGGTGACTGCTGTAGGATGTCTATTGTTGAGTGGGGACATGCAAGTTTGGAGTCTTGGGAGGATATGAACCAGTTTGATGACCAAGATCACATGGATTACACTGGTGAATTTTCCTTCAGGGTCAATGAAACTTGTTTATCCAGTGATCACAACATCTTCATGGTCGCACCTACAGACAATGATGCTCACAACCCTATGCTTGTTCACTTGAAACCTTCTGATATGCTTTGGAGGGAAAGACACAACTACATTCCTTTCGAGATGAAACGAAGACGCAAGGAAAAGAGAAAGCAACACAAAAGGCGAACAAGATGAAAGGTTGGGAAGAAAGTGAAGAGAGCACTTGGCAAGACTGGCAACATGGCTATGGTGGATCCTCAGCTTCATCGTCCAGACCATCCAGAACATGGAGACCAAAGTGAGTGTATACTTCTTCAGGTGAAGATAGCACAGCCTGAGAGAAGCCGTGTGCAGTTTTTCTGTGCGCTAACTTTTTTCAAAAGAGTATCTACAGTACTCAATTCAGTTTGAGATAATACTGAAAACAAGATTTCATTTTACACAAGATGACATAAACTCACTCAGATTGAGATAATGCCACTACTGTGTCTGAATTTCAGTTTAATGTAGATAGATATTATTCCTGTAGATAGAGATACTATTTGCATTTTGTCTCCATAAACCTTCCGCCAGCAGAACAGCTCCGAATGGAGCGAATCAACATTTTACCAACTCCGAATTTTGTCCATCGTCCGCTTGAATGAGCGACTTTGGAGATCCGCTACATCCGTTTATTTTGTGTTTCGGTCAACTGTTTTCCATCTGACCAAAGATTTCTGAATCTTGCGAATCAAACTTTCAAATTCGAACATTTTCACACCGGTAGAGCATTTTGCTTGGAACGACCGTGCATTTTGCACCATGTCGAGAAAAATAATTCGTGCGAATCCGCTGCTTTCATTTCGACATGTCCCTATAAGGACACTGTTCGCTTTTTCAACCCGCTACTTTTGTTGAGACACCACTGCGTGACCTCCGCTCAGTTTTTGCCGATTTGCCCCACAATAGCCATTGTGTAGAGAGAACAGGAAGATACTCTTAATACCGACTGAGTACGACAAGGCGTAGTGCTCTACTCATTGCTTTTGAATTTGTGCCTGCGTTTTTGTTTCGACCTGATGCCTGCGTGGGTACATGCATGAGATTGATCACATTTATATGCGCCCTTCAAGGCCCAAGAGGTATACACAGAGTAACCCTGCAGACACCACACCGACTGGCAATACGCCGTGAACAAAAGGGTGTGACGCTGTCTTGGGAAGACGCTCTAGCTGATCTATACTAGACGCTAGTGCCCCTCTTCACCAACCCCCTCAACCCCCCGAACCCCAGAAATATGCAAACATGTACAAAAACGCCAAGGGCGGCGTGTGCCTCCGACTAGATAAGTAACGTAGCATGAGCAATGTCAAAAAACAAGTAACGCGGCATGAAAAATGTCAAAAAACACAAAAAACCACACGGCCAAATAAAGGTCGTGCTCCAACTACAAGCACAACGACAACTACAACTACAACATTACAACTTCAACAGCATCAACTACATTACAACTACAACTACAACTACAGCTACAACTACAACTACACCACAACAACATATACAACTACAATTACATTGCGCTTCGCTACCCCATAATACATCCTGCAGTTGTGGGTGATCTGACCACTGCAACCACTCCAACAATCACAACCACTTTTCGGTCCATCAGCGGATTCGCCGTGCCATCCATGCATTACAGCAACTCACCTCTCCTATATTTCCGCCACCGCCTTGTGCGGTACTACTGGTAAAGTGTAACGACAAAGGTTGTGGATTCTTTTGAACCAAACCTGAGACCGTCGCCAATCATCAAGCTTGAGACAGTGCCGGCTTGAATGCACTTTGGTATTCTTGAATGTGTTTGGAACTGCCTAGGCTGAAAACACCGGAAGGTGCCTACACTCATCCGGAGGTCTGCCAGGGCGCGTGGCGCGTGGTGTCATCATAGCTCCTGGTGGAGGTGTGCCTTTTACCTCTTAGGGTACCATGTTATTTGCAGTTTAAGGAGATTAGCAAACCACGAAATCCAGCTCTCGATCCTTGGGGGGGTCTTTGTGTAGCGCCTAGAACATGTGTTGCTTTCGAAGTTTCCTTTTCCATCCCTGTCCTATGTGGATGCTTTGTACAGCCAGATCCACACAAAGAAAGATGTGATGCTGAAGATGGGCGAACTCATCCCCAAGTCCGGGCAACTCAGAAAGGCAAATCCAAGCAGCACATCTTCAATCTGCTGGAGAATCTTGGGTGGTTAGGTCCTCCAGACCATTCAAGATCCAATGGTGTTTCCAGCTGAGGCTGAAGGGTCGTGCAAATGGACCACCTGGGCCCGAACCAAGCTCAGATTTGGAAAATGTTTGCAGTTTTTGCCTGCCTCATGATAGCATCATATCACGTAACAATTCAAAATCTCATACATAGATTATGAATAGATTAAAAACAATTTCTAGATGAACGGTTCAAACATATTAATTAGCATTAGCCACATCTTATATATATTTATATACAATATTATGTAACGATGTAATAGTTTAAAATTATTTCAAAAATTGCACGCACACACACACACACACTCAAAAATTGCTCGCACACACACACAGACATCTATCTATCAATCTATCAATCTATCAATCTATCAATCTATCAATCAATCTATCTACCTGCCTACCTACCTACCTAATCCATGCATCCATCCATCCACCCATCCACCCATCCGTCCATCCATCCATCCATTCAGCCATCCATCCATCCATCCATCCATCCATCCATCCATCTGTATATCTATCTCTATTTTTCTATCTTTCTATCTTTCTGTCTTTCTGTCTTTCTTTATATCTATCTTTCTTTCCTATCTATTTATATGAACATATATTATTATCATATATATATATCCATATATATATATCTATATATATATATATATATCTATACATATATATATATATACATATTACATCTTAGAACAATGATTTCTTTGGTGATTGTCCCTGCGGCAAGGCAATCCCTGGCCTCGGCGTCGGCCCCACCGGTGCGGCTGCTTCCTCGGCCAGCAGTAAAGATGCCAAAAAGGAGGCACTTTTCGACGTGGCACACCATTAGTTTCACTGTTAGATTGATGAATGACCCATGAATGACCCATGAATGATAAGTTTGTCGGAAAAACACACACACACACCACTACTCCAACATTATTCCAAACCCAGCAGTTTTTATCATGAACGTAACATTTTTTTTGCGGAATACCTCATTTATGGACACAGCATGACACAATCTGATGTTATTGATCTCTTAAAACTGTTTCTTTCATGTCTGAGAGTGTCACCAAGAATCTGGACACATGAACCTACAAACATACAAACTTGCCATGTTGAGTATTTGGACATATTTGCAACATTTTGCTTTGGGAGGTTGTGATCGACTTGGGATCAATAAAAGTATCCATTTTTTGGTCGCGACAATGTGCTTTCAGGCAAAGAAAGAAGAAAAGAAGGCGAGGCGAAATGGTCCCATAATTTGTCCCTTCTCACGGAGGGGGTCCAGTTGTTCACACGAATTATAAAAAGACACATGGTGAAAAATGCAGACACCAATGGCATGTGAGATGAGTGTTTTCCCAACACCAAAGATGATGATGAGTCCTTGCACATTTATGCACGTATATAAGTATGTCATTGCTGGCTGCTGGCCTGAACCCCCTTGAGCGGAAGATCTTCTGAAAATTGACTATCTGTTCCTGTAGGCATTCAAAGGAGCATTTGAGGAACTGAGGATGAAACTTGTTCCTTCGATTTTTAAGCCTTTCATCTTTATCCGCAGGCAAACAAGAAGAAGAAATAATGTTGAAAGATAAAAAGTGGCGCGAAATCCGCTTCGTTGTTTAACCAGTTGCCTTGCTTGATGCTCAGAAGAGATATTAGCCGGGAATGGCCGCTCATGCTATGCATAGAACCGCTCTTTGAAAGCTTTACTGAAAATATGGCCTACATAGATTTGCAAGAGAACCGATGTGAATTCACTTCCCATGACCTATTGCAGATGAGTACAAAACAGTGTGCATTTTTCGATCAAACCAGCTCATTGTTTAAATTCATGAAATGAGTTTGAATCACCTCTGTGCGATCGCAGCTGGATCAAAACGAAGTGGCCGGTCCTCCTGCCGGCGCCAATGCGCGTCATGCTGCGTCCGGACCCCTCTGATCTCTGGCACGCGTTGTGATTGGAGAACCAGACCGGCTACTCCGTATTCCTTGTTTGCAATTGCACGGGATTTTGTTCAGAGTTTCGGGATATGACATGCCAAATCATGCCAATGTAATATCCCCAGTACTGGTACCAGAATTTGGTTTCTGAGTGGCGCCCCCGCTATATCCACTGCACTGCTCACATCGCAAGGCTGGGCGCTGTGCCTCGCTTTTGCCGAGGCGGACCGGTCCAGATGTGGCAGGGATGCTGGATGAAGGTTGCTGGAGTTTCTGGAACATGCATCGAACAGGCTGTCGAACATGATGACAACATGATAGAATCATATATATATATAACATGTATTAATTAATAATTTATATAGATAGATAGATAGATAGATAGATAGGTAGGTAGGTAGGTAGGTAGATAGATAGATAGATAGACAGATTATAATAGAATGATGAAATGATGAAATGATGAAATGATGAAATGAAGGGTGATCTCCCAGGCCAGGACCTTCCGCCAGGCAGTGGAGCTGAAGTGGGAGCCATGGGAGACCACCACCACGATCTCCACGGTGCCACCCATTCCACTGCAGGTCTGGTACCTCCCACGGTGCAAAAATGGGGACGAACTGTCAATGAATGTCAAATATGTCAATGAATGTCAATGATAATTCATCAAATGTCACTGTGATACAATGTGATAAACGAAATGTGACACGGATGTGATACAGCCAAATGTACAATGTCACGCTGTAATGTTAGTAAATACCCCTAGTTCTGTCGCTCGTCCAGGGCGCGATTGTCGATCCAAATCCTCTAACGGAGGTTTTTCAACGCGTTTTTTTTCCCAACGTGTTTTCCTGTCAGTGGGGACCAAGCATGCACTGAACCAAACACTGAGCGTTTGCAACACGAGTTTGCTGGGTGGTTGGAATTATGTAACCTAAAATCTTCATTCTGTTTTGAAAGATCAGTGCCATTCAGGAATGGTGGGGCCTAAAGTTTGAATCTCAGCTGACAGCCAGGTTCTGCCTATGACTCCCAAGGACAGGGCCGAGAACATAAGTATGACAAGTCTTCCAAGTGGGTGCCACAAGTGGATATAGATCCGTCCATGTTCGATGTGGAGTCCTTGAGTGGGCACAGTAGGGGTCATGCAAAGGAGTTTGCTGAGCCAGCTGCAGAACTGTCTGAAGTTGCAGCAGGAGGGGCGGGAAAAAGAGTTGGGTGTGGCAAGTTGGGTGTGGCAACAGGGCAAATCCTGGGCCACAGAGTGGTTTCCCTGGAAAGCATCGTTACATGTTCTGGTTCACCTCCTCAGACTGGGCCAATGCTGATGCCAGCATTGCCGCTGAGCAGCTACGCCGTGGCCCCGGATTTTTTGCGATGTCAATCTAAGCCTCTCTGGTTGCGAAATATTGCGAATGTGCTTTTACTGAAGGACAGTGATTTGAGAAATGATGAGAAATGCGTTGGCAGTGAAAGATAGACCATATAAGACCAAAGAATGTCAAAGAAGCCCAAACCATCCGTTCGCATTGAAAGGAGCTGTTGACTCGATGGAATCAGCTTCAGGTGCCGCCAAGGCGGGGCGTCGAGCCTATGAAGCTGAGATCGAGGTGGAGCGGTTGAATCTTTGGACGCCGGTGGTCACCGGTGGTGATCGGTGATGTATTACGTGATGTATGGTGGTGGCTGAATCATCTGAATACTTATCAGATTTATCAGTACCTATCAATACTTATAAGATCTTATAAGATCTTATAAGTAATTATCAGTACTTTTACACAGCATCTTTCAAGTTTCTTTGATAGTTTCTCTGTGGGATGCCACTGGTGATGCCCCTTCTGGATATTTTTGTGCCAGGCCTTGAAGGCGCAAGTAGCGGCTGCAAAAGGTGGAGATGGTTTGAAGGAGAAAGTTGAGAAGGCACGGGCCATCACGGGCCTCATTGAAATCACGGGGTGCATTCAAGGCACTGTAGGAATGCTTGAGATTTGGAGTCTGTGGCTCCGCCCTGCTCTGCATTGGCGCCATAGTTTTTGTTGACATTCCCCGCCACGAAATTCGGAAACAAACAACGGAGTAGGGTGGGTTGGGCGTTGAGGTCCAGAAGCTGAGAGCTAAGACCATGGAGGCGTCGGAAGAACTGTTTTTGTGGATGCCAATTGTGGTTGCTGCAGTTTCCTGTCTTTTTGTTGATATCCTTGGTCCTTAAGCACGCAGCATTCCCATCAACGCGAATCAAAACACTGAGAGCATGGTGCAGGCATCCCGAATAACAGGCCAACTAGCTTTGAGCTCAGTCTCTGTGACCAACACGAGTCTCCAACCTTTGCATGTAGAAACTGTAGTCATAAGCTGCTTTTCTGTAGTTTACGTTAGGATTGTCTTATGATTAAGGGTAAGGAAATGTAAGGAACATTCGTCTCGTTGAACACTCTTTCCAGCACTTCACATTTCCTGAGTTTCGCTCAGCAAGGTGGCCCAAATCCCTGCAGCCATCGAGCGCGGGGTGTGAGGAATCTTAGACATTCACAAGGTCGACTGGGCCACTGTTGTCTTGGTGTTTTGGCAATACTTCCTTGAATTTTGTACATTTACTTGTATTTGGAAACCATTAGTAGTTGATTTTGCAAATTCCTCCTTCGCAAACGATGGTGCCACCTTGGGCCAATCTTGCGGACTCTAAGGCAGCGGGGTGTTGACGAGGTAGCGACTGAAGCTCTCAAGAAGCTTGAGGAGAGCAAGGCACAATCACCACATTGGTATCAGCCATCAGGACTACTTGGATATCTTCGGATGGGAATGTCAAACACTTTCAATAATATCAAATTCGGCTATATTCGGTTATATGGATGGATCATGGATCTTTTTGTTTACCCCTTAAGGTATTACTTTGAACCGTTTTGAACCTGTCCCTGCAGCTAGTGCTGAGCTGCGCCGTGCCATGATAAGAGGAGCAAAGGGTATTTTGTCGCTATGTTTCAAGCCTTCTCTGCAGGCAGCCTTGGCCAAGCAATCGTCCAAGCAGGAGGCCGTAAATTTCAGCCTGGCTCCTTCTGTGAAACATGATCAGGCAAAGCAGAGACACACGAAGAAATTTCAGAAGCTGGAGTCTCTGAGTGATTTCCCCAATTTGAACATATTTGAACAGAGGTAGAGGGAGAGAGAGAGGGAGAGCCAAAAAGATCATGGTTGTAGTCTATGAAGATGCCGCCTCTTGCTAGGAGTCTGCAGCTGCAGCTCCAGGTGGGCAATGACTCACAAACCACAAGTTTTGACGACCGATTCGTATCTGATTTGGATGATACTTTAGATGATGTTGCAACATGAATTAACATGAATTAACATGATACAACTATATACAACTCATTGAGGTACTGATTTAGGTACTGATTTAGACGATGATTTGGATGTGGCTTGTGGTAAAGTGCTGCTGGGGATTGAACATGGTTGAACTGGCGCGCCGTCGCCGAGGCGCCGCTCCTCCGGCGCCAGCACCAGCTCCAGCGGCAGACACGGAGAGGGCTCGATGCCTTGGCGTTTTCGTGGATTTTGAAGGCAGTTTCGAGATGTTTCAATGATCTTTCAGTGTTTGCAAAAATTTGCAAACATATTTTTCTGGAAACTCTTGATAGCACACCTCTTGGCGCAAGTTGGAAGACAATTTTGAAACTTCACCCAGGTTGCCACTGTGCGGAGCTATTCGGACGCGGCTCAGAGACTGGCACGCCAGTCTAACATGATGAAGTCCCTCTCTCAGGGCCTCAAAGTGGCAAGAAATGAAGACATATTATGTTTTTTGTTTTTTTTCAGACATGAGTCGTGTACAGGAACTTTCAGTCTTGTAGCAAGTCGTAACGGAGTGTGTTGTCAAGCTCCAACTCTTGGCCTTGAGAAGTGTCATGAAGTTTCCTATGTCTCAGCATTCTTCCCTTTGCTTAGAGGGTAGACTCCGAGCCAACTGCCTAGGCAGCGTGCCATTGACCTCGGAAACCAGGCCCAAGCCGACGTCCAGCATGATTCAGTATGCTGAAACATCATCAAACATCTAGCAATGTGATGCAATGATATTCCCAACAGCGAATCTGTTGGGTTTCAATCTCGGGGCCGACTGGTGACACGAAAATGCACACCCCGAAAAACCGGAACAGTCCTGCAACCTTGCTGGGACCTTTCGCTGTTGGGTTGCAAAGCTGGGCTAATGCAATGTGGGTGGCTGATGGTTGATCGAATTGAAGCTCTCCACTACTCTTTGGGTTTTGCACAAAGCCGCCATCTTACACCTGGTGCACCAAGAAAAGGAAGCATCTCCATCCATCTCCAACATGGGGGATCACCGCAAATCCCTTTTGGATTCGTTCAATGACACCTGCGTGGCCTGCGTGCTTGGAGGCTCTGGAGTGGTCAGAATCTCGGAATTTTCTGTCATGTTGTGCTGATACTTCCAAGACTTGGTCCTGTCTTTTCATGTGGCCTGCCTCCTCCGGGCCAAAATTTTGGGGAAAGAGGGAAAAAAAATAAGCGGACAGTTTGATACTTGATTGGGCATGTTTGGGCCTCACTTAAATTAAGATAATTAAGGCAAGCCAGAGAAAACAACTTGGCGAAGGTGCGTTAGTAGTTGGAATTTGCTCTTCTGGTTCTGAGAGCAAATGAGCTTCGTATTGGCCAGCCAAAGACACTTTTTTGCATCTTTTTGCATCTTTTTGCATCTTTTCGCTAGCATTTTCTAGCCAAGTCTCACGACATCTCACTCTGACGGAAACCGTCAGCATCTACCCATTGGTCCAAGTCGTCCTGCCGACACCAGGCGCAGGAGTTGCAGCTCGCAGCCAACGAATTGATGGGGAAAGCAGAGCCTATGGGTCTGGCACTCCGACTCCGTGGACTCCGTGGACCACGTTTGAAAGATTTCTTTGTTTCAAAGTTGTTCAAAGTTTCAAATTGTTGTTCAACTTTAGACTTTAGACATCTTTAGACATCTTTAGACATCTTTAGACATCTTTAGACATCTTTAGACCTTTTGAAAAAACTTAAACCTTACATCCTTTCATTGGACGAGGGTGAGAGAGACATGTATAGCGAATCTCCTTGCCACACTTTCTTTGACTTCTTCCACTTCCAGGCAAGGAGGCTAGCATCTACCAGGATGTGGCCCAGCTCATGAGCAAGGAAACGTAGTGATTGCAGTGATTGCAGTGATTGCAGTGCCATTTGCTGGGCATTGCCGGTAAGTTTCAAAGCCTGCCATGAAGGAAGCTGGTGCCATGAAAGACCTTGGCTTCGAGGTGTGGCATAGCCTGTCAGGACTCTCCGCTGATCCCAACCTATCCCAACAGTGGCCCGTTTTCAAATCTTTTCAAATATTTTCAAATTATGAACGTGAAGATTTGGGGAGTTGAAGCATGTTGAAGCGATAATATACGTTAGGAACCGTTAGGGACTGAAGAGACGTGGCCAGGCAAGCCCACCAGTCTTCATTGCTGCGGCTGCCCCCTCACCAGCGTGCCTTGTCGTTACGAATGTGTGGTGACCTTTGTTTCTGGATAGCTTGGGTACTTCTACTGCAGATCTTGATTGCAAATTTCAAGTATATGTTGATGTTATATCATTGTTTAACCCCACCAGACTATTGCATCCCGTCTCCCTGAGCAAGATGGGCATGGCATGTTTCCATCTTGATATGTGTTTGCTTCCAAATGCGGAGCTATTGTCCCAATTTATGCAATCCAAATTACATATATATTTTGCAGTATGAATATTTATTATAGTTGGGGACTATGATCCCAAACATTACGATAGATGCAGCAGTGTAGTATGAATTCTGCCGTAATTATCACCATTTTGATGATGATGATGATGATGACGATGATGTTTTTGTTTTCCCATTCAGGGCCATGGCAGCTTCTCCAGCGCCTGCGCCAGCGCTGGCCTAGGCCTAGGCTGGGGTATCATCGGAGTTGGCAATTCTTTTGAGGCAACAACATGGGATATCAATGGATCCAGTGGATGAAACACATGGTAATTTCAATTTACTGTAATTTATTTCATTTTATTTCTAGAATGGAAAGTTGCAGTCCTGTCGGTCCGGCCCGGAACAAACTAGGGCCTTGCCTGCGGGGAATTCCTGAATGGCCAGCACCCCCTGAAATTGCCTGGTACCCATTTTAACGTCAACGCATGAAGCATTTTGATGCATTTTGAAGGTGGTTCATGCCTTACCTGCTCCAATCTGCAGATTATGCGATTGGAAAAGAAGCCGTGTGGCCTGTCATGTGAGTGGCTCGACTCGTTCAAGATTTGGGGTGTGGTTGAAAGGCGAAGGAACTCATGATTAGCTTTGCTTCTTATGCGCAACCAGTGGAGGAACTTCACAGTGTTTGAATGCGCTAGTTGGAAATATGTATGATATTCATATGCTCATACCTGCATCTCAATGACCCAGCTTCGGTTGCGGAGCTTTTCTTGTAAGATTTGGTTGGAGAGAATTATTTTGCAACAGCTTGTGCTCAGCAATCAGGACCAGCATCGACACCACTTGCTGAAAGTCACCAGCCACATTTCTGATCACGAAGACTCTTCTAATCTCTGTCATTAAACTCCAGGATGGAATTGCACGAGTTTTCAACTGCGGTTCCCATTGCGCCGTTTGGCCACATTCTCCCCGGAAGCTCTCAAGCCTGAAAGGTAGGCAAGAGACCAACCCATGAACCACAGAATATCGTCACAAAGTCGTGTCGAACAGGTCAGTGACTGCAGAACCCTTTTGTCAAGTAGGCCAGAACCAGTATTTTGCTATTGCTGGAATGTCTATCCATGCGCAACAATGGGGGTCAGTTGCTGGTTACAAAGACCTTTTCAAGTCTTGAGATCCTATAGCGGTCGAATGATAGGGACACTGATCCCATCCCTTGCCTCCTTCGCAGTTTTCCGGGCCAATATTTTCCAAGCATGGGAAAGAAAGCGGCCGCGAAGAAAGGGGGCAAGGCCTCGCAGGGATGTTGCAGAGCCGAAGCGAAAAACCATGAAAAACCCGACCCCCCAGGTGGAAAGGAAGTTCCTACAGATCTTGACATGAGATTCAAGAACAGCATACAAGAAGAGAGAGAGAGAGAGAGGCAGGTTCAGGAGCACAAGTTCAGGTTGTGAAAATGGTCCAGATACCTCACACAACATGGTTCACATAAACGTAACCAATCCATATGCAGATTATGCAGGATCTCTAGCCGCTAGCCGCTAGCCTTAATCTGAAATTTGCCTTTGATGGGGGCTCTGATGCTGTGCAAGACGTTGGATCTCACAACTGTTCCCCTCTTGTCATTGCCGACACTTCCCAGCTGGGCGCAGGAAATTGTTTTCTGCACCACCAGTGTCAAGGGCAAGAAGGCTTGGCTCAGCAGGGTCTTATTGAACTGAGGTCCTGTCAAATGTCGCATTAGTTTGACAGATGAGATGCCGCCCTGGATGCTCTAGGTCCCCTTTCTTCACATTTTCTTGAAATTCTTCTCAAGCAAACTCGAGGACACAGAGCGTGAAGCCGAAGAGCAAAAGGCTGCTGCAGAAGCAGCTAAACAGGCACATGAGTGTGGCTATGTTTTCCGGCTGCAAATTGAAACTTCTATGATCTTTCATGCCTCCGTGAGCTAAACTTCATTTGGACCTCGCATCGTACTCAAGCTGCTTCCGCCACAGGTCTTGGTTTGACTTCTGGTAGAAACTGCAAATTGCACCATAATTTATGCATGTGTGCATAGAGAGATGAATGAATGATCAGTTGATTGATGAATGATGCAAATCAATGCAAATTCATCAATGTTTGAATTCAACGGTCCTGACAAGAAGTTCTGCAGGCCGAGGAAGAAGCGGCTGCAGCTGCAGCTGCAGCTGCTGCCGCGGCAGAGACACCCAGCCAGCAGCCGGACGGGGAGGAGCTGGGTCTGGTTCGGGCATGGTACTGATTTGGGACTTCAACGGCATCTTCAGCAGGTGCCTCGCGAACTCTCAAGCTTTGAAAATCCGGTGTGGCTGGGTCTTCGAGGTGATTTGGAAGGAATATTCTCACGATCCTGTACTAGCAGTACAAGTATGGTGGTTTATCTTTTAGCGGCAGTAGAGATATTGGAGATATTGGATTTCTGTGTGATTATGTCATGAATTGATGGTTATAGTCAGTTATAGTCATATATAATATATATATATATATTGTACATATATGGCACAGACTCAGCACACCAGGAATCTCTCCGTGAGGAGCTGGAGGAATGGGAACGCCTTGACCTTTCAGACACAGCAGACACGACCTCTCCTGCCTCGCCGGAGCGTACAGAAGTGCCAGACGAGGAGGAGGAAGAGCAGGCGCCACGGGGGAGCTGTTTAGCTGCGATTCTGGGTCCATTTACATCCTGAATGCATCTGAATGCATTTGAATGCATCTGAATGCATACTTGAGATTATCTTGGAGTTCATTTTTCAACGTCGAGCGTTCCCACTTCCCAGTCAGCTCCCTATCACGGCCAGGATTGGGATCAGCTGGTAGACTCTCGGCTGAAGGATGAATTGCAAAAGCTTGACAGGACGGGCTGCAGCCATTGGGAGTGGATTTACCGAGTGAAGTTTCATGTGCACACCAGCACTGTTGGGACTTCAGACATGCTTTCCCAGACAAATCTCCGTTACATCATGGAGTGCTGCCGGATATTGCCGGATGCTCACGCTCAACCAGACGATGTGTCAAGTGACATGAGCCACTGACTTCAAGCTTTATAGCAGCTTGTCCTGCCAGGAGGGTGAATCCCGCCGACGTCGTTGTGCAACTCGAGAGAAAAGGCTGGCAACCCCTCTGCCGCTGCCAGTCGCCGGCTGTCGATGATGTGTGATCTGCATGAGCAGCGCCTCTTCAGATCTCTGTGCATACCCCTCAACCTTAGACTGCTGATGTGCACACGCATAATAAATCACAATAATATATAATTCAATATATAATAATATAACATAATATAACATAATATAACATAATATAACATAATATAACATAATATAACATAATATAATGATCACTGCTTAGTGAGCATTACTGCCACGATCTGCCACGACTTCGCGGCCGCTAATGTCGCACGATACAACGTTGTTGATATGTGAGCCGACCAGTGACAGTCTGTTTCGAGGCGGATATTCCCCTGCGGGAGTTGTAGTGCTGAACAAGGCGGCTGAGCAAAAAGCGGCCCAGCTGCAGAAGTCACGGCCCGGAAGGAAGCTGGGGATGTCCAAAAAGTTGGCTAGAACTGGCTGCAGCCACCAGATCCATCCAAATTCAAATATGTGATCTATATTGATCTATTAAATCTATTATATACGTATATATATATATATTATGTGTATATATATATATTATGTGTATAATGTAAATTATGTATATATATATATAAATTATGTATATATATATAAACTATGTTAAATTATGTATATATATACAAATTATGTATATGATATATTCTATATATATATTTATTATATGTATTATATATATATATATATGTATATTATTCGCACAACAACTCAGGTGGAGGCCGCTTTGGCGCCACTCAGAGATGAGGAAGGCTATTTGAAGCCTATCTTTCCCAAGCAGTGGCGTTTTAAGGTGCGGCAGTAGTGGGCCAGTGTTTCACTGGGTCACCCTGTTGAAGGCAAATGAAAAGGCAACAACCTATGTCGGACATCTGACCAAGTAACCACTTGCCGGCATCATGAGTTTTGAACCAAACCCAAACCTAGATTTGGCAGAGTTACCTCTTCAACATCTCCCTCTCTCTCTCTCTCTCGAAGCGAGTGATATCCCCAAACGCAATCAGAAGCAATAAGAGACTCAAACTGCAAAGTTTCAGGAAGGAACAAAGTGTTGGAGAGAACAGTGGTCCTGTCGCCTCGACTTCGACGTCACAGGGCAAACTCACCTGGGAGAGAGTGAACTCCATCTACGCCATCCTGGAGGTACTGTCTGCAGTGAACATGGTGGTACTGTATTTAATTTTATTGAATTTTCGTCAGGATACTGATAGAATGTGACAGAATGCTCTACACATTGTGGCTCCCTTTGGATCATGAAAACCTATGAAAACCATGATGTGTCTTTGAGAATCTTTGAAAACGTCATGAAAAAACCTATGAAAAAACCTATGAAAAAAAACAATAAAAAACATGATTTTTGGCGGCAGGCCTTGAACTTCAAAGGTGATCAAATCCGCTTGGCGATGGGTAAGACCGGCGGCTATGATGCTCGGGCTCCTTTAGAATGGTTGTTGGTGAATCTGCCAAAGAAGGAGCGACGACAGGTGATGACAGCTGCGAGGTCGTTCAATAGAATTTCAATAGCAAGATTTGACAAATGTTTGACAAAGGGATGAGAAGACTTGAGAAGCTCTGAACCTCCAGTCACTCCAGTCACTCCAGTCCTTTCGTTTATTCGGAAGTGCTTGCATTTCCGTGGCAGCTGCCAGGAGCTTCCAACATATTTTGGAGGTGAGTCCGTGGGTGATCTTCCAAAGGAAGAAGGACTGGGGGCATTCCACAGAGTGTCCACAACGTAGGGATCGTTTTTCACTGGTGCTACCGTCAAGTTTCTTTCATGTTGATCATTGTCTTGGTACGGGTCAGTAGTGGAACATGTTTTCTTTCAACATTTCCGTCTGCACCGTCTACACCCAAGCACTTCGTGCAAGCTTCTGATAGATCACACAGCTGTTTCCCCACTTCAGCCACAAATTTTAGGGATGAACGGATGAACATTATAAAGTTGTTAAAGTATGACAGTATGACATGGGCTGTAACTTCCAACATCACGGCATGTCACATCCACCAAGCGCTGTGTTTGGTGGTCGCAGGAGGTGTCATCCAAGCTGATGTGGTGGAAGGTCCTTTTGGCCCTGCACAGGTGGATGGTGTGGAGGACGGCTGGAGAATTGCCAGTGAGGATAGCCGTTCAACAAAAAACAAGAAGAACAAGATACCGTACCATTTGTGAAGATAGCCTTGGGGGGGTGGTCGCGTTCTATCAAAAGCCACAGTTTGATGACCTATGAGCTTCTGGATACCTTACAATACCTTATCTGCTGTGAGGAGCTAGACGACCCAAAGGGCGGTGGTGAGCCTGTCATGTTTATCTTCCAGGCGACAGGTGAAGGTTGGTTTCGCACCACCAAAGGTTGATCCTGAAAATGACAGGTGAGGTTTTTGAGACACCCAAAGAGGTTGAAACTAAGGAGGTGGCACCCAAAGAGGCGGGGAACACGCAAGTTGCTCACAATGTCTTCAGGTTTTGATTGTAACAAGAAAACCATGATGCAGAAACATGAACCGCTTGTCACTCGGAATATCTTGAATGGATGCAGCCTGGTGCTTTACGCAAGGTGGCACGGCCAGGATGCGATAAGGAAGCTGGCAAGGCCTGGTTTGGAATGGTTTGGTTTATCTACTGTCCAAAAGAAAACTGATCAGAGCCTATCACTTGACAGTTCTGTCTCGAAGAGTGGTGAGAATATGACCAGCAGTTCCTATCTGGAGCTTGCCCTGCACATGTCCGGAGAGTTCTTGCTGAGCTTGTTGATGTTCGACAAAAGCAATTATATAATTAGGAGATATGAGTGCGGTTTACAGGTAGAACATTACTTGATCAACATTGAATTGATAGCAAACACACACCCTTCAAGTTTGGATCAACACGGCTGGCTCTTTTGTTTGAGAGACTCCTCAGCCTCCTTGTTTGCCTGGTTGGGGGTATGGGTCTTCGTTTGTGCTGGCAAGGAGTTTGCTCGCAGATACATGGAGCAGTACGAGGTGCTCTTTGTGATGATTTTGAAATAGCAATGATTTAAGAATACTATTACTATCTATTACTATTATATATCATATATTATCATCCATTATCATCACTATTGCTCTTTACAATGTACTTTAATACTCAGTGCATCGGTTCAGATATTTTTGGTCAGGCTCTCATTGCGATGAAAGAACACATGACATAACATGAATGTCTAGTGATTGCGCGAAATGCTTTTCCCTCCTCTGTCCATCCAAAGACTGACAGCCATATATAAGCGATCGTAGATCTCTGGAAACCATTGACAGCGCGTAGATCTCTGGAACTTGTAGAACACGTCTGTTGACAGAGTTTGTGCAAAACCGATCCCAGCAGGATGATGATGACGCTCTGCTGAGCCCTGAAGAAATCCTGGAGGGAGAAAGAAAGAAGGATCCAACAGCAAGGCGTCGAGCAGCTATCTCAGATTCCATTCAAAAACGCTACTGGTGAGCTGACAAAGTCAACATCAACTTATCTTTGCCAGGTACATCAAAGTCTCCTTGCAGTTTGAAGAAACAAGCAAGATCTTGAAGGCGCATGTATGCTGGGAAACAAGTGAAGAAGCCACAGTCGACAAAGCTTCAGGTTGTACTGATTTGGGAGGAAGAAGCCAATCATACCTATCGTCGTGCTGATTAAATTCACTAGTGCCAACGCCCTCGATGTCTCTGAGTACATGGTCTGAAGCCAAAGTTCAAAGAGCCTGCAGAGTGCTTTGAGGCACTGAAGGAAAAGAGAAGGCATGGTGCTTTCAAGCCTCTTGGGCAGCAACGACGGATAGCTCCACAGGATTCCACAAGAACAGTCAGGTGATGAATGGCATGGCAGACATTTGCAGACAAGGAATCTGGATGATGCACGCTGATTCTCAAGAGACATGAATCTTTTGACTTTGCCAAGTCCTGAGGCAGAATATAAGTGCAGATCAAAATAAGCAGAAGGAGAACACCAACAAGTTGCTTGATGCAAACCTTTCCAAACATTGGAAAGATGGAAAATCCATGAAAGTCCAGACTCCAGATCCAACTTTGAAGGTGGGGGTAATTTGCGATCTCGCCTTTGTTGGAGATTGCAAAGTGAGAGCCTTCTGAAGGTCGAGGAATCTGACCTCTTGGACCTGTTGAACAGAACCCATCAGAACCCTACAAATGCCACGCAAATGCCATACTTCTCTTTTTTTGCAATCTCTTCTGCTTGCGACCGAACGTTTTGCTTTTCCCATGAAAGCGTGGCTTTTGAATCGGGCTGGTTTCAGTCGCCCAAATTCCAGTGCACCAAGCAGCTTTTGGCGGCGCATTGTAAGGTTTCAAAGTTGCAAAGCTGAGATGGAGCTGTTGGAATCGGGGAAATATGGCCCTTTGGATCAGGACATGGGACTTTGAGACGTTGGTGAAAGATGATCTTTTCCTCTATGAGATTCCATAGGCATCTATGAGCAGAGAATTGTGTGTTTTCCCACTCTTTGGTTCCTTTTTGCTGGTCTTGCAAGATCATTGGCAGGTTTTTTCAAAAGCAGACTTTGGAAGTTGAGTATTGCACACTTTTTTATTGCCAGCGTTTTCAATCCTTTTTGCTCGCCAGGAGCGTATCGCCAATGCAAAGCCTCGAAAAGCTCCGAAAGAGGAAAAAGATACTAAGGAGAAAGATCCTGAAGAGAAGAACGGAAAAGAGGAGGCAATTGCCTGAGTTTCTACGTGTCTCCATGATTCAAAAAAAATCAGCTCACCCCAGCCGACCGCTTCACCTGTAGCCAAAGTTCAGGAAGAGAAGGAGCCAGAGAAAGAGGAGGAGGACTCAGCCTGTGGGTGCCATGCTTTGCGGCTTCAAACGCGTTTGCATCAGCTCTCTGCTCTGTGCAGGACCAAGCGTTGCCATCGCTCTTTGATGAGGCTGAGCATTTTCCTTGAGGTTATCAGGTTATCTTTTTGGATCCTTTTGGTATTGAAAGTCTGCTTCACAGTCTGGTGAGCTTCGGAGCTTCTACCATCTTCTACCCACCTCACTCACGCAGCATTTGAATCTTCAACGAAGTGGAGCCACGATGAGCCACGTCTGCCAATCGAGGCCGCCACCCTTGACGGCGGCACGACGGAAGCACCTCCTGTGCGCCGCTACAATATGGCTGGCTGGACAGGTCGAAAGCCCAAAGAGGCGCGGGCCCTGGAGGGCCCTGGAGGGCCCTGGAGGGCAAGGCGAAGGCCGAAAGGCCGCTGTTATCCGCTGTTGTGTTTTGTTTCTTTTGTTTCTTTTGTTTCTTTCATTTTTCATCTTTCGCCAGGCCTTGGAAGATTTTGGAAAAAACAAGTGGGGGAAAAAGAAGGAGCAACCGGTGGGCTGTACTGTACTGGCTGTATCAGCTATATTATATTGGATGTGCACAACGTGTGCACAATGGTTTTGAAAGTTTTGAAGTGTTTTCTTGTTTTAAGAATTCTCGATGCAGGTCTCTTGAGGTTCACAGTCCGCCAGCGGAACTATACCTTCCAAGTTCCTCGATGATCTCGATGCATGTCTTCCTTCATCGGATCCTACACAATCCTCACAAGATGTACAGGACGGCATGCCCTATGCAAAGTACGCCAAGTTGTCAGGCCAGGCTGGCTGCCATCAAAACTGTGTGTTGAAAGCATGTGGTGTGTCCCAGCCGCTTCACACCAACTGCATCCCACTACCCCATGCAGGGAACATACGGGCACAGGCGTCTTCTCGACCACAGCCTAGAAGAACATACGAGAACAGATGAACAATGGTCACGGGCTGGATTGTATGTTCCTGGTTCCCGGTTCGGCAGCCTCCCCCAAGGGAGCCCAGAACCCGGAACATATTTTTTCCTGATTTGAATGGAGGAGTCTCATCATGTCTCATCAATCATTGTCATCAATCCATTAGGGATTTGTATACCGAGGATTCCCATGGGATGACCTGGGAATCCCATGGCGATGATCTCCGCCGGTCGCAGGTTCTGGTGGTTTCCGGCTTCGTGTCACTGTGCAGCTGCCCAAGAACGAACGGCGGCGCTTTGACCCCGAGGAGACCAATCGGAGTTCCATGGTACTGTAGAGAGACTATGACGCTATGGCTATGACGGATTTTAAAGGACTATGAAGGAATTGTGTGAAGATTGTTGGGACATGTTGGGACTACTTAGGACTACTACCTTTTGAGAAAAGGTCGCTCTGTGCCTCTGTGCTACTGTAGTTGGTTGTTTCATGTTGTTTCCACACTCTCCTTGTTTGTCTACAAGGAATGTTAGGGTGTTGCTCTCCGTCCACAAGTACAGATTTGTTAGAGATCAAAATTTACGTTTCTTGGACTTTCTTTCAATTTTATATACAATAGTTATACAATTTTAATACATTCAATTGCATGATCAGGAAACACAGATCCAGAATCAGTCTGGATTGGCAAAGCCTAGCACCAAACCCTCTCAGGAGACGTGTGAAACAAAAGAAGAGGCAGAACATCTTGCGGCGACTCTGGCGCTAATGAAGCTCTCTCAGGCCAGATTTATTGCCGCAGAGATCATTCAAAATAAAATGCAATATATATATTTAATATATATATGTATAATATTATATTATATCATTATATATCACATGTTCAGAAGTTTGAAGTTACCGATGCAAACAACCTCCCTCCATCATGTGTGCTTTGTGAGCTTTGAGTTCCTCTGAGATATGCTTGGAACTGTGGTGCTTGTGTTGATGAATGAGTAGCTTGCCCAACTTGGAATCTCTGTATGCTCTGCGAAGGATTCTGAGAAGCCTGGTTTGCAGCGGGGCCTGCCTCCAGTGTATCGGCAACGATGGCAAGAATGGGATGAAAAGCTGCTGGCTGAACTCCAGGAATGGGGCTGGGAATGGGACAGTTCAATCCAGAGAAGAGGATCATGAATTGAATGCTACTGATTCGATTTACACACTTGATACAGACAGTTGTGGCATACACAACGGGAGACAAGAAATTGCGACCGCTCACAACATATTCCTTCACGCATCAAGAGGAACGCAAGAAGAGCTTGGTCAAGGACAAGATCCTTTTCTTGGAACGTCTTCTGCGTACCAAGTGCGGATACTCAAGGATGAGAGGGCGGTGGGCATTTTTCTGTGTCTGTACGAGGGGGCACACGCTTTGCAACTTTGCCCTGTTTGAACCCTGCCACCGACTTTGAGAAAAACACCAGCTGCCAGAGTTGATTTCTGCCTCACACACTTCCTTGCTATAGAGCTGCGTTCTCAAGCGTTTCGCATTGGAATGAGTAGGATACAGTTGCCAAGATTGTTTTGGTGTGCATCCATGCTGAGTTGTCCCGAACTACTTGATGAGCTTACAGATTCCTCAAAGACCAAGGCCTACAATGCTGCAGAGTAGCCTGGGACTAGGTGAGTTCGATTGCCAACAGTCTTGTTGTGCTTGTTCAGCTGGCAATGTCACTCTTTCGATTTAACAGCGCAGGGCTTTGTTTGGAATCCTTTCAATGGATCCAACCAAATTAGTGAGATGTTCAGACTATCAGGAACATGGTGGATTGAGTCGGGGGCTGTTTGGGTCTAATTTTTTTGCTTTCGACCGGAGTTTTCCTGCTGCCTTTCCTTGGCTTTTAAGCTTTGAAGACCCAAAAGACATCTCAGACAATACCAGACTATACCGGACCAGAAAAATCTGCATCTCGTACAGTTGGGAGATGCCCTTAACCATAAGACTCATAAGACATCATAAGACCATAAGATCTGAGGGATGGCACTTGTGCAGGCACTGTCGAAAGTGCACAGCCTCTTTCAGGTCCCAAAGGCCGCTCTGGTTGCTGGATGATGTTGGATGATTTCGGATGATTTCTGACGATGTTGGATACCCTCTGGTAATTTAACATAGCTATTGAAAATGACCATTTACAGTGGATTTTCCCATTCAAAATGGTGATTTTCCATAGTTATGTTAAATTACCAGAGGACAAATTTGGATGGAACTGCGCCTTGTAGGCGAAGATGAGTTGGCCCTACAGGAGATGAGCATCGATGCTGCCGAAAGGCCAGATGAAGGACGAGGGACAAGATACAGTGAACATCTCGAACATGGTCTTCAGGGGGCCAAAGATAGTGGGAGTCTTTGAAGGGGTTTGCCACATTGAGAAATTTGAAACATGGAGTGTATATCTATGTATATCTACAGGACATTATTTGTATCCACCAGTGGAACTCGTGGTTGTCGGGGAGTATCGGGCATTTGCCCGTGCCTGGGAAAGGAAGAACGAGATTCGTTTCGATACAGACTTGGATGATGACTAAAGACATCAAACATGTATATATTATATATAGGCGGACAATCTGATGAATTTGGCTCGGAATGTGTGACGTCAATTCGAGCCTCGCAAGGTTGCGGAGAAGCTATCAAGAGCGGCAGCAGGCATTGGAGCAGGAGGTCGAATTCGACCAGTCCGGGTCCTGGAGACGGAGACGGAGACAGAACATCGAAACGCGAAGACTGGTGATCAGAGGCTTCAGCAGCAGCGGCAGCGTTTGCCGGTGGCCGAGTACAAGGAGCAATTCCTCCGGGCAGTCTGCAGCTGAAATCAGCTGAGACACCGGGAAGTGGGATCCCATGGGACCATATGGGACACCATATCACCAAGGATGTCACCACCAAACACCGCAGAGCCAAATGCCGGACTCTTCTTTAGAATATACTGGTATAATACTGGTGTTTATTACTGGTATATCTATGTATATCTATAATACCCATAATGCCAGTATAATAATACCCATAATACCCATAATACCCATAATACCAGTTTAGTACCAGTATAAAACCAGTGAATATGGGTGGGGGCTCGACAGCCTGAATAGTGCTTTCATGAGCTGAGTCTGATATTTGGTAGACAAAGTGGTCGGCTTCGGGCTCCCGGGGCTTGTGTTAATATACATACAGTGCCTGAGGTGCTCACCAGGTTTAGGATTCCCCACAATTCCTGGGATGTGTGAACCTACTGAGTACCAACCTTGTCGATCAATGACCCCAAATGAAATTGACCCATTGAAAAAAATACCGGAGCCTGTCCAATCTTGGGTTGGCACTTCGAGCACAAATAGAAACAGAAAACTCAGAGTTTTTTTCAAAACGTGTAATGCATCAATTTCGGCAACAATTGTGGCGCATCCGATTGGAATTTCGCCCCTGGGCACCTGCGAGTGAAAGTGACTCAGCTCAGGTGGCCAGCCAAGGTGTTGCCTTTGGCTCAGAATTCCGGGGAAGGCTGCAACGCAGATAACGCAGGGATTGAAAAACAAACAAAGAAAACATGGTAATACATGGCTGTTCCGAATCTGAAACACCATCCAATATCATCCGATTATCATCCATCATCCAATATGTGGCCTTCACCCTGGCTGATTGGGTCTCTAAACAGGTCTGAAATCTTGGAGGAAGCCTAAACCATTTCTGCATTGTTTTGTGCTTTACGTACCTTTACCTGCGTAATCACTGCCAGGGCAATATGGATACATCTGGATACATGGAATGCAAGATGTTCATTGATGTTCTGAGGTTGTGGTCAGTGGCGCTACTGGTAGTGGCAAGACTACACAGGCGCCAACGAATTCCCAATTGTCTCAAGGCTGTCTCAACACACACACACAGATGATATATATATATATTATAACATATATATATATATATATACATTATTATGTATATTATAGTGTATAAGATGTATAACGTGTATGTAGGTATATAGTATACTTATTTATATTTACTCTCTCTCTCTATATATATATATATACATACATACATACACATATACATACGACGAGTGTGTAAATATATAATTACACACCTACAGACATACCATCATGTTAGATATTTATATCTATGCTGATGACAGGACTTAAATCTGGAGCACGCTGCAACGAAATCTGCTCATGCCTCGTTGCAGGTTCCTCAGTACGTCTTGGAGGATGCCTTGGAAAAGTCCGGTCCGCGGGCGACCCAGTGCTTTGCCGGGGAAAACCCAATGTTGAATTTTGGTCAGATTTAGAAAATGAATGCACCAAAATCATCCAAAATCATTCAAACATCATCAAACATCCATTTTTTAAATCATTGAACCACTGAACCACCATGATATGGATATGTTTGTTTGTCTATTGGAAACAAAATCAAGGCGCTGCAGTAACGGGAACACACTGAGAAGCGACGGAGAACGATGTCTGATGAACATGAGGATGCGGATGAAGATGTCAAGATGGTGCTGATTTTGCCTCCTGCCCCAAGAATCTTTGTGTAGTTATGTCAATTTATGTAAGTTATGTAGTTCTTCAATGACCATGTAAAACAATGTGAACCAGTACAATGTTATGGAGTTCCCCGATGAGGCTTCCCAACATCATCGTCACCGAGCCTCGCCGAATCTCTGCGGTTTCTGGGCCCTGTTCGATCAATGCTGGGCATCCCTTTGGCTTCCCATGTGCAAAGTAGACAGAGGGCACCATTTGGTGGCTATTGGCAACATTTGGCTATGAAACACAGTAAACAATGGGATTCTAATGGGATAAACATCGGATAAACCATCTACCTGGTGATTTCTTCCATCCACAGTATGGCTACTGTGGCATACGGTTGGTTCTACTGGACCGAAGACTTGGTTGTGGCAACCAGCCCGGCTTCAGCTTCGGCTCAAGTTCTACTTCCGCCACCGGGTGAAACCCAAACCTGGTGACTAGTCCGTGTCCGCCGTGTCCCACATGGCAGCCAGGCGAATCAGGGAACATGAAAATTCAGTGATGGTGATGCTGATGATGATATATATATATATGATATTCTGTCAGCTGCAACGAATTAGCTGCCCGTTGTGAGGGCGAGGCAAGGTCTAAGTCTTAGGTCTGCTTGTCTTTCAAGAAACATGACTGTTCAAATTGGGCAGCTTCCAAGTTGATACGAACAGAAAAGCACCAGTACAAACCTTTGAAACCAGAAGTGGAACCATTCTCAGCCGGCAATGCCTGAAGTGGCCAGGTGAGGCCTTTGTGAGGCCAAGGAAATCCTTCGCCAGACAGCTTGGGAGGCGGAGTGCAGTTGACAGTCGAAAAACTTACGTTTTCCATCGTTTTCCTATGTTTTCATTTTCCTTCTAATCCTTCTTACTTCTAAGCCTTGTTTTGATTGAGCTATAGATCAGTGGGCATAATCAGGATCAGATTGCAAAGAGTTTGTGGTTGTGACATAAGCCAAACTAAGATTCCCTACCAATAGCTTGGATTTTGCATCGTGCCAATCGTGCCAATCGTGCCACTCGTGCCACTGCCGCGAGCAGGATGCTTTGTCTTCTGCTGTTACACTGCGTTGCATGGCCAAGAACAGGTGGATCAAGTGGAGAGAAATGCCTTCGGCTCACAGAAAGGGCTAAGTTTGAATTCATTCATACGCTGCTATGCCCCACAGTCCCTCCATGGCAGTGAATGGTGGAACATGGTGGAACATGGTGGAAGTATTGCCATGAAACTCCGGCCAGACTTTGATTAATCCGAATTGTGCGATGTTCAAGTGGTAATTGCAACAACAAGCACGACGTGCCTTATCAATCTTATGCAAGTACTTAGTTTTACTAGCTTCTGTGGTTGTACTTGCTGCATGAGTCACTTACAAAAAATGTAGTCTTTCTTTGTGGGCCGCATAAACCTGGATCTAGTGGACATGGACGACGTGATAGAAGGGACGTTTTTGACCTGCCCAACTGATTGGTGCCAAGCTGTGCTGGGGAACAAGACATCCTTGGGGGATGCGACCAGCAGACATGTTGCAAAGTCCAAAAGTCATCCCAGAATTGAGGTGCCAAGAAGGTCATTTGCCTTTCTTTTTGCCAAACAATACACTCTCAGTTGCCAGCAGAGTTTGCCGGCAGCATACATTGCTTTGCAGGTAAAGCAATAGCTCTGTTAACCAAGGTCTTCTCATCTGCCACTATCATTCGAGTGGAGGAAGTAACCAGCAGCTTGATTGCATCAGCTCTTGTCATCAGGTAGCGGATGCTATCCCACGGCTCTGTGGTGATTGTGTGTTGTTTTCAGTCCGGCACAGGTCGAACATAATCAGTGTATATATATATACGTATATATACGTATATATACGTATATATATATATATAGGCCACACATATATATATAATAACATAATATATATATATATATATGTATAATATACCATATAATCAGGAACCCCTTAACGTTCTGTAAAAGATGGGTACCTGAGGTCTTGTAAATTTACGGCGGGGGAGGCCAACCTGTAAACTATATATATTTCAGAAACCTTGGGGGGGTAAGGTGAATTTTTTTACAAACCCTATATATACTAAATGGTCATGTTTTTGTTTTTTTTGGTGTCAGGGGGGTTCCAGGGGTGTCAGACCCTCTGGCATCAAAGTTTGTAGATCCGATATTATCCGATCATATCCGATATGATCTGATGATATAGAATCTTGATATGTGATGATATATGTTCCACTCTTTTCAGCTTTACAAAAGAGGTCTAGTGAGGTAGCCTAGTGACATGCCCAAAAGAGGTCTGAAACTGGTCTGAAACACCTTCCTAGCCACCATCTCAGACACATTCCCCAAAGTGACCGTTTTTGGACCCCTGTACTCAAACAAATATTTGAAGAGAGCAGTCGGCAGCCCTATTTTATCACACTTCCCTTACAGGGAGTAATAAGCTTACGTTTTCTTAATTCACCTTGGGGTTTTTGATTTCCAAAAGGCCCATTTTGGGACTCCAGTACTCAATCAAATATTTGAAGCTGAGATAGCCTAGTGCCAGGCCCAAAAGAGGTCTGAAACTGGTCTGAAACTGGCCTGAAACACCTTCCCACTCACCATCCCAGACACATTGTCCAAAGTGGCCGTTAAAAAAAAAAATGAAAGCACAATCGAAACGTACTGAAAAACACGTGAAAGAAACGTCATATTCTAGAAAAAAATAATAACAAACGTAAAGACAAAAAAATGGATGTGATTCTTTCATCTCCCCATCTCACATGGCATAGCAAACCTCAATATACCACAACGCAAAACACCCGAAAATGGTTCCCAAAACGGAAGCCTTTCTGAGTCCTTTCTCATCTTTGCATTTGTTATCATTTTAACTTGGCGCAACTTCACGGATTTCATGATATGGTCTCGACCTACCAGTACGAAACATATGTTCGTCCAAAGTCCTCACAATGCCTCCAAAAACATTAGGATGTTTTCAGAAGTGTCGTAACATGCCGTGTAACATGCCGTAACACAAAAGCATGAAAAGATGTGAGAAGGTCAATCGTGATGGATCTCTCTCTCTCTCTCTGTCTCTCTCTCTCTCTCGTTCTTAATTAAACATATGTAAGACTAATTCAGGCATGCTTCAGGCCTGTTTCAGACCTCCCTGGTGAGCATTGTAAGTTTTCGAGAAAAAAGACGTCCTACGGCTCACAGAAACACTTGGAAAAGGGTTAGCAATCAACATAACTGTGAAATGGAAAGTAAATAAACACACAGTATTGCACAGTCAAAAGATACTGAAAGGCATCTGAAAGGAACTTCATTGAAATTCATTTAAATTCATAGACAAAAATAGGAAAATATAACGCTATAAAGGCTATAAATGTAAAGATGGAGAAGTTGAAGCATCAAATGAAGAACATATACGGAAAATGATTCACGAAGTTGCTTATGGATACAGTGTGTTACATTTTTTAGGAAATGACAGATAATATTTGATAATACAAGAAACGAGAAATAAAATGTGCACATAGAGAAGCGGTGACATGACAATGACAATACCTTCTCATTTGTCTTGAAGAAGTGCCGTGAAAGTTCATAGAACTACGACGATTTTCGACGAGAGTTGTGAGCATCCATAAATACGTCCCTTTTGTAATTTCGGACGTGGGGGGGGACGTCCATATATGTGACGTAAATTACGTCGCGAAAATGAGGTGGGGGGGGGTGACGTCCCCCACCCTTAACGTAGTCCTGATACCATATATATATATATATATGTGTGTATCATATATTATCAATATGATAGTCAAACACACTCTACAGATTCCTTCGGTGAAATCTGAATCTCAGAGGGTGTGGCCTGGATCGTGGGTCAAGGTGGAGTCGAGGCTACACCTGTGAGCGCTTCACTGCAGCAGCTTGAGGCAGGGGGAACCGAGGCTCCCAGGCAGTGGAAGCGGACAGTTTGGGAGGATCTCATGCGATGGAGAAAATCAGAAAGGTGGGATAAGGTGACCTGATAAGGTGGCTTCGTGGTTTCAAGATATGTTTGAGCCGAAAGTCCAAGCTTTGCAGGTGCTTCAGTATCATTAGGATCCATTAGATATGACATGGTATGACAAACGCCTTCAAGATGTTGCCTCAAGGCTGGCTTTGTTCCAGCAAATGACGATGGGTCTGGCACCTCAGCTTGGGCTGTCATTTTTTGCCTGGGTGCATCACATTGTGCCAGCATGAACCTGTTGGTGGTTTGACATTGCTTCAATAAGTAGGAACACCATGGAACACCTGCATTGTAGATGTACGTAGATGATATTGTGATCTTAATCTTCTGAAGTGCTGTTTGATGCCACTTATTGATGTTGACGTTCGCAGCTCCAAGATGTCAAACATTGTGCCTCCTTCACCAGACCAACAAGTGCGTCTCGAACTTGTGGGTGTTGATGGTGAAGGTCTGACTCTCCAAGTTCCTGACTGTCTTGTGGGAAGGGAGCTTCATATTTTAGTCAGCAAGCAACTTCCTCCAAAACCAGGAGCTGTACGACTCTTGCAGCACAAGGAATCAATACTCGAATTCAACAAGACTCTGCGGGAACAAGGCATCCTCCCGAATTCGTGCTTATCTTATGTATACATCCCTGCCAAGGTCTATAGCGTTTGGAAGGTCTTGGCAGGAATGCCAATTGAAGGGAAAGAACAGGAGTTTGCGCTGGACACGGTTCGGCAACTGGCTGGCATCAGCAACAGCTCTGAGCTTCGGGATCTTTCCAGCCTCCACGACTTGACCTTTAGCCGTGACTTTGATGAGAGAACTAACATTTGGACGAGTCTGCTCCCCAACAGTCTGAGAAGCCTAACATTTGGACGCCACTTCAATCAGAGTCTGGACTACGCAGCTTTCCCAAGCAGCATTCAAAACATCACTTTTGGCGACGATTTCAATCAAAGCCTGGATCATGTAAGTCTTCCCCACAGCTTGCGCAGCTTGACCTTCGGACGGGACTTCAACCAGAGCTTGGATCGGGCGTTTCTGCCTCCAAACTTGAGGAGTTTGACTCTTGGGCCTAGCTTTGACCAGAGCATGGAAAGGGTGAATCTTCCAAGCAGTCTTCAGAGTTTGATCTTCGGGTATGACTTCAATCAGAGCTTGGAGCATGTAGATTTGCCACGTGACCTGGAGGAATTGTCGTTTGGCCACCGTTTCAACCAAAGCTTGGAGAAGGTTCGTTTTCCTAAGACACTGAGGAGAGCGACCTTCGGGTATGACTTCAAGCAGAGTTTCGCGCCCCTAAATCGTCTGAGTCTTGAAAGTTTGGGGTTCGGGGCTGACAACGGCAGGATGGGGTGCCTTTGCCTCCCAGACTGCCTCAGGAGCTTGACTCTTGGATATGACTTTCATCAAAGAATTCAAGACATGAAGTTGCCGAAAGGCTTACAAAGCCTCACGTTGGGCAATGACTTCAACCAACCGCTGGAGCATGTGGACTTTCCACCTCATCTCTGCAGCTTGACCTTCGGTCACGACTTCAACCAGAGGTTGGAATGCGATTTGCCAGACAGCCTCTTGAGCTTGACCTTTGGTGCAAATTTCAATCAGAGCTTCTTGGAGTAAACTTCAACATATTTTCTCGTTGGGATGACAGAAGAATTGATACGTCCCTGTACAGTAATATCAGTAATGATTCGTGTAAATATTCACACCCGTGTCGAATTCAAGCATTTTTGATGTTGTGTCATTTTCCCTTCGAGCCTTTGAGGCATAGAGAGTCTAGCTTTTCCGAGCTGCCTGGAGAGCTTGACTTTCGGCTCACACTTTCAGCAAAGCTTGGCACTGGTGCATCTTCCGCGCAGCCTGCAGTGCTTGACGTTGGGCGCTGACTTTGACCAGAATCTGACGAATGTCCATCTACCAACTGGCCTGAAGAGCTTAACTCTCGGATACCATTTCAACCAGAGCTTGGAAAGAGTAACTCTTCCCAGGAGACTTCAGAGCTTAACCTTCGGCCATGATTTCAACCAAAGCTTGGAGCAGGTAAACCTCCCAAGCAGCTTGCAGCACTTGTTCATTGGGCACGACTTCAATCAACCCTTGGATCGTGTGACACTTCCAAGTAGTATTGAAAGCATCGCTTTTGGTGCCAACTTTAGGCAGAGCTTGAAACATGTTGATCTCCAAGGTCTTCGCAGCTTGACTTTTGCAGATCACTTCAATGAGTCTTTGGAGCATGTGAAGTTGCCACAAACCCTGCATATGCTTCATTATCGTGGACTCGGAGTTCGAATTTTGTGACAGTCGAAAGAAATTTTCAAACTTATTCACATTTCCTTGCAGCCTTGCTTATTTCATGGGAGATGTCATCCCGTGCCATGGATGTCCTTTTGAATCGATGTTTCCGCAGTTTTAAGCAACTTTTTGACTTTCGCCATCTACAGTACCCATCATCAGAATGAGACAAACACACCGCTGTGACAAAAATGTGTCGGGTGAGTGGGAGCATCAAGGAATTACTCGGACATGACTGGTACATGTGGATACATGTGGTACAATTCGCGACCTGGTCAGCAATTCCCCAGCAAGACTAGCACCAGCCATTTTTGCACGACTGCTTCCACTTACCCACGGTCACACCCACCAGATGCAAATCCCTGCTACTGTCGGGATACAAGCCTCTCTTGCTCCGCTTATTGCCTCTACAAACCTGAAGATAACAAACATCCTGGGCCACCAAAGAAGAAGTACTAGACTCAGACCATCTAGACCAGGCATTGGAGCAACCACGACTTCCTCGCTGGCATAACCTTTGGAGTGGGACAACTCAGCAGCAGAGACTTGATGTGGCCCATGGTGGCCCATTATGTTGCCATCAATGGATGCCACTGCCCCCAAGTGCAGCAGCTAAGACAAAACGTGTTTTCATTTGGACGTAGAATCAGTGGAGAAATTGCAAGTAGATTTCTAGCTATCAATCACATGCATGCCGCAAATCCAAAGGCCTTGAACATCCTTGAACATCCTTGAACAATGTTCCATAATGTTCCTATGTTGGCTATAAGCAAGACTTCTGACATCTGACGACTTTAAGACAGCCGGTGACGAGGTCATGAGCTCCGGCATCATTGTCGCTTTGCTGCTGGGTTGCCAGGCTGATTCGGAAGCGATTTGGGTTGCTGGTCAGGCTTGGATTTGTCGACGAAGGTGCTTCAAGTGGCTCCTGCGGGACGCACCGAGTGCCAGGCCTGCGACTGTCAGATGTAGCGTGAATATGCACTAATGTTACTAATGTTTTTTAGAACAAAGATGGCACATGATGGCACGTAGCTACTGGTGACTGCAAGAATCAGGGCAAGTAAAGGTGGACAGCAACAACGTTCAGTTTTTCCTGTGAGTCATACACTGGAAAACAGCCAGAATAATCGGAACAGTTGAAAAGCAATTGAATCAGGAAGGTTTGTATAAGGTTTGTATGATTATGGAATATTATGGACCAAATTTGGATCAAATTTGACCAAGATCCAAGTGACGACATAGTGACTCAATATGCACGTCCTGGGCTCCAGGCTGCTTCAATAGAGGAGCTGCATGTCCCTGGGCGTACTGAGGGTGAAGAGGCCTGGGGTGATGCTGAAGACCCTTGCGACTTGTTGTAATTTGTTGGGATCCCTTTGGAGAGGAGCCTTATGTAAGACTGGAGCAGATCGGAACCAAGCCGGGTTGAGTGCACTGTCAGTTGTAGGCTTTAGAGTTTGTGCAGGAGCTGAATGCATTTTTATCATCTTTATCCACGGCAAAATGCAAGTTTCTGCCACATCTTTACTCCATCTTTATCCATGTTCTTTTGATGTAGAAAGCTCTGGTGAAATCCTTGTAATAAGATGAGCAAATCCCCTTGGAATTCGCGAAGCTCCAGGTCGAATCGCTGAACTATTTCTGGCCGCGTGTTAGCTGGTTGGCTGCCATGTTGCTACTGCAGCCTGGGGCTCTGACGGTTCCGAATTGAGAGCGTATTGATGCCGCAATACTTATTATGCACTATGGTGTACCGACAAAGCACAGGATTGCGGATGCTGAGTTTAGTCAGAACATGTCAGAACTACCAAAAGAATTCAAAAGCCAAATTATCATGTTCTTCCAGAAGGATGTGACATGGCTCTTATATCCTGCTGAAATGCCTCCTACTGACTTAGGAGCGTTTCGAGCTTGATCTTGTCCAAGTTTGAGTACTTGGTGCGAAAGCGGGAGCCCCCAGTGCCTTGTGAGGGAGGAAAAGGTTGTGTCCATAAAACGATCGACTTGTGACTTGTAACTGTAAGACTTGTTGAAGGTGAAGAGGGGTTAGCAGCGGGTACCAAACTGATGGAAACCGTTGGAAAGGATGCATACCGCTCAGCACACCGTTCTTTGGAGCAACCAGGCCTTACATCAACATCATGATCACTATGAGAATAATTCCAATCTGATATCCCATTTATCCGCCTACATCCTGCACTCAGCTGCAGTTACTTGTCTTGCAAGCAGTCTCCAAATTGATTTCCCTTTCTTTCACATTTCCTTCCATGTTCTGCATAGCCCAGCATTTGCACAGGGATTCTGACCTTATCTTTTTCCTCACGATGATCATTGGACTGGGAGGAGCGCCGGTGCGAAGTTTGGATGCTGTGTGAATATATATATATATATGAATATTCATGAATATCGTATATATATATAATATATATAATTATATATATATATATTATTATACCATATATATATATGAAATATGCTAATCAATGCAAAGGAAGACGACTGCAGTTTCTGGATGGGAAGCTGAAGAGCAATGAGCAACCCCATACCCTCGCAATGTTGTGGCACAGGCAACGCGGGTGGGCAGAGTGTTGTGTTGACCTGCCGCAAGTTGAGTCAGCACCAGCACATCACTGTGAGGCGCGCAGAAATGAAACAGCAGCCTCAGTATTGGTGCCACTTCTTGTGATTGAATCAGCAAACCTCCAACATAAAGCTCAAGGACGCAGGACCACCAAATGTCAAAGGGTAAACATTAGTCCAACCGACATTCGCAATCTCACCTTCACCATTCGTCTCTTCTGCATTGTTGTGAACTGTCCATGGATTCATGCATGTGCGAACCTCACTGCACCTTTTGGCTGAAAGGCCTTGACCCGATTTGGGCTGCGAAGCAGGATAAACCGCATGTCCTTTTGATCGCTGGGTTGCACCCGACGTTTGTCAGTGGCAGCGGAGTCCTGAGTTGCCGATCGATAGCTGCTGCGCAACTTCGCTTGGTGCTTTGCAAGGGTCTCGCAATCAGTGCCTGTGTCTTCCTGATTGCCAAGCGGCATTGGTGAGGACATTTGCTGGCTGTGGGATTGATTTTGCAGTGCTCGCAATCAGTGCCTGCGATCCTGGTGATACCTGCGGTTTCCCTCTGGAAGTGAGTGCTGGGCTGGTTACATTGGCAATCTGATCTAAGACCACTTGCTTGTGTACCAGTTGTTTTGCACCTACTCCAAGGACTTGCCTGTGGACGCCTACAGCATCCTCCTTGTCGAGCTCTTTTGCATGTTTGTGTTTGAAGTTTTCACCTGCAGGCACTTTGCCGCAGCTGGGTCATGGCTGAGGAAGAAAAAGGAACTTCAGCCTGGCACAGTGTTCCAACATGGGACGGTAGCCCTGCGACCTGGAGGTCGTTCAAGCGGGAGATGGCTTGGTGCACTTCATCCCTCAATTTGGAGGACACCAAGAAGTATAACCTGGCAGCTCGTTGGCTGCTGAGACAGACCGGTGCGGTAAGAGCCCGAGGTGAAGAATTTGAACCGCACGAATTGGAGTACCGCAAAGAGGTTTCAACAATTGATGCCCTGACTAATGAGAAGGTGATCACGGTCACTGAGGACCCTCTGGCTGGTTTGAACAAGCTGCTGAAGGCTCTGGAGTCTCTATGTGGAAAGAGCTGGATCGAAAGGGCGAACTACGTGGTCATTTTTATTTGGAGCTGAAGCGGAAGCCATGTGAAAGGTCGCCAGAGTTTTGCACACGTTTTCGAACTCTGGTGGTCGAGATGAAGCAGGAAGGCATTTTGCTTCCGGATGGAGAACTTGGATGCTTTCTGAAATCGAAGCTTGGTTTGGATCCGTTGAGGTCTCAGCTTCTTGAGACTGCACTGGCTGGCCGTGAATCCTATGATGCTGTTGAAGGTAAAGTATACTGCGTTTATTCAAGGATTTACATACGGCTGACCCTCTGCATCGGAAATCCAATTTGGCTTCAGATAGTAAGGGTTCTTTGTTGTCAAGGTTTTTGCAACAGTCTGGAACTACTTCCTCCCCCAGTAGGACATCCTATCCGAGCTCTTCAGCCCCTTCAATTGCAAGCTCTGGCCAAAGATCGCTACGATCATTTGCTCTTCGTCCTGGTTCAACTTTCAGAAAGCCTTCTCAGCCTGGACCTCGCCAGGCGCATGTTGCTGAGTTGGACGATGAGACCATTGCTGAGGCTGAGGATGGTGAAGCAGATGAAGAGGGTAGTCCTGGAGGACATCAAGCGTTTTCTTTGGAAGAAGTTCTACAATCTGAAGCTGAAGGACTTGCAGCTGAGTTGGAACAAGCAGAACAAGAAGGCATAGATGTGGAGATGCTCAACGAGCTTGAGACAGGTGTTGAGAAAGCAGCAGAAAGCCTGATCACCATGCGTGAAGCTCGTGGAAAGTTGGCTGAGGTCCGAAAGGACAGAGGTTATGGACGTGCTAGTGGCAGCTCTTCCAGTCCTGGTAAGGGCAAACCTCATGGCAATCAAGCGACTGCCCGCAAGCAGAGTGGCAAACATCCGTGTTGGGACTGCAATGAACATGGACATTGGGCTGGTGATCCACAATGCCCTAAACCTGGTGCTGGCCTTGGAAAGAAACGTCAAGCTTCTCAAGGTCGTCATGTCAAGATTGCCGAAGCCTACAACACTGAGCTTGTGGTTGGGCCTCCCCGTGAAACTGCTGCTGCAAATGTTGTGGAACACGATGTCTCCATGGTTCAGCTGGATCGTGGACAGAGCCTTGATGAGGCCTTCCTGAACTCCCGATCCAAGTTTGCGGAGGTGAACAGTGCCAATGAGCCCTCGCTCTCCTGGGACAAAAAGCTGGTTGGTGCGTTGGACTCTGCGTGCAACCGAACACCGGCACTACATGGTTAAACAACTATCTCCAGAACCTCAAGAATGCCCAACAGTGGCGTGATTCCGCTCAGTCAGTTGCAAGCTGGGCACTTCATGCTGCCGCTGCTGCCGGAGAGATGGAGTAGGCCTGGTTTTCAAAGATGGCGTCGTTTGGGGCGAGACAAAGTCATTGAGTTGCAAGTGAGTGGAACTGAATGGGTTCGTCGTAAACTTGCAGCACAAGGTTTGATACCATGCAAACAACATGAACATTTGGTGACTGAATGGAGTGAGAAAGCGGCTGATGTGAAATTTTCTGGTTTGCAACCTTTTCTACATGTTTCTCAACCTGCCCCTGCGGTTCAAGTCAGTATGAAGCAGGGCAAACAGCCTAGCTCTCTCACGTCTCCATCCTCTCCTACCAGTCGTGTTCGTGATGCAAAGACCTCCCTTGCACGGAGGCAAAGCAGTGACAGCCGCCCTTGCAGTGACCAGATGGCGCAGAATGGTGGCACGAAAGTTTGAAAGGGCCATTTGGCATGCTTTTGGACAGCTCTTGTGGCTTGTGCAGCGACCTTACCTGAGGTTCCTGCCGTATCCGTACCAATCAACAAATTCACCAATTGTTTGGGCGGAACAAGCGGACTCAATGGTGAAGGCAGGAGCCTATGCACGAAGGCGCTTCCGCAGAGCCAAGATCAACAGAGCCTTCACCCTGGTGAACATGCACGAGTGCATGCAGCTGTGCGCAACCGCATGGGCATAGCATTGCTTTGTGGAAGATCCTATGCTGACTGGACTGTTGGCAGCCCGATCCAACAAGGCCCTCAATCTGAGACTTCGAGCTGAAGTGATTGCAGAAGCCAAAGCCGAAGCCAACCAACTCAAAGACGAGAAGGCCAAGGTGGAAGCAGTCAGGTCGTTGATTGGACCGAGAGGTGGACTGCCAACTCTTCGCAACGATTTGTTGCGCCTTGCAACTCTGCTGCATGTGGAGATCGCAGATCGCGATACGATCGAGGTGCTCAAAACCAAGATTCGTCCAGTGGTGGAAAGTCTGAAAGGCCCACTGGCCGAAGTGAAGTCAAGCAGATCTTCAACCGAGCACTTCGAGGTTGGCACTCCCACTGCGGCCGCAAAGGCCAAATCAGCTCCGAAGCCTCCACCGGTGGAATTGCCAAATCGAATGCAGCCCGATGCTCAAATGTCGAACGAAGAGCTTCGAGCACTCTTGACAGAGCAAGAGAACAAGTACACCACCATGATCAACCAGATGTACCAGCACATCATGATGGTGCAAAGCAATGCTGCTTCAATGATGCCTCCCCTGACCATGGGAGAACTTCCGGATGCACAGATGGCGCCCCGAGATCGGACAGCCGAAGAGATCCAGCAGATGAATGCCGACTATCAGCTGGAGATGGGCCGCCAAAGATTCGAAGCTCAACACGGCGAATTTGCCTCAATGAGCGATGCCCTCAGCCTGATGGCTCCAGCGGACGGCTGGGATCTGGCTCAGGAGATGGCACCTTGAGCCTCTGAAGTGAGTTCCTCTATGGCCGGTATCAAGCCTGTCCAACGGCAGCTGATCTCTGAAGCTTGGGAGAAGCATGTTGCAGACCGGAAGAAGACTTCAGTGACCAAAGCTCAGATCAATGATGCATTTGAAACTATGTGGACGGCAGAAATGGAATCCTTCATGAATGAGACCTTCCTGGCCAACATTCATTTGCCCTCCAGTACTCCTGCGGTTGCTGAAGTTTATACCAATTCTCAACGAGGAAGCTCAGAAACGTGGACATTCACCAATCCACCCATGTCTCTGGAAACGGGCTGGGAATTTCTGAATCCGATGCACCGACGGCAAGCCTTTAGATGGGTGCGAGAGAACAAGCCTTATTTTTTGGTTTTGGCATTCCCTTGCAACTTTTGGACTTTGTTGCTGGGATTGAATCCTCCAAAAGATCCTGAAGCTCACTATGAGAAAGGCATCACTCTCCTCCGTTTCGCATTGCTGCTTGCTCAAGAGCAGATCAAGCATGGCCGTCACTACATTTTGGAGAACCCTGCTGGCTCTAAGGCATGGAAACTTCAGGAGATGTTGGAATGGTTGGAAAAGTTTGAAGCCATGATGGTGAAGTTCGATCAATGCAGATTTGGGCTTCGATGCGGTGCGACTGGACTTTTGCACCAGAAGCCGACATGTTTGGCCACTTCTTGTCAGGCCGTGATTTCAAAGTTTGTGAACAAGCGTTGCATGCGCAACCACTTGCATGCGCAGGTGATTGGAGGTAGCAAAGTTACAGCTCCTGCGGGGCGGTACCCTCCTTGATGGCACGCGCCATCGTTCAAGCTTTGGAGGAACATTTTGAGTTTGATTTTGGTCGGCAGTTGGCCGACGGTGTGGAATCCCAAAGTCACGAAGTTCAAGCTCTGGAAGATGAACTTGATTCTGAAGTTGAAGCTGCTGGTGGCGATGTGCCGCATCCTCCAGATCAAGGTGAAGCCGTTCGATTCTTGGATGATGACAGTGGCTCAGATGTTGAAGTTCCATAGCATCCCAAAGCAAGTCTCGCTGTCATGCAAGCTGTCAAAAGATTGCATGAATCAACCGGACACAGAAGTCTGAAGCGTCTTGCAAGAGCTTTAGCCATTAGTGGCGCTCCTGTAGAAACAGTAGTTGCACCAAAAGCCTTGAAATGTGGTGTTTGTGCTGAACGCCGCAAGGCAAAACCTCCAAAGCCGGCATCACTGCCGACACCCAAGGACACCAATGACCAGGTCTCCATCGACCTCTTGCATGTGTATGATGCCGCAGACACCAAGTATGTCATCGCGCACATGACTGACTATACGTCCAGATATCAAATGGCAGGTATTTTGGATGGAAAGTCTTCAGCTGAGGTGACGTCTTTCATCAAGCAGAACTGGCTTCCATTGATGGGCCCACCACGTGTTTTGGTTGCTGACCATGGGCGCGAATTATTCTCTCATGAGTTTGAGACCTTCTGCGCTAGCCTTGGGGTCTATGTCTGCTTTACTGGCATTGGTTCTCCATGGCAGAATGGTGTTGCAGAGCGATCTGGTGGCGTGCTGAAAGCCCTCTTGGGTTCCATTGCAGCTGGTCATACTGTGATTGGAAGTTCACAGATGAAAGATGCCTTGGGCGAAGCTGTAATGGCTTACAATTGCGACATTGGAGATTCAGGTTTCTCTCCAGTGCAAGTTGTGACTGGCAGACAGCCTCGTATGCAGGGTGATGTTCTTGGTGGAATCCAACAACGACTTGCCGAGCACTCCCTGGTTTCCTCTCATGCCAGCATGGCGCGTTCCATTGCCATGGGCGAAACAGCCAAACTTGCAATGACTCGGCTCCACTTTAGCCGTGGCCTGCGACGCGCAGATTTAGCAAGATCAAGAACCACTACTTTGACACAACAACCAAAGCCTGGTGACATTGCTTACTTCTACCGTGACCAGAAGTACAAAGGTCGCCAAGCCAAGCGAATTCTTGCTCTACGACGTTGGCATGGACCTGCATCGCTTGTTGCATGGGAAGGAGACAGCAATTGTTTTGTGAGTCACAAAGGTCAACTTGTGAAATTTGCTGCTGAACATGTTCGCATAGCAAGTTCTCTCGAGCAGATTTCAGCAGGTGCTTGGGAAGAGGCGATCTCTGAGTGCATCCATGCAGCTCTTCATGATCACAGCTTTTGGAAGAGCGTCGTCAAGAACATGATCGCCAGAAAGCAGCACAATAACAAGAAGTAGCTGAGCCTCCAGTGCCACTTGCTGCAGACGGTGGACTTGGACTTGCGTCTGCAGCAGTCTCGGCGCCTTCAGGTGGATTGGACTTACCCCCTGTCGGTGCATCTGAATTAGTGGCAGCTGCACAACGCAGCAGTGCTTCTTCTGGCTCTGGTTATCCCACGCCTTCTCTTGGTCCTTCATCCCAGGATATGTCCAGAAGACCTTCTATAGCCTTGGACCTGAAGGTGGATCAACAGCAATGCCTGGCACTCCAATCCATGACTTGATCAGCAGAAGACCGTCTATCCTCGGTCCTGCATTGGAGCGTGCCCGTGAAGTTGATGATCGTGGCCAGAAGCGATCTGCTGATGCTGACGCAGGTGAACTGCGAACTTTGGATCAAGCAGGAGCACAATTTGAGACTGCTTCTGCACCTCCTACTGATAGTTCCGGAGCTTTTCAAGCTGGCGATAGTTCTATGCATGATGCCAGTGAAGTGGTCAAGTTTTCAGATGTGAATGAGGTCACCAGACAGCAGCTGATGGAATGGGCAATTGGTGAACCCAGCAACATCCTCTACTACAAGTTCAAACCTTGGCTGCATTGGATCGTTTGGATCCTGAACTTGGTGCCATTCATGACCACGGCAGTTGGGATGGTCGCTGGCAACTTCCTACCCGCTCTCAATGGGAAGTGAAAGAAGCTCTTGGACAAACATGGCCTTGTGGAAAAGTTGAATATGAAGCTCAAGCTGTACAAGCTGCGCGCAAGGAGTATTCCTGGAGCAAGATGAATGCAGATGAGAAGGTTGCCTTCAGGAAAGCTTGCGAAGATGGTTGGTCAGTTTGGACCGACAATGGGGCAGTTGAGATCCTTAGCAAAGAGGAGTCCGCCAAGGTGATTCGTGACTTGAAACGCCGTGGCGAAACAACCGAGCTGCTCCGACCCCGTTGGGTGATGACAGACAAGAATGATGGCTTGTGCACGGCCAACCGCGACTTGCCGTTGCGTGCAAACTCCAGACTTGCTGTGCCTGGGTACCAAGATGAAAGTGCCTATGGACTTCGCAAAGATGCTCCCACAGGCTCACGCCTGAGCCAACACATACTGTTTGTCATGACGGCCTCCAAATGAAAAAGATGGTGGCTGGCGCCTTTGCAGTGCTGACATCAAGTCAGCTTTCATGAAAGGTGACAAATATGTTGAAGGGCTGCGAGAGATTTACCTGGAGAATGTGGCCGCTGCCTCTGATTCACCCAAGTTGCCATTGCCTGATGGTTGCATTGCACGAATCTTGAAGGGAGTTTTTGGATTTTCAGATGCTCCTAGGCAGTGGTATCTACGTCTCAATAGAGCCTTGCTTCAACGTATATGGCAACGCAATCCCATGGATCATGCATGTTGGTTTTGGTGGAAAAGGACCAACCTGGTCAGCTTCATGGAATCATCATCAGCCATGTTGATGATTTGTTGTTTGGTGGTGACACAGTGGCAAAACAGAGTTTGCTTGACCATGGAAAAGAACTTGGATTTGGTAGTCTTGAAGAAGGTGAATTTCAATACTGCGGCAAGAGAATCAAGCAAGATGTGCAGACAGGCACCATCACCGTTTCTATGGAAGAGTACCACTCCAATCTTCATCCCATCAAAGTCCTCACCGAGCGCAAGAAGGATGCGCATAGTCCTTTGAATGCTGGCGAGTTGAAGCAGTTGCGAGCTCTTTTGGGTTCTTTGCAATGGTTGGTAGCACAAGTGCGTCTGGATATGGGCTATCACCTCAGCGTGCTCCAAGGTGAGAAGCCGTGCGTTGGCACTATGCTGCGTGCAAACGCCTTGCTCAAGCGCTTCAAGGACAATCCAGGGTTCAGTCTAAAGTTTAAACCCTTAAACTTGCTGATGTTGGAATTATGGCGTTAACAGATTCCTCCCTGGGAAATGTTCGAGCGAATGGATCACCTGGTGAAGAGGCTCTGGAAAGACTGTACTCACAGTCATGCTACTTTGTGCTGCTGGCTGAGAAATCCTTGATGGAGGGCAAGCGTGGTGGCTTTGCTGTGCTGGATGCGCGTTCGCATCGCCTACCGAGAGTATGTCAATCGACATACGCTGCTGAGCTCCTGGGGACAGAAGAAGGTTTTGACGTTGGACAATTCGTCCCTGGCCATATAGCTGCAATCATGGGGTCCTTAGCCGCAATGTGGACGCAAGCACTGACTCCATTGGGCTGACTGTCGTCACGGATGCGAAGGACGTGTATGACAAAGGCAGCAGTGACACCCATAGCTATGGATCACAGAAGTCATTGGCCTTCACGGTGGCTTGGATCCGTGGAATGCTCCAGCGTGCCAGCACCAGCCTGCGTTGGACCTCAACGGAAAATATGTTCGTTGATGCTGGAACGAAGGATATGGATTTAGCCCACGTGCAGCGAATTCTGGACGACTGGCTCGCCAGAAGATGCCTTGCTGCCGCACCTGACCACCCTGAGCGAGTGTACAGGCTGGCATGAGCGTAGTGGCTATGGCGTGCATGTAGCTAGGAAAGCCCGTAGCTTCAGAACTCCATTTCCCCGGTTTGAGGCGATCGACTACCCTCACCGGACAACATATGCCAGGTTAGACTTTAAGAATGATCATTGTGAATGGCGTAAATTGGAAGACCAAGAAAGCTATATGGAACTGCTAAACCCCCAAGCGCTGTTTGGTACCACCGCTGCCATTCTGGTGACCTTCTTTCACCCAAAAGCCAGTAGTAGCCGGCATGAATCCACAAAAGAAGAAGACGGACTGTGAACTGTCCATGGATTCATGCATGTGCGAACCTCACTGCAGCGAATGACTGTTGCACCTTTTGATTCGATTTGAGCTGCGTAGCAGGATAAACCGCATGTACTTTTGATCGCTGGGTTGCACCCGACGTTTGTCAATTGTTGACCAGGGATCAGTTGGCCACCGGCGTTTTGATTGGCATCGTCTTGTCACCCTTGGCGTTCTTGCGCGGTCTCATGTCGAAGAGTGCCGGGACCCCGAGATGACAGTGACAGATAAAGTGGAAACACGTCAATCCTCGAGAGTGGACCAAGTGGACTTTTCGAGCACACTTGGTCACTTATTGAGACACTTGGTGAGGGGTTGGACCCACTGCCATCTGCAGTGCATCTGCCCACATATTTCAAGGACTTGGGGACCTGCGTCACCTTGGCTGCGGCCACGCTGATCATAGCCTCTGTGGCCACGTCAATCGGCACGGCTCTGCCAAAGATGCCCGGACTCCCAACATTTCACGGCCTTTCTGAGGCAGTGGTCAAAGCACATGACCTTTAGAAATTGCCCGAAACCTGCATGGACAATATCTGAAAGCTCAGTGGCTGGCTCTCAACTGACATCGTACATAGGACACTTACATACAAACAACGTAAATAATGAAAAACACAGAAAAACATTGAAAACAACGGACAACCATGAAACACATTGAACAAGACAATGTTCAAGACAATGTTCAAGACAATGTTCAAACATGTTCAAGGCACTTGGACCCACTTCAGCCTCTTACTCATCGCTCAGATCCAGGTTGCAGATGCTGAAAGCCGATCCGGGCGAGGCTGCAGCCATGATCCAGGTCATCATGGACATCGTTGGCATGATGGTTACCTGCTGCTTAGGGGCTCTCATTCTGGATGCCTTCTAGAACTTCTAGCGCTGAAAAATCTGAGGCATTAAAAGGATTGAAAAGGATTGAAAAGGCCTCTTACTGTGCCGGTGCATCACTTTGGGTAGACTGCGATTGAAGACCTTGTAAGCATTTGTAAGCCACGTTTGACTTCAGCTATCTTCAGCTGACACACAAAACTTGGTTTCCAAAAGTGTTCTACTGGTAGCGGCCGTTACAAGTTGGTCTTGTTACTCTCTTGTTGTCACTGGACAGCTTTGGAAGGGGTTCCACGCGCTTCAAACTTCAAACTTGCTACGTATGCTGTCAGACGCAGACTTTCGATCAGTTCGGCTCTTCCTGTCCGTCTGGCCTCGTTTGGCTCGAGTGCAATTGCCAAAGAAAAAAAACAACTTGATGGGTTCCTTGCAGACAGGGCATGCCGCAGCCTCACGGAGTTGGAAGGGGCACTGATTCAAGACCATCCCAGATCCCAGATTCTCCCAGTATGCATAGTATGCGAGCACAGAAATAGGCGCACAGTTCCAGTATGCTCACGGGTTCCAATACCGTTCCAATATGCTTTTCAGATACCCATGGATCCTTTCGCATAAGAGCTTGCGACGGCATGCCATGGGTAAGTATTCAGGCCTGGGTATGGGCCTGATTGTGCGCGGATCAGTGTTCAATGAAAGCGAGTTTGAGTATATTGAAAACTTTGTGTGGTCCCTTAAGTATCCTTAATGTCCCTTGAGTGTGTCAATGTGAATCAACATACCTTGATGAAACCTTGTTGTGGGCTATTTTGACAGCGACGGTCAGATACAAAGCGGACACCAGCCTCGCAGTGTTTGCACATCTTCATGCTGCCAGGTCTACTCGTGGCAGGGAACCCCAGTGGATCATGATGGATCATGCCCCATCTTGCCGCGCAATCCAACTTTCAGTGTCTTGAAGCGTCTGTTTGATTTGATAAACTATCTGATGAACATGGTTTACGAGGTCGACTGAGACTGCTGTGGATCGGCCAAGCAATTAAATTCAGTGGAAGCATCGCATGTGGTGTTGACACACATCTTATATAATCTCATCATATCTCATCATTCCTCCCTGGACTACGTACAGTAGAACTTATCCACCAATTCTGCAGGAAAAGCAGCACGTAGCACGAGATTCAAATTCTGATGTAGGGACGGACTCTTGAGCCGCGATGATTGTGATGATTTTGTGATGATATTGTGATGTAAGATAGATCACTCAATCAATGTGAATCAATCTGAATCACCATTTGATCTTGAGCCAAGGCAGTGTGGAGCTTTCTCCTTCTTTCTCATGGCCGAGTCTTTCTGGCATCTGTAGCCTCCACAGTGTGGTGCCAAATGAACATTTGATCAGTGAACCGGTGAGAAGCGGTGGCACAGTTCTGGAAGCCTACTGGTGTTGAATTATGTCAAATTCACATAATTCAATTCCGGGATAGCTTGGAGAAGGAAAAGGTTCGCCCTTGCGTGACACTTCGGAAGCCATTGTGGAGGCAGGGGAGCTGTGGCAAGAGGCGAAGGAAGTCCTTGTGGCAGAGTTGACCAACCAAGGTGCCTGAGAGCTGAGATTTTGGAGATGGGACCTGGGACACCAGAAGGTTGTGGCGGTTGTGGGCACCCAAAATGAAATCTTTGAATATCTTTGAATACCCAAAATGAATCAAACATGAATTGAATCAGATTTTGAACCTGTGATTGATGTGATTGAAGAGTCATCTTCTGAAATGTCTGAACCGTAGAAAATCTACTGTCGTTAATCTTTGGTGGTTTGGGAACATCATCAAAAGTACTTCAGCTGCACAGCGGCCTAATAATCCGCCAGTAGCCAGTAGCATGAGCTTATCAAAGGGGGAGCTGGGATACCTGGATATCAATCCGACAGCCCCTTCAATGTCTCCATAGATCTCCGTCGATCTCCAAGCCAGGCGTGAGCCCTGAACGTCAAAGCCAGGCAGGATGATTTGAAGACGTTCGAAATGATGCTGGACTGTCACTGTAGGGCCTACATTGGCGCCTTTGGGGATGAATTGCTGGCTTCAATGGGCAACGGTTTGCACCCAGAATTAGCAGCACATAGCACCTTCCAAGCGAAACTCGATCATTTCTCAGCATTATAGTAGTGCCAGTTGAACACGGTGGTTGGAAGGGTATTGCCCAGTGATGAACATTTGGGATCATGCCACTTTGTCTATCGATTCTATCGCCATTACTGTTGGCGATTTTCCCGCCATAGCTGCCAGGTCTGGTTCAACCTTGGCTGCGTACAGCAGACGCGCGGAGGGCTTGAAGCGGCGGAACGGAGCTTCCGCCGCGCACGCAGCTGCAGCGGTGCGGACGTGGCAAACGATGCAGCCATGCGCCAGGAGAGACTGAAGATGAGACAGTCACATCAGAGAATCTTGAATAATCTTGAATAGTTGGAGATAGCTGAAGCATTTTAAAGCTTTTGTGACTGTTGCGGTGCCTCCCGGTGGTCCAACCACACCCATGTCTTTTGTTTGCCCCCTGCGCTACGTAGCGGAAGGCACTCCTACTGGCCAAGAAAGCAGAGACCATTGAAGCAGCAGCGTTACTTCAAGAGGTGCTGCAACAGCAACCGAAAGATGTGGGCGCCAGGCAGGTAAGATGCTTGCCATTCATTGCTGCACTTTTTCGGAATCCTGTTCCACATGTAGTTGATTTTGCATGTGAGATAGTCGCTTCTATCGCTGAGTAATTTGCAGCAAAGTACAGAACATTGAGCATTACCCTCTGTATGGCTTGTAGCGGCACTTTGGTTTCCAAGAATGCTTTCAGCAGAACGGTTGCCAGTATTTGTGATACCGGAGAGTGTGCAAATAGACTCGAGATCCTTGCTACATCATAGTTGGCACTGCTTTGATTCCGTCACCTAATTGACGTATCTAAGAATAGCCATAGAGAAGCTGTTCACACTGCACAGGTGGAATCTGGGGCTTTTGCAAGTGCACGAAGGCGAGGGCTAGCATTCGCCTGTAAATGACTGACAATTTGTCATGATTTTGAGAGAAGTGAGAAGGAGTCAGGTCTCATAGCAGTAGGGACATTACAATGGAGTGAGAAAGGCCGGAGAATGTCGACATGACCAGTTTGCGTTATCTTACTGTGAAGAATTATGAAAGCATTTCTTCAACATGGGATAACATGGGTAGTTTTCTCAAAAAGGTAAATTATCTCATGTCTCATCCATGCCTCAAGATGCTGCTCTGAGGAGACTTGGATGGTGCTCGAAAGACCCTGCAGATGGCGATTGAGACGACGAAAGAGCTGCTTCGCCTGATGAATACCAATCCCGTCAACGCCCACATGGCACATGTGGAACCTTCTGTGCAACTGATTCGACTTCAAACTATTGCAGGCTTCATGTACAGTAAATAATTCAAAAGGGTGTTGATTTGCGGTGGAAAACTACAGCTCTTGCTAAGGTTGGGCTTGTCCCCACGGCGGCTAGCAATGATGTACGAGCCGATACTTGATAGAAATCTTTGGCCATTTCTGGACTCTACGGAGTTGCTTCTCATGATTCTCATAATATTTTTGCTTGGACGACTGTGATGTTGATCATGTGGATAGAAGACATTATGTTCCATCACATTCCCATGTGCTTGCAAACCTCTAGAGTGTGTTGTTTCCCCAATGAATCCTCAAAAAAGGTTCCAATCTATCGCGGTGTCCTGTCAAGTCCTCTGCCTGACATTCCCTTGCTGATGACCTCAGGGAGATCTATGCCGCTGAACTGAAGGAGGAGGCTGACAGCTTTCAGGCACCTCCAAACGGTCCAAACCCTTTAACAGACTTTAACATGATGGGCAAATTATGGCAAATTGGCCAAAGAGTTCGAGGCATTTTGAGGCTATTGCTTTGACTTCTCCAGATTTCAGCAGAACTTGTTCCAATATGTTTCAATTGCATGCTGAGTTGGGAGAAACGAGCGGCACCTCGTCGCCGACTCGTCGCCATGCTTTTTGTCCGTGTTGCATCATGTTGCTTGGAAATTTCTCTGCCATGCGAGGCTTACGCCCCTGAGCTGTCACCTGCTTTGGCTGAGCTGCGCCGATTGGTGTCAACGCCATCTTGGCTGCTGAGCTGGGGAGCAGCTCAGCACAACATAGGAAACGGTAAAGGTAATGTGATGGGTTGTACAGTTGTACTTGTACCTGAGAGTTGTTCAAACATTTGAAACACATCGAAATGCCCTTTTACATCCTTTTACTGTGAGGTTTGTCGGATCAGTAGCCCAGGATATTGTTGGTTTTTGGCTCTTGGACAGTTGAAAGTGCTTTGACACAGGTGGAGACCGTTCAGACCTTCGGTCCTGATGTCACTTCTGCCTCGTATGGTGAGACGTTTTTCCGATCATGGAAGGCCTCCGCTGGTGAGTTATGGACAGATTTCTTCACCACCGAATGGCTTTACTTGGCATATGCATCGCGGCTCGAAATCTTGAACTAGTTGCACAGCGACTTGGTGAGAGTGGGATCAGTATGAACCAGAGGCACAACTCTGCGACGTTTGTTTGGTTCATGACACAAAACAAGCTTCATTTCTCATCATTCTCATATTTCTTGTGATTTGCATGGCTTGAATCCCTTCACTCTTGACAGTTGAACCGCCTGCGACCAGGCAGTGATGGACCATCCAGAAATGCAGGAACTTGTGCAGACTGACCAGCCGTCAGCAGTCATCATGGGAAGTGCTTTAGGCAGGGTTGCATGAATTCTTGAGGCGGTGTAGAGTTGCAGGCCGTAAATTCATTCAGACTTGAAGTTGGATGAACAGAATATCATGATGAGCATCATGCAAAGTTCAGGTTAATGCAATGCTCAAGCAAGCACCATTTAGTTGGAAACTGAATCTTGGAAGGGGTTATCATTAGTTGAGTACTTCTCAATTATCAATCTCATTTCAACCTTTGGTGTTGTGCTAGGGCTAGGGCCTGCTAGGGCTGCTAGGGAACTCGGACGAATCATCAATATTCATGTGATTTCATGTCATTTCATGTGTGTCCCACTGTCACGCACTGGAAGGCTACACCTGCCTCTTCTTTGCAGCAGCAGGGATTCCATCCACAGGCCGAACTCCCCGGCGTTCCAAACTGATCCGTCTCGATTCATTGACCAATCTGAGCAACTCATCACTTCCGTACCAAGATACGATGTCAACGGCGTGATAATTAAACGATATTAAACGACTTCCCTTCAAAAACCTTGGACTGGTTTGCATCGGTTCTGAGGTTGTACGTTTGATTCAAACCAGTCCTAACTAGTAGCTGCTGTAGCTATTCAAGTTCTATTGGATTGGCCTTGATTCTTTCTAGCTCAGAGCAGAGTCATGAGTCTCATTCTGTCCTGCAATAGGTGTTTGAGAATAACATAATTAGCGCCTTTCCTTTCTGCCTCTCCTATATAAGATAGTTCTTTTCCTAACCCACTATTGGTTTCTGCTTGAGTCATAGTCATTCAGGGTCTGGCAGGCTACGACCTATTGGAGGAAAGCATGGTGAAGATGGCGAGACGTTGCTCGTTTTTTTTCCGCCAGAATTCAGATTTCAGAGGTTTCACAGAGGTTTCACAGAGGTTTGATATGTTTGATTGCAGAAACGAATAGTATCGAATAGTCAACTGTCAAAACTGATCAATGTGCAACATTGTGCAACTTAAGTATCAACAAGTGACGCATCCATACGCTTTAAACGTCAAGGCTTTGTTGCGAAGGCTCCCTTGAGCGTCTCCGTGGAGTTCGAGGCCAGGACGGGGATACGGGGATGGTATGGTATGCCTGATACAAGATACATGATACACATTTCATGGTAATTCATTGGTTTGCCTTAACAACATATAACAAGGTGTTTTAAGCGTTCATGGTACGATGTATTACGATGTATTACGATGTATTACGTGTGCATTGTGTAAAACAGTTTGTTTCCAGTGGTGTTCATGATCCATGGCGTATTTATGCGTATTTGATGTAAGTTATACATGGTGTATCATGGTGTGTTGTTTATGAAAAGTTAAGTATCTTTCGGATTTTTCAGAAATCCATCCTATACTCCCCCTGACCTTGCATTTTCAGTCTGGTTTCCAGCAGTGTGCATGAAAGTTCCTCATCGCCTCAAGTTCGATCCTTCCCTTTATACCAGGCGAAAGATGCTTTAACTGCGCCATTGACCTCAAGGTCAGACGTGCTTTGCATTCTCTAATCTATACTTTGATGATCTTTGATGCGCTGTTTGTAAAACAGTACAAACATTCAGCTCACAGTCACGACATCAGTATACATCAGTGCTGCTTCCCAGTGCCTTCAGAATCAAAACACCAGAGATTCGGGGAGATTCGGGGAGCAGCAGCAAGCAGCATGGTGCTGTCGATGGTGCAAGCTTTCATAAGCTTTCCCAATGCATCGACAGGTTTCAATCGCCTTCGACTCCAAGCATTCTTTGGTTGAATGATGAGGTGATTTCGTGCACCTCCAGGGGTCCAGTTTTGCGTTGCAGTTTGAGGCCTTGAGTATTACCAGATATATCCAGATATTACAATTGTATTACATAGTACCACAGATATTACAGGAAGACTTCCTAAACAACACTGATTAAACATGACGTCGACATATGTCGACCCATCTGGATTCCCCCTGGCAGGTCTGGCCAGCAGAGCTACGTGTTGCAGTTAAGGAACGGGCTGCGCTGGAGCTGGCAAAAAGGTCCTTGGTGGTCAGTCGGGGTGCCAAGCATTCGCGGATATTTTGTACTATTTTGTTTGCCTTCAAGGTCAGACTTGAAGCATCGTGATCATACATACTTACACAATTTTACACATATAATCATACATACGTGCATGTACATGTACAATCACCTACAATCACATACAATCACACACATATAGTTACATACACATACATACGCCACATGTTCCTTATCAAATCTGTCCTCAGTGAGGTTATGGGCCACAAGAATCGGCATCGTTAATCCCAGTAGCGACGCTGCGGGTCAGCACCTCCTGGTGTCGGAATGAGCAGCTGTGGCTCCTCAAGCGCACCTGAGGCCCACCGGGAATTGGATGGAATTGGATGTAATTGGATGGAAAGAAATGTGAAGTGATGAAATGTGATTGTTGCAATCTTGGCAATTTTTGACCAAAACTTTCCAGTGCCAGGCCCAATGAGATGCTCACAGTCGCGCACGTTGAGGCCCAGCAGATTCTGTGTGAAATCATGTGAAATCTGCAAATGATATATATCAGTTATAGATTATGTATTTTATATAATCTATATATACACAATATATATATATATAATATTATAATATAATATAATGTATTTATATGATTTATTAAGATTCATTAATATTATTTTGTGAAAGAACACGAACAGACAGGAGTTGTTTCCCAAGAAGCCAAGAGGACAACACCATCCTTCAGCCCTGGCTCAATTTGTGTTCCTCTTGCTCCAAGGGTTGGTTTGAAACGAGACGTATTCTTGGGTTGATGAGGTCTAGTCTAGCTGCCCAGCTATATCACGAGATATCCAGAAATGCGTCGCTGTGAAACCCTTGTGTGGAGACAAGCCATCCACCATTCGCCTGACACAGGTCGCGAAGGCTCCTAAGAGCTTCAAATCATGCGCAGACTCTCCACCGAGCGCAGCTACACAGCCTGGCGAAGTCTTCGACGCTTTGCCTGTTGGATCCTGATGGCCAGCTGATGGCTGAGACTCAATGGTTGCATTCTACCTGTCTGGTGTGCCTATACTGTTTGGGAAACGAATGCGCCATGAAAGCGAGTGAATGGTACTGTACTGTGCGCAAGCCAATGCCAGTAACAAGAGCTTGGTCATCAGGCTCATGTCCTTCAAGATCTTCAAACTGCTCATGCCCATCCTCCAGTGATTTTGTATACTTGGGCTGGAAGTAGAGCTTTGTTGTGGACCACCACATGCCCTGGAGCCCCTGCGCAGCCCTGGACGCTGCGAAGGGGGGGATCGTGCCATAGAGAGTTGTTAGAAGAGGCTTGGACTGGCCACTGCAGCCACTGCGTCCCGAGCTCGGAATGACTTCGATTTCACGCAGCACGTGCGCGCGACCACAGATGGTCACAGATGTGCATCTGGGAGAAAAGGCCGAACTGCTCTTGCGAGGAAAGAAGGCGGATTTCTGTTGCGACCGCGCTGGCCTTAGAGTTGGCTGAAAGTCACACCTGAGGTTTCAGTTGCCAAGCGTGTATCTCAAGAGATGGGAGCCGCTTGGCTGCAGTGACCATGCACCAGGGCCGTTATTTTGTTTTGCTTCCCAACATTTCCCGACAGCAAGATTTTTGGAGCAAAATACATCGATCACGCGGGGCATGTTTGGGACAAACGATGATGTCATCTGGATCTCCATGATATCCGAAATCTCGCTCATTAATTGGTGGAATCAAGAGATATGTAGTTGACCATGTAGTTACGTATTGACCATATAGTTATGTAACAGTTATGTAGATCATTCCTCACTGCAAGTTTTCCCAGGATCCATGGGAAGGCCCTGGTTCCCGGGAGTCCCTCGTGGGATATCAGCAGCTGGGCTGCAGTTTTAAACTGTCCATGGTTCCCAGTGGAATGATACTGGAAAATGGATGAACATGGCGGAATGATGCGGAATATGGATGAATATGGTGGAGTTTTACAACAAAACTCATCAAAACTCGATGGTCGCAGCCATCAAGCCCATCTCAATGCATCTCGCTTCATTCACCCTGAGGATCCGCCTGGAGAAGAAGGCCACGGACTACACAGTGAAAACTTGGGAAAATGATGCCAGTTGGAAGCGAACATCTATGAGTACCCGAAATCGGTGAAACAAAATCTTGATCTACATGTATTCAAAACAGAGTTTCCAAGCGCAACATAATGACATTCGTGCTCACGCTGCAGGTGGCAAGTTCTACCCGGCTCCTTTTCTGCACAGACAGGCTCTCAGTCCAAAACACCACAAACCCATACAAACCCGTCACTAGCTTGTTGAGTCATGTGGCTTTGTCTCACAATCGGGTACCCCTAATTGAGAGGGTTATATATGGTAATATATGGTAATATTATAATCATCATTTACCCGTATTTTCCCTATTAAATAGCCATTTGGGTCGGTATCCCTGAGTTTCAGACACACCCACGCTGCGCCGAGGTTGGTGTCTTGTTGAAGCAGATGCAGCAAGGCCTCGGAGCTTTATCAAAAGTCGGGGTGGCACAGAATGGCACAGATGAGTTTGAAAAAAACATGAAGACATTTTGTTAACATGGACACGTCATTTTAACATATTTTAACATGGAGGAATGGAGGACACATGAGAAAACACGCTGGGATGAGGCGATTCCCTCTTCATTATTTTCATTCTTCTTGTGGAGCAGATTGAGAACTAAAAGTGTAGAGCATGATGATCTTAATCCATCTTGATCGTTGCTGCCATCAGCTGACAGCTAAGGTGACCCACATCTTTATCGATGAAATCCATGAGCACCTTAGCTGTTTTCTGGATTCCAACAGCATCCAACAGCATCCAACAGCCATACGTAGCATTGAATTCTGTTGTTGTGGTGGATTATGGCAGATTCAGATCTGCTAAATGCTATCTGATGCAGACCTTCCTGTCTTACGTTGCTGTATGGTGTCAACATTTCCAAGATGCTACCCATTTGTCTGCCTGAGGCGCAGTGCTGATTGCGATTTGCTGCTTCTCCTGTTGCGTCGGGCCGCTGAATTTGAACGCATTGATGGGGCAACTACTAAGTTGAATGCTAAGAATTAAGAGATATGAAGTGGCTGATGCGGCTGGCTAGATGTTACAAGGACTGAATTATGTCTTGCAGAAGTAATACAGTAATATACAGTATCTAAAATTATCTAAAGCTTTTTGAAATAAGAATCAGTTCAAGCTGTTACATGTTTTCCAGCTTGGCCCATTGGCTGTGCTGCACACCGTTGATATCCGTTGATCCTCAGGGCAAATCAGAAGTACTCGGCCGGATCTGCGATTGGTGCTGATGAGTGCCACTTGGTGAGACAAAGCTAAGTGCCATGAGCTTGTCAAATGCAAACTTGGTGTTTTTCGTGAGTCACTAATATGAATTTCAGATTTGATGATGGCGTCATGCCACTTTAGAAGATTTCTGGATTAGTGCTGTGAGGCCACTATGGAAACAGACAAGTTGGTGAGGTACTTTGGAAGTACCCTGAATGCACCCGTTGCAAGGATGAGGATGAGGATGAGGATGAGGATGATGATGATGATGATGATGATGATGATGATGATGATGATGCAGATGCAGATGCAGATGCAGATGCAGATGCACGATATGTTCTGCTTCATTGAGAGTTGATAGTATTGACGTCACATATGTTGTTCCTTCATCTTCGCGATGACCAACTCACACCTCGGACTTGGAAATCTGCTCAAGGATAATCTCAAATCCGATTCGAGAGGGCCAACAATGCTAAAGCAGCACACCAGTCCCTCACAGCGTTTTTTCATGTTCCTTTACAGTTGCCCTTATTATATATAATATAATAATATATATATATACATACAAGATATACACACGCATGTATATATATATATCATATATATATATCATATATATATATATATATCATATATATATATCATATATATATATATATCATATATATATATATATCATATATATATATATCATATATATATATATATCATATATATATATCATATATATATATCATATATATATATACATACACTGTTTAACAGAACTCGGAAGGCGTGGAAAAACTGGATCTGAGGTCCAGCTACTGTACCGGTCTTATCCATTCCTGGACGCACATTTCCTGCAGGGGTCTCAGCTTCATGGTTTTAACATGTTTTAAACCGAGAGAAAGGATGTGTGGACTGCAACCGCTATTGCCATTTAATCATTCCTGGCTGTTTCACACTTCAGTGTCGAGGTACAGCAATTCTGGTTGGAAGATGTGATTCAGATGACTGGACTGCTGTCTTTGTGTTCATGGGATTGTGGATGACGTGGATGTGACGTGGATGTGACATGATGTGACCATGTGCCATCAATCATCAATCGAAAACTGCCTGCAAGCGCTTGGCCGAATCTGACCGTGGGATGGTAGTCATTGAAAGTTCACTAAATTGAATGATTTGAATGCGTGCCTCGCGCGAGCAACGTTGGTTTTAGTTCCTGCAAAGTAGGCCCATGTCACTAGAACTTTGCCAGCCATACATTGGGACTTCAGCGTTGAGGATTTCTCCTGCAGGATATCGGTGGGAGGAAGACAGCGAATTTGCGAAGAAAGGCTGAACGTTTGGAGCCCACTGAACCAGCGCATCCAACATCATCCAACTGTATTTCAGTGAGAATGCAAGTCTCATCAAGTCTCGATATTTGGCAATTTGTTTCTTTGTTTAGCTCAGATTCTATGGCCTTTCCATCTTGCCATTATTGCCCTCTCAAGAAATGACAGGATGGAATCGCGGCTGGAGCACTGAAAAGAAGACATTTCAGGTCCAATGTGGTTTTGGGCCCCGAATCTGAAATGTACCTTGAGGACATCATCTCACATCCTTGAACAAGGAATGTGCAGCCTCCTGGCTTGAGTCACCCAAACGTTACCTCAGGCAGGACAGGTGTTGATGACGCATTCCGCACATTCCCCAGAGTGTCACATTCCCCGAAAGCACATCTTTGTTGATGCGCGGTCAGGTGGCAGACAAGGGAAAGACGAAGAACATCACGGCATTCATCGATGAGGAGGAAGAGTGGGGCCAATGCCTTGGTCGTTGACTTTAGCGGATGCCGGGGGATTCAACATGTCTGAAGAATCTGAAGAACACTCATTGAATACATTGAATCATGATGAATCATGGTAATATCCTGTGATCAAGTGATTTGATCAACCATGATCAACCTATTTATGACATGTATTGACATGTTATATAAATCATTCTACGACTTCTCAGCCCAGGATTTCTCCAGCTTGACAGCGGAAATCATTGGAAATCACCTGTGCATGACATTTTGCGGCCGTTTGACTCGATCCAACAATTGCAGACACAATTGACCCAGCCAACAACAATTGATCGAAATTCCATGAAATTTCAACTTTTTTGCTGATTGGTTGGGCATGGTTGGGCGTAGATAGCATTTTCGGGATTTGCGCTGACATGGGATTTGCAAAGTGTAGCCAGTACGGCATTACGCATAGAAATCATAGCGATGTCAAACTTGACTGTAGCCAAAGTGAATTTTGAACCTTCCTGACACTTCCAGATTAATTGGGTGCTTTCGCACTCTTCGATTGATTTCCCAAGTACGAATTCCGAACAGCAGAGGGTTTCTCTACAGGATGAAGCATGCAAGTAGCCTGATCCAAGTTGTTTAAGTGAAGCGAAACCTTCAAACTGTCAGTTTTTTGAAGCTTTGAAGTCACTACAAGTCACTTCCATATTTTGTCTGGCTGGGAGATGTGCTCTCCACAATGTTGCTTGGTTGCATCTTGGTGACCCTTGATCTGAGGCATAGTCTCACAGGGTTTTCCTTCTTGCAGGAAAGGAATGGAAAGAACAAAGTAGTGATCGATCCCGTCTTGAGTGAACTTCAATTTTTGTCAATGCTCTCCCAGCTTAGGCATAATGCCAGTAGCTAACACCACCTGAAACATACAGACCAGAGCTTTTTTACAGGACAAGACTTGAAAGAGGCCACAGCAAAAAAAAAGATGATGCTGACCCACAGAAACCGCATTGGGTGGCGGCATGTCATGTTCCAAGGTTGCGACAGCGTTGGATCAAATTTGTCCATCCAACTCGGCTATGTCATGGCATGCGCCTGGTTTGCTCTGTATTTCACTGCGCCCTGGCTAACAAGAGCAGCATTGCAGCAGTTCTTCTGGGGATACACCAGATATCACCAGATTGTATCGGCCTGCCATTGCAGTCCCAAGACAAATCCGGTATGGACCAACACCATGCTGCTGTTGGTCTACACACAAGGATCCATGAAAGTGAGATTTGTTCATATTTGTTCTATTGGCTTTGTCTTGTTTTTTTTGACAGACAAACTCTGCAGTTTTCTAATTCTATGAACAAACCACTGAAAGATAACTGCTGCCACGGAAGTTTGAATGCGCCCTGAACATACAGTCAGTACCCTCCAAATCCTCCAAGTTTGGTGGGTTGAGGTGATGCTTTCCGTTGAGTATAGCTTTGCGCAGACTGATGCGGGTTGGAATCCGCGTGGCACCGCTTTTGAAGTGCTAGAGGTTGTTGCAGGGATGACATCCTTGTGCAACTTGCAGATACTTGCAGCGTCTGGAAGACATGAGAATCATATAGAATCATGAATAATCATGAGACAAACCAGTCATCAATATGTCATCGATGAAAGCTTTGTTGTTTTTTTGCATCTTTTGCTTTGATCTTGGTTGGTTGTGCTGCTCCCATATCCCATTTTTCTGCTTCCTGCTGACGTGAAATGAATGTGATTTGCACGTGGATGCAAGCAAGACTGCCCAGTAATTTATATTATAGTAAGCCAGCTGGTCATTTAATATTTTTTTTTGTTTTTTTGCATTTTTTGGCTGTTGTTGGTCTCGTAGCCTTGTCGTTGCTTTTGCCCAGTCTCATTGATGCCTTCCTGCTGAGGTATCTTGATAGTTTGGTTGTTGGCTGTGGCCAGCCGCTGCTGTGCCCCGTGCTGCTGCGGTATGTACATGGAAAAGGTTCCGCAGCCATGCCCTTGTGGAGAATGTAGGGCGCCCCAGATGGTATGTTCTACAGGGAAATCATGGGAAATCCTGATTGCCAAATACACGCTGCAACCCACTGCACATTGTCAACCTCGGAGTTATGCTTCGTTGTGTTGAGCGAGAAAAACCCAGCTGCAATGCAGAGTTGAGTATGTAGACTGTCTGAGGCTCCTTGCAGAACCCGCGTTTGTTGGATTATCCGTTGTTCGTTGCCTTCGGAGGTATCACAGCTGCCAAACCTAGCACCTTTTTTTTTGCTCGTTGGTAGTTGCAGGGTTTCTTGGGTGGTTCAGGCCTTAAAACCTGCCACAACCACGCAGCAGTACCAAGGTCATGTAGTTTGCAATCTCCTCCTTGATGGGCCCCTGTTGCATTTCTTTCCATGGCAACCCCTGGAGGGTGTCCGCCGCATCTCCATTGTTCGCCTGGTGAAACTGCTGACAATCGTGTGGATTGTCCTTGCTCTATTCGGCATTTGTCCCATATCTGCAGCAAATAAGTGCACATCATCCATACCAAGCAATCCACACCTGCAATGCCAGATTTGGGTGATTTTTTTCAACTGGGTACTCGTAACAACTTATATAATGTTCTTTGTGTGAAATTCATTCAAGTGATCAGCATGTGCTTTTGACCCATAGGGTTGCACTTCGCCAACCATCCATGTGTGCCGATATCCCTTTTACATATCAATCTGATCCATTAGCGGATCCCTTGCGCCATATTGCTGAGCAATGAGCGTCCGAGCCATTGCGTGAGTGACAAAAGACAGCGTCTTTGCATTTTCAGCTCTCTATCCGTGAAGCCTCACGAGTTGGTAGAGCGGAGCCCCGATCTGGGGCAGGCATGCCGAATTGGCCACTAGGAGCTCCATGCGAATCTCGAGCCCAATACGCCCCTGCTGTTGACCTTTTTGCTGATGACGATTTGAGTTTCGATGCCCCAGACTCTCTGCTAGACTGGTATGATGAGACTGAGAATGCCGAAGCTGAATCCCAACATGGTCCAGTATGGCAGTGCCTCCATTGTGGTAACGATCGATTCATTTGGAACCCTGGACACGGGAAGTCATCAGTTGGATGTTGGTCATGTGCAGCTTGTTTTTCGGATGAATACTTTGATACAGCGGTGCCACAGCGCCACCAGACAGAGCGGGGTACCTGGGTGTTCATGCCGAATGGTCACAATGCTGGATCTCCCACTGACTCCATGGCCAGACGACCATCTCAGAAGCAGCGACGCCGTAGACGACGACGACATGCTGGCCCGCCACCGGACGATGACCCGAGCGAGGCTCCTGAAGGTGGTGAAGAAGAAGTTAGGACTAGTGATCCAAGCGTTGATGTGACGCCAGCAGGTTCAGTTGTTCGACGCCCTCATGCGCCAGCAGTTGGACAACAGCCTGCACAGCCTGCGAATCCTGTGGAAGCCTTGACAACAGCCCTGCAACAGTTCGTTGATGCTGCGAACACTAGTCGCCGCAGACAAGGAGAGCATTCCTCTTCAACTGACTCATGGGTGAGTGCCATGGGACCCCAACGTGGTGTGAAGTTCAGAGGTGGAGCTCCACCTGCTCCTCCAACGTGGGCATACAATTCTTCTGACTTGCGTGCCTATGAAAAGTTTGAGCGAAAGGTCAAAATCTGGGAACTGCATGTGAAGCATTTCATGACAGATGCTGAGGCAGCTTTGACTTTGTTTACATCACTGAAGGGTGAGGCCGAACAGGAGTTAGAGTTTGTGGAGGTGTCTACAATTTACCGTAAAGGTGGTGTGGATACCATCCTGTCATATCTGAAGCAGGCATTCCAACAGAAAACAGTTTACATCAAAAGACAGTATCTCCACGACTATGAGGCGATTGGTCGTTGGCCAGGTGAATCTCTGCGGACCTATATCAATCGATATCGCCGTGTGGAAGCTTCATTGAAGGCTATTGGGATTGACATTGGCCTGACCTACGATGATGAGAGCCGGGGATCTCGTTTGCTGGATCGTGCACGGTTGTCAGTTGAACAACAACGTTTGGTTTTGGTTGGTTCTGCACAGAGCTTGTCATTTGATGCCATCCGTGCTGCATTGATGTTGCAATACCCCGAGCATAGGCAAGCGCCTCCAGTCGCTGGAAGAGAGGCCACCACAGCACCTTATCAGTCTAAAGGTGCTGGCAAATCTGGTTCAGGTGCTTCATCGACTCCATCAACGACATCTGCAAATGTCGGCAAGGGCAAAGGCAAGGACAAAGGCCCTCGAAAGGTCTACAATGCTGAGACAATTCCTGAGGAAGCCCAGGAAGAAACTGCTGATGCCGAAGATGATGCAGATGCAAATGATATGGACGTTCCAGCCGATGAAGGTGAACAGCAATGTGAAGATGAACCAGATGAGAATGACGGAGAAGGTGACGACCAAGTTGCCGAGCTGACTCAGGTTTTGACTGTCACAGCTCGCAAGCTTGCCAATGTCACCCAAGGCCGCAAGTTTTCCGGCCAACCAAAGCGCTCCATTCAGGAGAAGAAGAAGAATTCCATTTGTGCGGCATGCGGACTGAAAGGGCACTGGGCAGGCGATCCCGAATGTGAAGCGTCTGGACCCAATGACAAGTCCAATCCATCTTCAAGCTCTACGGCAACCCCAAAGGGGAAAGGTCGTGGCCAAGGCCAAAAAGGCCGTGACGATGCTGGACAAGCCAAAAAGGTGATGACCGTCCACCACAGCTCCGGCTTTGACAGCACAGTGGAATATCTACCTCATCAAGAGCTATCTCACCCCCATTTCACCATGATGGTTTGCAGAGTGCCCAATGTTTGTTTGATATCAGCAGCCTGTGAAACAGCCGGCTACATGATCATGGACACTGCTTGCCAACGCTCTTGTTGCGGTGCCGAGTGGATTGCGCTGCAGGCCAAGACCTTGGAGCCTTTCCGTCTCAAGATCTACAACGAGGCCAGCCACGAGCAGTTTCAGTTTGGTGCTGGTCAGCCTATAGTATCAACCACCAAAGCATGGATTCCAAGTGCAATCGAACAGCGTTGTTTGCTTTTTGGTGTCAATGTGGTTGAGACAAACATTCCATTTCTTGGCAGCCTCCGACTTCTGAAACGTTTGGGTGCAGTGATTGATTTGATGCAGCAAGTTGTATTTTTCAGTCGTTTGGATGTTTCAGCAAAACTCAGACGAGTAGGAGGTCATTTGGCAGTCGAAATCATTCAATTTCCACCACAGCCCAATCGACTTCGTGTTTGGTCACAGATTTCTGAAAGAGGTTTTAATGATCCCGAGATTGCATCAACCTTTTCTTTGGAGCATTTGCTTGAAGATGATTCCGGCACTTCCGCCACAACATCGGCTCTCCCAGCAATTCGCGATCTTTCTATGACCTCTTGCCATGATGGACAGCCTGCCGGTCAACCTGGATGTGAAGAAGCGATGGCAACGACTTTCGCGGAAGCTCCTCCAGTTGGCCATGACAGCCGTGCTCCACCTGCGGCAAGCCTCACGACTTGGGCTGATACCCGACGCAATTTACCAGAACTATCTCGACAGCAAGGATGTGCAGCAGAAGCCTCCCAAGCAGAAGCCACCAAGTGCAGCTCAGCTCCATCGGATGAGACTCCAGGAGACTTGCACCCACCAGGAATTTCGAAGATACGGCAATGGCCGCGGGAGCTTCGCAGCATGTGTCCGGTGCCAAGCTCGATGGCGTTGGGAAGAAACAGGTTGGAAGTTGTATGGCTCCTCATGCAAGTCGTCTCTGCCTCTACCATCTTCATCAACAACTCTGGATGGATCGATTCCACCGATGAGCTTCGAGGCAGTGCACCTTCCACTACAAGGTTCCCAACCCAAGCAGAAGAGCGCACCAAAGCTGACCCAGGGATACCTATCAACCACCAGGACTGGCATGACCAGATCAAGAGCTCCTTCGATGACATCTTCGGCAGCAGGACACATGGCCCGCAACGAAACCGAGATGGAGGACTGCGATTTCCTGATGCCGGAGGAGGAGGATGCCTGGTCCCTGGGAAACGAAAGCGATTGATTGGCGACACCAAGAAGGTCATCAAGTGCCTTGAGAATGAAGTTTTGGCCATGGAAGCCTTGCCACCCGAGCGAGACAAAACCAGCTCGGTGGATCTTCTTGAGCTATATGCAGGTGCCGCCAAAGCCACTCTCCTTGCCAAACAGTACGGTCTCAATGCTCTGGAACCCTTCGACAAGAATGAGGGCAAGGATCTGTCTGATCCCCAACAACAACAACTTGTGCAGCAAGCCTTGCAACGGTTTCGCCCCTTGTTGCTGCTGATTGGTTTCCCATGCACCTTGTGGAATTTGCTCAACGAGAATTGCAACTACTATTACAGAATGCACGAGCTTGAGACCATGCGAGAAGAGCAACGACCTTTGTTGCGCTGGACCTGCGAAATCATCAAAGAGCAGGCCAACATGGGCAACTATTTCATCTTTGAAAGTTCCCTTCGATGTCGTATTTGGGATGAACCTTGCGTCCAGGAGCTGAATGACTTGCCAGGTGCTTTGACTGTGACGGCAGATGCAGGAGCTTTTGGCGCCACTGACCGTCACGGACATCCCATCATCAAGCCCCACAAGTTCATTGTTAACAGCTCTGAGATTGCCCAGGTTTTGCACCGACGACTTTCAGCGCAAGAACGACAAGTGTGCAAACCTTTGGAGGGCATCAATGTGACACTGTCGCAGGAGTATCCTGATGACATGGTTCGTGCCATCTTGCGAGCCTTGAAGAAGCTGGCCAGAGCACTGAGCCCCAACCGCTTCGATCTTCACCAAGTTTGCGTTGCTCAACCAGTTGATGATGCTGAGACTTGGAAGAAGCTGTTGACCGAGGTTCAGAATGTTTTTGCTGGAAGCGCAGTCAAAGCGCTGACTTTGCAGCCTGGCCAAGAGCTTTACAACAAGGTCGAGCAGATGATCCCTTGGCAATTGACGAGGGTGCAAATTGTGATGACTCCCATCACTCGAAGGCTTCCCAAAGATGTGGCTTTTACACATCGTGGTGCAGCTTTGCTTCACAATGATGAAACAATCACACTGGAATGGGAAGACCTTGGCAATGTGACCTTTCCAAAGCAGCGATTTCTGAAGCCAGTGACAACAGCGATTTTCTTTTATGGTTTGGCTGATGAAGATGTGCCGCACCGCCCAGCTCAACCATCGGAAGCTGATGAAGGCATCCATTTGCCTGTGCCTGGACTTCGGACTGATATCACTTTTCCAAACGCGCCGAAAACCCTGCCGAAGGAAGTGAAAGCCTCAGTTGCTAGACTCCATATCAACACTGGACATTGCAACAAGAAGGAGCTGATCAGACTTTTGGCAGCGCATGGTTCAATCAATGGACCCACCTTGACAGCCATCGAGCACATGGTTTGTGGATCTTGCGAGAGGACCAAACCTCCACCAGCGCCAAGACCTGCTGCAATCCCGCACTTTATGGGCCAGTTTGGTGAACGTGTTCAACTGGATGTGGTCTATGTGCGTGATTTGTCAAGCACCAACCATCCGATTTTGGGCATGGTTGATATGGCGACTTCACTACAACAAGCGGTTCGTCTTCACAGTCGGGCTTCAGCACACGTGGTTGACCAATTTCGCAGATGCTGGTTGGTACCATATGGATATCCCTTGGTGTGCGAAGTCGATGCAGATGGTGCCTTCGAAGGCGAGTTCCGCGATCGAATCCAAGACGCTGGAGTTCATTTGGTGGTGATTCCACCGGAAGCTCACTGGCGTATTGGAACAGTTGAACGCAGAAACGCTATTTTGCGTTCAGTTTTGGAGCGCCTCATTGACGAGAATGCGGTGGTCAATGGTGATGCCTTGGACTGGGTGCTGTTGGCTGCCATTCAAGCCGTCAATTCCAGCACAGCCTCAAAAGGCCGCAGTCCTTATCAGGCAGTTTTTGGACGTTTGCCTCGATTTCCTGGCGATTTGATGTCAGATGACAGAGCTTTGGCAGTTTCTGACAACCAATTGCTGGCCGAGGAGTTGCGTTCTCAAGCACTTCGAGTGATTGATGATATGAGGGCTTCTCAGATCATCCGCCGTGCCTTGCTGCGGAAGACGAAGCCCAGCAAAGATGAGGCCAAGCAGATTCTTCCTGGTTCTTTGGCAGCTTATTGGCGATGGACCAAGAGGTCAGCTGGCAAGAAGAGAGGCGGCTATGTCATTGGTCGTCTTCTCCACCATGATCCAGACAACAAGTCAGCATGGTTGCAGGCCGGTTCCACGACTGTGCAGGTCACCTATGAGCAGTTGAGACCAGCATATGGTTTGGAATCTTGGACTCCCAGCCTGACCGACATTCGAGCTCTCAAGAATGCCGAGAAATCTCTAGCAGATGGACTATGGCAGGATCACCGCGGACCTGGGCCTCCTCCAGACGAACCAATGGAGCCTGAGCTCATGCCGCCTGCAGACCCAGAAGATGTGATCATGGAACCTGTGCCTCTGCTTGGAGAACCACCAACACCACCTTTACCAGTTCTTCCTCTTCAGCCTCAACAACCTTTACATCATCCATCACAACATGAACATTTACACTACTCCCCAACTTTTCATCAACATCTTCGACAAGATATTCTTCAACAGCAGGAACTTCACCATCATCAACATCAACATCCACAGGCTGACATGCAAGTCGATGACTTTGACCGTCAAGTGCGACCCAAACTTGACGATGATGAAGCTTCAGTAACTGAACAGCAAATGTTTCAACAACAACTTCGGTTTGCTATGCAAAATCCACAACCTTCTCATTTACGACATCAACCAGATTCAGTGCCACCACATATGACTGAGCCTGAAACGCCAGTCATTCCACCAGAACAATCTCAACCTGATGCAACAGCCAACAACGACAACAATGATGATGCACCAATGGTACTAGAGCCACCAGTACCATCACAACCATCGAGCAGCAGACCCCCACCTTTGCCACCGGTGTCAGACGGCAGTTTGGGCAGCTCACAACCCACACCACCTATGACCGGCAGTTCTCCATCCAATCCATCAGCCATCCATAGCATCAGCTCAGGAGCTCTGATCGCTTCCAGATTGCCCAAAATGTGGAGCCATGATTGGAGTTACTACAGCTTTGTGGTCACGCAGGTCCCTGAGGAGCCCTTCTGCGTGATCGATCGTGTGAAGCCTGATTGGGATGGCAATGTGAAGAACATTTCACCAAGTACAAGTTGTGCCTTTCGGGTTGCTGCTGCGAAAGCCGAAAGCGCTGAAGTTTCCAGCGACTCTTCAGATGATGAGAAGACTGCACCTTCTCTGGCTTCGATGAGCCGCCAGGAACGAAAAGCTCTTGACCGTGAGATTCCTTGGCGTGTGATCGCCTCAGGACCAGATGACATTCGCGACCTCTATGTGCAGGCCAACAAGAAGGAATACGATAGCTGGATGAGCTGGGGATGCATTCGCCCTCTGTCACCAGAATTGATTCAGAAGATCAAGACAACTCCTTCTTTGAGGAAACGTGTGATTCCTTCGCAAAATGCATACCGCGACAAGAACCGCGGTGCTGGCCCCGACATTCGTGCGAAGTGTCGCACGGTGGTGCTTGGTTGCCAAGATCATGACTTGGCAACTCTTTCAAGAAGCTCGCCAACGCCAACCAAGATAGCAGAGATGGTTCTTCTACAGATCGCTGCTGCTGGCATGAATGGCTTGGTCGAGCTCACCGGCCACAAATGGCATCTTTGGTCAGGCGATGTCTCCACCGCCTTTCTCCAAGGTGAGCCAGAGCCAAGAAGCCAACCTTTGTACATGAAAGCTCCTCGAGACGGAATCCAAGCACTCGCAGAGACCTTTCAGGTTGAAATGTACGAAGTGATTGGTAACCTATATGGTTTTGCATCAGCACCAAGAACATGGTGGCAGAACGTTTTGAAAACAGCCAAAGCCAAGGACTTTGACCAACATCGCTATGACAAATGCATGTTGATCAAGCGCGACCAACAACGACGCCTGTTGGTTGTCATGATAGTCCATGTGGATGACTTCTTGGTGACGTATCGAGAGGACTATCCCATCGACGAGCTCAAAGCGATGTTTCGATGGGGTTCCACAACCTTGCTCACTCCTGAAAATGAGATAGTTTTCAGAGGCAAGGAAATCAAAATGCACCTGATCCAGGGCAAGACTGTTCTGAAAGTGACTCAGAAGGCCTTCATAGATGAGATGTCGGCAGGTCAACTTGCCCGTGGAAGACTCCAAGCCGAGCAACTCAATCCTGAGGCATGGAAAGAATTCCGTTCTGTGGCCGGATCCCTTCAATGGTTGGGTGGACAGACACGTCCAGATGTGTGCTCAGCTGTCAGCCTTGCAAACAAAGGAGCTGAGACATCACCCAAAGATTTGAAGACGCTTTTCAGCTACATCGACCTGGCCAAGCAGACCTCAGACCTTGGGCTTTGCTTCAACCCAGTGCCTTTCAACAGAGCTTCGGTTTTGATTGGATATGGCGATTCAAGCTGGGCCAACGCTCCAGGTGGGAAGAGTCAGATGGGCAGCCTTGTTTTATTTGCCTCCCCGGACTGCTTTGAACACAAGACTTTCGTTTCAATTTTGGACTGGAAGAGTGCTCGCAGCCCTCGCGTGACAAGGTCTACGCTGGCAAGTGAGGCAAATGCCATGGATGAGACCGTGGATAGATGCACCTATCTCAACTTCTTCATCACCGAACTTCTATATGATAATGCCATGACTGGAAAACAGCGAGTTGAACGTTCGCTGAAGCAGCTGCAGTGTACCGATTGCAAAAGCCTCTACGATTCAGTGATCTCTGAAAACCCCTCAAGCACTGAGAAACGTACGCTGATTGTGATCAGGTCCATTCAGGACTACATCAATGAGGATGATTGCAGGTGGATTGCATTCCCACCAATGTCATGTGGGCTGACACCTTGACCAAAGAAGATATGCAGCTGTGTCTTACTTTCCAGGATTGGATGAAACGGCCATATGTCATGTTGGTTGACGAAAAGAAAACATATCAGTGTGAAATTCATTCAAGTGATCAGCATGTGCTTTTGACCCATAGGGTTGCACTTCGCCAACCATCCATGTGTGCCGATATCCCTTTTACATATCAATCTGATCCATTAGCGGATCCCTTGCGCCATATTGCTGAGCAATGAGCGTCCGAGCCATTGCGTGAGTGACAAAAGACAGCGTCTTTGCATTTTCAGCTCTCTATCCGTGAAGCCTCACGAGACTTTGAAGATTTTGAAGGGAGACATTTTACTTTACCTAGCATGCAGAGGGTTTTTGACCTCTCATCAGATTGCTCCGCATTCTGATTTCGGTGTTGCTTTTCAGGTGCCTTGTTGCACTTGGAAATCAGAACAGTTTTGTGCTCCGACAGTTTGTTTGACACGAAGCCCATTAATGTAAAATCATGAGAACATGACCCTCAATCTAATCTCTCTCTCCGCCAAATTTGGAGCGCAACCAAGCCTCATGCCATGCCCTGTGGCAAGGTTTGGGTATCCGCAAATTTCAGCTCATGCGAAGTGGTTCGATATTACAACCAAGCATGCCACCGGCCATGGTGGTTGGGCAACCAGTGTCAGCACCATGCCACAGCTCTCATATCAATGCTGCGCCAGGACTCAGGTTTTGCTGAAATTTCCCACATGATGGGAACACTTGAGTGACGTTGATGCGGTTGATGGATGTTGGGGATATTCACGGAGCATCATTTTGGTGGAACCCTGTTGCACACGCCTCAGGAGACCATGGTGAGGCGCCTAAAACGATGGCAGCCTTATAGGATGGCCACCCCAAATCCAAGTGACACAGTGACCTTGATGATATTCGATGATTATGATTGTATTTAAATTACATATTCTGTATATTTCTGATTATTTCTGTATACTGTATTGTATTCTGAATTCTGTTTATGTTTGTAATATGTGTTGTACTATGTATTCTCCTCAATACAAATGATAGCAACCATCTCTCTGTGTATGACGTGGATTCGCGCAGGGGATTGTTTCGATATGTTTCGATGTTGAGGCAAATTCGGGGCGGCGAAACTCAGTCAGTTGGATTTGGGGTTTTGCAAAATGTGCCAAAATGTGCCAAATCATTCTCCAGAATTCCCAGATCGGGGAATTTGTGACGAATTTGTGACGAGCAAAAGAACTGCACCGAACAGGGCCCAGGCCTGGTGGGATGTGCGCAGGACTTGCCTCGGATCAGAGTCTGTGGTGAAACCACATCAGCAGAGCAGAATGTATACTTTATAGCACTAGTGTACACTATACTACATTTATAAAACACACACAATACGTATAATTAGATGATTAGATTATTATAGACTATTAAATTGATAATATATATACAATTATATAATACATATATATATAACATATATATATAATATATGTGTATTTATATGATTTTATATGTATGTGTGGATGGTTGAAGCATTTGCTGAAGTCTCTTTCGTTAGATCAGTTCGATCCTGACTTTGTCCAATCCAGCTTGTCCTGGACACCCCTTGTCCCAGAGATCATTTCACAACTGAAAAACTCTGCTGTGATGTGAAAAAATGTGGCAGAGAAGACTGGCGCGACATGGCACCTTGTTGCAACATGATGAGTCATATGATCGTCTGATAGTCATATGTTTAGACTACGGCGTTACCCTGACGGTAGGTCATATCAGTTGTCATAGCTTCACCCAAGGTTGTGATGACGAGGCCGAAATGTGTGATGAGACCTATGAGGCTTCCCCGTGTCACTGGTGGCAAAATGTTGTTCCGATTCAGGAGACAACATGAGACAAGTGTTTCGTCTGTGTTGCAGCTAGTGGCTTCTCCAGATGCCTCAGATATGTCTCTTAGAAGCTTTAGATGAACGATTTAGGCTGCAGCAAGATTGAGAAAAACACAATTTGCGTCATTTTCATCATGCACTGCCAGACTGACACGATGCGAGAGCTTTCGTACATGGCTGCGACCCCAGCATTCTGAGTGTAAATGAAGTTAGAACCTGCCAAACCCAATCCAAAAGCAGTTTCCAACTATAAACAGCACATATGATGACATATACCTCCATGAAGGTTCTGAGTGTTGTTTTTGCCTGATACATTTCAAGACATTGGGAGGTTGCCCACAGCTGTTTAGGATCACAGCCGCATCAACTACGACCTCATAGAACTACTCCTGGAATACATTGAGGCGGCGGTAGCTTTTTTCAGCACATGACTGCACACTGAAAAAAAAATGTATCCTGCTGCCTTCAATAGTAGCCAGACTGTCGGGTGGTCCTGAGATGTGCTGAGTACATAAAACTATCTAACTTATGCTGTTGTGATGTTGTGTAATGACTCTTTTAAATGAATGCAAGTAATTGCAAGTGCCAGAAGATGCCAGAAGATGCCAGAAGTACAAGGAGATTCCCATGGTGATGGCAATCGATGGCAATCTGCATCGGGATGCGGTCAGCAGACCCGTTTTGTGCCAGGGCTCCAAGCAGTTTGCCCACGTGCAACGCGACCAAGGTGCTGTTCTGGTCTTCCTGTTTCTCAACTGCATAGCGCTCCAACATGATGGGTCCAGAGACGGGGGCGACAGCCAAGAAGGTTTTACTATCCCACAAGACAAGCCAAAAAATGTCGAAATGTATCGAAATGTTGGATTTTGTTGACCATGTGGTATCAGAACAAGTTGAGCCAAGAAAACGTTTTTCTGGCTTTAAGGCCGGGCATGATGGAGATCACCAAGATGCACGAGCGACTGAGGGCAAATCCCCTCTTCAGCGATCCAAGCTCCTGTCACTTGGGGCAGCAAAATCAGGTGGTTCCGGGACCCCGCTGAAATGCTTTCGCTGAAGAAAACTTTTTGCTGAGGGAATACAGATTCCGCTTTATTGACAGATAGTGACAGCATTACAATCATTATATAAGCTCCTTGATAGCTCCTTGCATGTCCTTGTAAATCTATGTAAATCTCGCATCTCAGGTCTCGTGCTGACTCTCCACAGCATGCTCAGTGGTGAGGACCATGCCAAGGTAGCAATCAACTGCAATGTGGTGGCACCAGGATGTTCCACATGTTCGTACCATGGAAAAAGATGTAAAAAGGGCTTCTTCACCAATTTCGCCATTAAGACTCGTGCAGGTTTCCTGAGAATGCTTTTTGGAGAGTCTTAATCTCCAAAATCGATATAGCAACTTTCACAAGAATATATTCCGTATATATAATATAATTAATTATATATATATATATATAATTATAAATATATACAATTATACATATACATAATTATAATTAATATATTATAAACATTGAACTTTTGATGTGTTTCTCCGTCGGATTCCCGCTCTGAAGTGAACCGCCCCCATCTAAGTGCATCTAAGTGCATCTAAGTGCATCTAAGTGCATCTAAGTGCATCTAAGTGCATCCAGCTCATCCAGTTTCCAGTAATGCTTTGGCCATTTGGTCGCGACTCTCTGGTTGATGGCTGTGCCAGTGACAGGTCTTCGACAAGCCCCGGAAGGGCGTCAGAAAGATTGTACTGAGTCCGGTCACCGGGATCCAGAGTTGGGAGAACACAATCAGTTCTGTAAACCGTGGGGGGAAGACTGATCAATCCTGAACGGCAACAAATCATGATAACCATGATAAATCATGGAAGATCATGGAAGTACTGGAATGTTGAGTCAACAAGGGATGATGCTACTGTAACATATGTTAACATGTTATTCAAGGTCAGAGCATCGTTCACTAGTGGGACAGGCACGGGACGGATGCTGTGTGATATGTTTTGATGTTGCCTGAGGCACCAACATTGCAGAGACTGGCGTCACCATTCCAGATGTGGTCTTCGTGGTTGATTCTGGCAAAGTCAAAAGCTGCTGGGACGGTCACAGAATGCCACAGAGCGGCAGAGCGGGGTGGGAAGGCACTCCTGGTCACACATGATGCACACATGATCATTGATAGTAGCAAGATTTATTTGCAAATGGACAGGTAGCATTGATAGTATGATATATATATAATATTTATAGTATCAAGTGAGGACATTGCTTTGAAATGACCATCAGAGAGTAAGGGTGCCATTGAGATGAAGTGCTGTTTCTTTCTTGTGTCTAGAAGGAAACTATGAGCTGGGAACACGTGCATCTCGTCCATCCAAGAGCTTCAGCAAGTTCCCTTTCCAAAAATCGGTTCCAGTTGCGGACATTCTCTATCATTTGACCGAATATCCCGCGCCAAGGCCAAAGATATCATGAGCCATCCAACACATCCTCCCTGAAAGAGCAGTTCATCTCGAAAGCAGAGGCAGGATTAGCTGCCTTATCATTCCCATCTGGCGACCTGTTGATTGAAAGATATTGGACATGTTCCCCATCTTTTCAATTTTGTTTCATCATTTTTCATCCATGCCACGCTTTGGATCCGTTGACGATTTTCAACCACAGTTGCATCGAGATCACCTCGCTTGGAAAGCGGAGAGACTTGGGCAGGTGCTGCAAAGGAAGGGTCGCGCTGGACGAGTTCGTGATGGTTTTGGCGCGGATCCCAATCCACATCAATCCACTATTGCGAACGTCACGGGATCAATGTAATCTAGACATGAATAAGAGATAATAAGAGGAAGCAGAGGAATTCATCAGATGAACTGAGTAGGCGACATTGTTTGTAGAAGACACAGAGTGACACTTTGTATTGATCTTTCGTAGTTTTGGCAGATCTTTAACGCATTCTGTGCAGAAGCGTGCAACATGCGATGTTCCATTTTCTGCTGTTTTGCCTAAGCAGGGTTTTCTCAGCCTTAAAACTTGCCTTCAAACCAAACATAGCGCCTCTGCCTCACAGCCCAGCGAAGCAGGATTCACCTTGCTGACGCAGAACCGATTTCAATTAAGACTCCAGGCTCGGTTTGAGATGTTTCATCAGGCTCTAATATGCTGAGAAGAAACTCACCAATGGCTGATTTGAAGTCTGAAGATCCTTCGAACTCCGTAGGGAACATTGTCTATGCATGGCATGCAAGAACTCTTAAATGGCTGATTGTTACAGTGCTTATGAAACCCATTGGTCCATGTCGGTTTAGAATTATTTGTGGCGAAAAAAATGGAGGTTGTTCCGCGTACATGATTGGATACCGGGGCTCAGAATTTTAAAACACTACTCGTACTGTAAATGCTATTTGGCACGTAGTATATTGATTGATGATGATTGATGTATATTGTAGATTTTTGTAGTATATTTTAGCATTTTGTAACTGATTTACACGGGAAGAAGTGGGGAATCAAACACAAGTAGAGCAACGTATGAAACCCCTACACTTGCTGGAGATGATTGTGTTCAACCAACCATTCGTCTTCCAAGCAGGCTATGCCAACACCTGAAATTTTGCGTTGTTCGCTAATGGAATTGATGCTCTCAGCACGGAGCCAAGTTTGCAAGAGGTGCATCCTGTCTGCCGATCGACCGTGTAAGTGTCAACTTTCCATTTAAATGCATATACATATATCATCATATATCTATTGATTGTATATACGTATTAAATATATAATAATTATATATATATACATACAATTAAACACACACACACACAAAGAACCGCAGGACCTTTATAGGACAACAAAGTGAGAGCTCTTGACTTCTTTTTTGCACGATGCCCGTTTGCTGGTTGAGGACACAGCACAGACAAGAACACGTATGGAAAACATAAGTCGTGCATTGCCGTGTAATCGTGTTTTGCTGAAAACCACTCGAGGTTTTGAGCTCTGGTTTGCAACCCAGCTGCTTCTCGGAAGCTTTAGATCCACCGCCCAAGTCCCGTGTGGATCAGGCGCCAGGGTTGAGGGTTGAGAATGTTTGAAAACTGAGCAAGAATGGAATGAAATGGATGGATTTCAGTTCTAAAGCGTTTGATTTGCTATGTAGTCCTTGCCTGGACGTTGGGAGCTTGACAATGTTTTCAATAATTTTCAATATCTATTCTATTCGATGGTTCTTTGATCATGAGTTCTGATGTTTGAGATTTGGTACCTCAACGCAGGCGGTGACCACTTTGCGCGCCACTGGAGCGGTGGAAGAGGGAGCCTTTCTGCTGCAGAGGGTTTGGCTCGTTTTCCTCGTTTGGCCGTTTGGCTCTGTCATCCGATCCCACTCGGATACCACTCGGAGCCCGTGACAGAAATAGTGTGACCCGTGACACGGAGGTTCGACCTGCGGATGCAGTGCGCTGGAGCAGAGAGGAGGAAGAGACATGGCCGTGGCCGCAGCAAAGAAGGGCAGGTAATTTGACGCAGGCATTACGATACTGGTAACTATTGCTAAATAATATGTATATATTTATATACATATACACATATTTTAGTGCAATACAATTATGCAAGTACTTGGAAATTATATCAAGATAAGTCATGTGGTTGAAAAGAATAACATACCAATGGGAAGAAAATGGAGAGAAATCCATAGAAACCGATAGAAATCTCAGAAACATCACCTGCTATGGTGGAGAGTTGTGCCATTCGCACTGACAGAGCCCTGACCTGAGGTTTGTGATCACGCCAGTGGGCTAGGGTCCAAGAAACTGCGGGTAATTGGACTGGACACCTGGTCCAAGGAGACATGCTCTTAGAGTTTGGGGTCTAGGAGTCTAGGGTTTAAATATGTTTAAATGATTTTACAAGACGTATGTAAACTTCACTAGCATCATTAGCAAGTCATCAATGAGTCCACATTGCAAAGCATTTGAACCATCCTTTTACAAAACATCTAAAGTTCCATGGCTGAGAAGTTTGCACAATGCCATACAATGCCATCCTTTGCCATCCTTTTCCGAAAAAGCACTCTGAACATCTGGAGAATCAGCCCAGTGTGCCTGCGACGCCTGAGGCCAATGCCTTGCTCGCTTGCCTTGTGATGTGCGCTTGGGCAAGTCACTGGGCGCATCATCGCATCATCGCTGTTTCTGTCGCTACAGCCATCTGAGTGATCTTTGCAATGCACAAAGGTTGCACACAGGTTCAAAGGTTATCTTGGTTGCACAAAGATGCACAGTTTAATGCACCTTGTGAAAAAATGAAAGTTTATCATCGTTTGTTGCGGTAAGTTCATGGACCTTTACTCACACATTCGATACACCTTTTTGGAGCTTCAGAGTGAAAGTGAGCCTTGCAAGTTTTTCCACGTGTTTGGGAAGGGTGTCTCGCATCACATGAGAGATGAAAGGGCATGAGACACCCAGGATGGTGCTCTATGCAGCCTTGTTTGGAGGAGTTGAGGCCGTCAGGAGCTGTGTACAAATCATACCTGGACGTTTCGTCAATTTACTCACGATGTTGGAATGTTGGAGGCATGTTTTATCTCATTGTTTGAAGTCTGAGTTGCGGAGCAGGTTATGTGAATTCCAGGTGGAGATGCCCCAGGGTATGAGGAGCTATCGCAGCTATCAGGAGGATTCAGGAGGTATCATATAGTTATCCTTCAATCCTCGGGGAAACCCATGGCGACCCAATGAGGTTTGGACAGTGGCCGCCACCTTGACACATCGATCTCCGTGGGAGCACCTGGTAGTCCCAGGAAAAAAAAGGTGTTGTCTCATGGCTCAGCGGTACCAGCCTACAACATCCTACAACTAGCGGATTGAGATGCCTTAGTTGAGAAGAGGGATGAATTTGGGATGCCATCAAAGTTCAAACACAATCGGGTCTGGATTGATGAAAGATGGGAGTGATTGGACAGCAATAGTCAGTGGCCGAGGTTGGCGTCGCCCTTTTCTGAGAGCAAACGTGCGCAAGCACGGTAGGGCTCCAAGTCAGCCTTGTGTGAAGCAACAGTCTTTGGCAACTTTCATGTTTTGACTGAGCCGATGGAACAGCAGCAGCTCAACACAAGAAGTGAGTCTTTATGACAAATTTTGATGACGGATAGTGCGCAGGGCAGTACACTGTGCTGAACTTCTTCCAAAGGCAAGTTTGCCTGTGGGGCTCCAGAACATGATAGATACTATATTATATATATAATATTTATAACATATTATATAATATATAAACATATTACATACACAATTGTAGGACATGGAATGTATGGAATATCAGAGCATGAAATGCAAGGACTTGCAGAAGGCAGCTTCGTAACCTTTCGTAACCGTCGTAACCCTTGGAGTTCTTCCATGTTCCGATTTGGCAGGCAGGACCACCATCCGATCACCTCGCGCTGCACACTGCCTACGTGGCCTGGAACTGGTGTAGTCTGAGAGGAAACAGTATGATTTTGGGATGTTTTTTGTGATTTTTTGTTAATTGTTTTTTTGTTTTCTGATGTATTTTTGTTTATTTAATGTTTTTTTGATTTGTTTTTATTATTGACTTATTCTTATTTTAGCTTTTTTGTTTTGTTGCTTTTTGTGCGTTCATTTTGTTTGATGATGTTTGATGATTTTTTTGATGGAATTTTTATTTTTTTTTCATTTTTTTCCATGTTGTTTGATTGGTTTTCATGTTTCTTTCTCATGTTTTCTTGATGGTTTTTATGATCTTTGACGGTTTTCGGCAGCTATTTGGATGGTATTTTGATGGTAGACCCCATCTCAAAGTCCCAAGATTTACCCGGGCGTCCCAAGTCAGGTGAAATGGGATGAAGCGCGAAAAAACCGTGCAGGGTGACTCAGAGTGACGGGAACTGGTTTCTGATGGTTTTTGGTAAGTTGCGACGTGGATTGAATAGAGATCTAATGAATCCCCACGGACTCCCTTCCTTCGGTCGCACCGGCATCTGCTGTAAGACTGTAAGAATCTTGTCTGCTCTCAAGCTTGTCGAGCTAGTCAATGGTTGATAATGGTTGAGCAGTTTAATGTCTCACAAGCAGAGAAGGCACTTCAATTTTCGTGTGTTGGGTCACTGCTCAGGGATGCTCAGGGCGTTTCCCCTACACTGAAGACTCTAGACATCTCTGAAGATTGATGTCCTGCAGACAAGTGTGCATGACAAGTTCTTGGTCCGGCTGTGCCAAAGATTGCCATGTGGGCCATGCGCGTACTTGTTCTGCTGACGCTGCCATGGGCATGCTATTCTGATGGCAGCCCCACTGGCATGACCACCTGTCCTTGCGTGGAGTGGGTCAACTTGAACAATTATCAGGTGGGCAATGTGAGCCTTGGCTTACACGAAGCCCCATGTTCCTGGTTTGTATGTCGCACAGCAATGCAGACAATCACAGCTGATTTTTGGACTTGGATTCTACAGCTTGAAGCAAATGGTACACGGGCTTGCGATATCCAGGGCTGAAGCGCCTTCTATCCACCACGTTATCCATGTTTCCGAGGATACGCTACACACCCAAGGGACAAAGCACTGGATACGACTATCCGCTGAATTATGGGAACCTGCAGTGCCAGGATCGCCGTTTTGCAGAAGTCGTTTGTTGTTCGATGCACTATGATGCACTCCTGTCAGAAATTCTGCATAATTATTTCCTGTAAGGACGGGACTCCATCACTTTGCCATACTTTACCATGCTTTTTTCCATGAGACCTCTGCACTAGTACGGGCACAATTCTCACCCGGTCAATCCCGGTCACTTTGTTAAAAATGTTGAACATCATGTTTTGCCAAAAAAGGCGTGCTTTCGCAAGCAAGTATATAAGACCCGTAAGTACCGCAACGTGCACGGAGGCTCATGATTCTGGACTAGCACCTTTCTGCAACTCAGTTGGAAGCAGCATGGTTGGTCATAACGCGATTGACTATGATAAAGCTTCACGGAAACTGTTGGAGATTCTGATATCTGGATTTGTTTGGAGCTTTCACATCTTTAGCGCGCTCTGACTTGGTTAGGTGATGGCACATCGCCACCTGCATGGTGCACGCAAAAATGGTGCTATGTGGACAAGAGTACCTGCACTGGTGCCACTTGGAGGATAGTGAAGACAACTAAGACAACTCCGCCCATTTTTTCTGAGTGCCAAATAGTGCCAATCTCAAACGGCATCTCCAAGATCTGCAGATTTCATGACATTGCTAGAACTTTTTGGGCACTGATTATTAGGCCCTGCTTATCCAACACCCATTCTGCTTACTTTAAACTTAAACAAAATCAATATCTTTCAATCTTGAGATTCACAGCAAAAGTGGAGCAAAAGTACCAAAAGTATTCCAAAAGTCCTCAGGTCGTCGCGTACAAAAGCTTTCTCTTCGAAAACTCGGATGCTTACTACAGCTACCAAACCTGTGGCTCATCCAACGAGTGCCTCAACGAATATGTCGAAATATTTAAGTTGCAGCAAGGGTCGTTGAGCATCCGCAGCTGTCACACGTCTCATGTTGTTGGTGGTTGCAACGATTTTATAATATTTAGATATATTCAGCCTTAGCCCATTTACTCCTATTTGAGATATCAATAGAATTCAATAGATATAATAGATTCATTTTTCATGGGGGTCGGTGGCTGCTCATTTGCTTGAAGGTTTGAAAGCTGGACGACATCTGTCAGTGCTGGGGAGAAGACCCCCAACAGCGTGGCGGAGTTGTTGGATGTGGTGCAGGGATACCTCTGGAGCACTCGAGAACGAGTGGAGACAGAGCACCTGGCTGAGCGCCATTATGGCGTCATTTAGGATGCTTCAGGTTGATTCGAAAGGGGCAACCGGCACGTTCTTTCCGAGCAAGATCCTTGTTAATTATATTATACGTACGGGTATATATTATATGTGTTATAGTTCAACGAGTTCAATGTTTGTTCAACGTTTTTCTGCTTTCTGGACAATTCTCGTATGGAACATATTTCTAGTTGGATGAGACAGATCCTTGGTCGACCAAGGCACAGTGCATTGACCAGCACGGATTGCACTTGGATCGACCAGTGTGGCTTGTTGAAATCTTGGCATGAAAGGAATGGAAGGCACTTGGCACTTTCCAGCTACTAGTATTTTGTTGGAATTGCAGATTGCTCACTGTGTCACTGCCTCATTTTCCTGTCACCGTTACCATGTCGCACTGGCAAGGTAATTGCTTGGAATGCATTCAGAGCAGCCTGTGGAACAGGAAGGTGGACTTCAGCAATGTGGGTGTCAATGCAAAAGGCCCAAGGGGGAGCACACGTAAAACACGTAAATAAAACTGGCTGAGAGGTGATGCCAACAGAAGCTCCCTTTGACTCCCTCCGTTATGTTGTGATATCACATGATATCACGATTCCATAAGGATTCCATCATTCCACCAGCGATTGATAGCGACTGTATCACTTGTATCACTTGTATCACTCCATTGAATTCTGACAACTCGATGGCCTGCCAGATGCGCGGTTTGGATGTTTGTCCCGACCAGTGTCTCAAAGTTACATCAACATTGCCGCCAAGGACGGTGTAGCACATCAATATCATCAATTTTCAGCCGCGGAATGCCGCGGATATGATTTGTTGTTTGAGAGTTGCTTTTCAGACATGGAACAGCTGGCATTGACAGTTTCCCCACATTCATCAATATCCATCAATATCCTATATTCAACGTAGTACTGTAGAAATGGTTGCCCATACAGTAATACAGGTCAATATCATGTCGAATTTGTGTCCCCTCATGAGCCCCGTTTCCAGGAGGCTGAACCCTTGGAGCGTGTTGGCTACATCTACTTCTCTGATCATGCCACCGGCAGCTACTTGGGTTGGCCGGCAGTCGACTGGTGCCCAGAATCAAACTACGATCCTCGACTTCGCCCCTGGTATCTTGAATGAAAGTGGAACCATGTGGAACCATGTGGAACCAGTTGACGCTTGGTCATGTGCGCTACAAGACAACTCTCAACATCTCTCAACATAAGGAGTTGCAGTGATTACAGCAGTGGGAAAATTCACCGCATGTTCAACTGGGTGCAGTTGTTTTGATGTGCGAAATTGAGAGACAAACAAAAGTGCAAGCAGCTTCAAATTCGATGATGTTGACATCGTGCAGATATGAACTGGACATATATATAGGACAGAGAATCTAAGTCTGAATCTAAGTCTGAATCTAAGTCTGAATCTAAGTGTGCCCGCGTGTGACCCCTTTCTCAATCTTTCTCATCCATCTCCATCGCTTGGCATCGCGATCCACGCCTTCGCCTTTGAGGTATTCCTCCGGCTCCACAGGTCCCAAGGATTTGGTCATCGTGGTGGACGTCAGTGGATCGATGATCACAGCAGGGCGTTCCAGGTTGGCCAAAGCTGCCACAGCCGCTGTGATCGACACCTTGGAGTGGAAGGATGTCCCGACCGATGAATCGACGGTAATCCGACCGATGAATCCATGGATGGAACATGATGGAACAGAATGCTACAGAGATCTACAGAGTACAGATCTTGTTGGGGTAGAATGAGTCATAATGAGTCATAATGAGTCATAATGAGTCATAATGAGTCATAATGAGTCATAATGAGTCATAATGAGTCATAATGAGTCATAATGAGTCATAATGAGTCATAATGAGTCATAATGAGTCATAATTCCATGGAGAACACAACACTCCAACTCACATCCAGCAAATCAATGCCTTCACACAATGACTTGATGTGTAAATCTTCCAAAAGATTGCATGAAAAGAACCTTCTTTGTCGATATTTGTCGATGCTTGTCCTGTGTTATGAGATTTGTTTGACATCATGACAGGACTATGCGACCATCATCTTATTCAACAATGCCATTTCAGCCCCCTGGCACATTTGCAGATTTGCTGCGACTGCTGAATTGCAACAGAATGCTTTGTTGAACCTTGACATATCTTGACCCTATAGCCATCTATAGCCTATATCCATCTATATCCGTAATTATCCGCAGGATGTGTTTTGATGCATTTGCATCAGGACATATCAGGACAGCTCACAATGATGCTTTGTCACCTGCCGCCTCAGGGTTCCCTCGGCAGATGCCCCAGGTCCTTTGGTATTCCTTTGGTCCACCGGTCCTTGTCGTTGGTTGTCGTTGCTTGTCGTTGGTTGTCGTACTCCCAGCTCAAGGCTCAGTACTCCCAGCAGCTGGTGCCAATGTTTGATGAAGAAAGAACGAAGGCGAAGACATGGTTGAATTCGCAGAGTTGGGCGCCTTGGCTGTAGATTGGGGCAGTGGTGAATAGGTATTGATGAGCAAGGCAAGGCTGTTTCCATTTAGAGCAGGACGCATGGAACCATGGTTGTTCAGGCTCCCAAAGCAGAAGCTCTCATTTTTTTGCTTGCTATTCAAAAGGTAAGGAAACAGCATCCAGTTGTTTGTCAGGAAATGGGCGGTACCAACTTCAAAACAGCCCTGGACGCGGCATTTAATGCGGCTCAGCTTGACTCGTAGTTTGGACAGAAACAGTCCAAAACAGTCTGAAAGCCCAATCAAAGGCCATCACAGCTTGCTTGGAAGGAGAAAGCAGGAATTTGGAAAGGCTTTGAAGAAACAAAGTGAAACAAAGTGCAGCAAGACCCCACATGACCCCACTCTTGCCTTGGTTCATGCATCGAAGATCATCGAAGAAACATGGACCATCATGGACCGTGGAGGGTCAGCTCAACAGTCGTGGTTCAGAAATCAGCCTGGAGAGGCCATCAGTCGCAGCGTCAGTGCGGGGACCACTTCCATGTGCCAAAAGGCTGGGCTGCATCGAGCCATATCGAGCCGACATCTCCAACATGTCCTTGTGCGAAGATCGAGATTGGGGTGGACTTTTAGCATTTTTTGTTGTATGTCTGCTATAGTTTTTGCTTAATCAATTCTGCATAGTTTGTGTTTCTGAGTCTAAAGATGTCTAGAGACATGATCTCATTTTGCAGACTTGACAGAATTGCAGACAGCCTGCCAGGCCATCCTGTTCCTGACCGATGGGCAAGCTGACTTCACCGAATCGGACTTCGCATCGATGCTCAGCAAGAACTCAACCTCGGTGACTGGAGATGCCCGCAAACTTGACGGCAAGTGGAATGCCACACAGGCAAATGTTCATCTACCAGACTAGCAGTATTCTACCAAATGTCAAGTTTTTCTAAATCAATAAATGTTGCTTTAGAACTTTAGCCCATCTTGATCATCTTGCCAGACTAGCAGCTTGAGGATAGCCGAACAGATTTTGACACTTTGCCGGTCAATGATTGCAATAGTCTTGGCGTTAGCCACTATGATCACTATGCCAGCTACCACACGGGGGCCACCCAACAAATCACATCCAAAATCCAAATACCTGCCACCATCTGCCACCTAAATTCAGAGCGGTTCTCTCAGCGGAAGCAAGGATTCAATCGCGTTCTCAGGAGTTTAGCTCCTTGGCAGATGGCAGTCGACAAAGTGGGGAGACTGGAGCCTGGTGAATCTGACGAAGATTGGTCTCCGACTTTTTATACTTTTTGGGCTTCGGATTAGCGGTTTGAAGCTTCGGACTTTTTGGCGAAAACGTGCGAATATGTGATGGTGATTTGCCTTTTGGCACTGTGAATTGCAGAACAGTACTAACATCTCTCAATATCCTTTCCCCAAGACCCCAAGATAATGATTTTCCAGAGATCCTTGAAGACAATGCAGCCATCCATGCTCACTTTGGGGTCGCCACAAGTTGCCGCAATGAGGTGTTGCACTCTTTACCTATGCTTTGGGTTCTGGTGCAGATACCACCATCACTCGCCGTTTGGCTTGCGAGAATTCAGGCCACTGGGCATCAGGAAGGGAAGGGAAAGATGGGAAAGGCGCAAGTATCATCCAGGAGACAAATGTTGGGAGGGCAAAGAGCAAATGATTTGCCTTTGTTTCATTTTGATACATTTCTCATCCATTGTTCATCCATGTTCTCTTTGATGCAGGCATTTTCTACCCACTCGCAGATGGAGCAGACTTGAGCACGGTACCTTTCCCAGCTGCGGAGGGCAGTAGTACCTATGTGTACCCCAGCACCTTTTTGATTTTTGAAGGATCATTTTCAAAAGAATGATATAACTCGACCATTTGCTTGCAGGCAATTATCTGATATTCTTACACTTATATACACTATATTGTTATTATTATTGCGGGTCTGTAGTGCTTTTTCCTCTTCGTCATGAAGCGGCACGAACCCAATTTTATTGATTCCCACTGCTGGCGCTTGCAAATCAGTTGGGTTTGCTCTAGTTTGTTTGGCGTTGTTTTCTTTTTTTGATCGTGTCGTTTGTCCTTTGGGAAGTTCGTGTCGACATGCTTTCTGATCGAGTGAAATATGTTGAAATGCAGCTATTCTGTGGGCCAGTCTGCGCTCAGAGGATTTGTCCAAGCAACATATTTGAAGGGATTGCCAGTGGGTGTTTCTCAAAATTGGGGTACCCAAGATTTTCTTACTATTAGAGAATATTAGAGAATATGACCCCACAACTCGTGCCCTTTGGTGCCCTTTGGTGCCCTTTGGTGCCCTTTGGTGCCCTTTGGTGCCCTTTGGTGCCCTTTGGTGCCCTTTGGTGCCCTTTGGTGCCCTTTGGTGAATGGACTCCGCATGGACTGTGCATGGACTCCGCATGGACTCGTCCAGGCAATGTCGAAGTACTATGAGTACTTCGCGTCAGGTGCAGACGTTCAGACGTTCAGACGTTCAGTACGTGTTTTTCTCTCTCAGTTGAGCAGGATTGGAAATGGAAAATCATGGAAATGCAATCATCATATTTGGAGGAGAGATGAGGAGAGCCAATTCTTGACATCCAACTATAACCAACTAGTATATCTAGTATATATCATGTCTGGCTCTTTTGGTTCGTTTGGTATAGATTTCGAGTGACCTGACGCAGCTGTAGGCTCTTTATGTGCGGATTTCCACACCCCTTGTCAGGCGTGGAGATTTGCACTCCTTCCTTCACGCGTTACCAGGATGTAGTCACCGGGGCTGAACTTTGGCCGGCCTGTTTGCCAAGCTACAACCGATCTTCTGGTGAGCAAGGCTGCCACTGGAACCGCCAAATTTGCGGGCTCGGTGCTGTGTGGTCTCCCACGGCGCTCGTAGATTGCTGGAAATATTTTTGGTACAATGGGCGTAGGCTATCTGAAGCTTACAACTGCCTTCAAAGATCTTCAAAGTATGGATCTATGGATGATCTTTCAGATTGGAAGCTATTTGAGCGGCACATGTATATGTAAAGCGGTGCCTCGGTTGAGAACTGATCCCTCAAAACTGAAGGTTTCGGAGAACTTCAATCTTTCCCTCATCTTTCCCTCCTGTTTTCATCAGCTACGCTACTACGCGTGAACCACATAAGTGAACAACGCTTGCGCAGGGCTTCTGGGGGTTAGCTGCCTGGATTTGAACCTCATGATCGATATGAGCACGATTAAGTCGCTCGGCAAAGTGTCAGCACCGAAAGGGAAAGATCCATGGACAGATGTCTGGAGCTTCCATAGGTTTGAAAAGAGGCATATGATTGATAGATATTGATAGCATATTGATAGCTTATTTAAATGTATCTTATTTCTTTTAAACATGTTTAAACACATATTCAAATTTATTCAAATGTATTGAGTATTGAAAATATGAAATCATGGAGGGGAAGAACAATACAGATGAAAGATGATGCAAGTAAGATTGAATCATGACATGACATTCACATGTCAGACTTCCATTTCGATCAAAAAAGGGCAACATTGGGCAACTGCCAATGGGTCGGAATTCTGATTTCAGCATGCCAGGAGTGCAGACTATTTCAGCAACTTCGTTTGCAAACTCTCGGATCTCACGAAGCAATGCCGGCAGCTGGACATGAACGACTGCCGCTTGGAAAAGCTACGGCGAGCCGTTGATCCGCAATCCTCCTGCCTGGAAGCCCAGGGTGTGAAGGGACTCCAAGGATAGATCTGTGGTTTAAACATGTGTATACTACATGTTCCCGTTTATACTGTGATTTATTTGACATCTACATCCAATTGAATAAATGCTGTTACCATCTTGCACCATCTTCCACCACTTTGGTAACAGCATCTCTTTCGTACTGGAGGGCTTTACGATGCCCTCGCCAGGTATCGACATGACGCTTGATGCAACTTGTCCATGTGCGGATCCGACCTGTCAAGACAACGAGGACGAGAGATCCAAATGCAACAGCTAAGTCAAATCGACTTCTTCCATTCTTCAGGTGTTCTTATCATTTCTTATCTCTTTCAAGACCTTCCTATCTTTGCTTGAAAATTCAAACATGTGCATCATCTGTGCCTTTCACTGCCATTCACATTCCACTTTACGGCTGTACCAGGATGCATATTTCATGAAAGGAATTTGACAAGGTCGGAGCACCCCTACAGCTGGTTTTCTTTGAAAGGAACGTTCAGCCAAGCCTTCTCCAGTTAATTTTTCCAGTTCTCTTGGGCGCACATAGATTGATTGCGACAAAGCATAGGCTGTTGTAATCCAGACGGGATCAGTGATTACCGTGCTGCACAACCTCACCATACCTCACCTAACCACCTAATTGCTCCATATCATCTGGGGTTGAATGCAGAGTATGCAGAGTAGAGGAACAAGTCTGCAGCTTGACAGAAGTACACTTGATGCAATCAAAGAACAGATTTAGATTCGCCATCCAATCGATTGGATTCACTAGATCAACTTGTGATTCAGTAATTCCCGGCAAGAGTTTGAATTCAGACCTTACAGGAGCTTCTGTACTGTCCTCATTCATTTGAATAATATAATATATGTATATAAATATATTATATTATATTATATTATATTATATTATATTATATTATATTATATTATATTATATATCAATCAATTATTAACCATAATTACATGAATTATTGCATTGACATGTTGCAACCCAAAAGATTCACAGCCTGTATTCTTGCTCGCGTACGTTCCCGCAGGACTTCTTGGATGAAAAAAACTATTTCTGCGACACTTGGGTGCCTTGCCTGATAAAGTGAGACTATTTGTGACCCCATCGACTCGACTTAAGTCTTAAGTATTCGTCCAGGTCTCTCCCCAAAATCTCCGAATTCTGTTGCAGTGTTTGCTGCACCCTGGCACCATGTACATCCTGGGAGCATTTCACTCAAGGTGGGTGACGATTGCAGCAAAGCTGCATCTGACTGGGGTTATTCCGCATCGGGTCAGCCTCTTGGCTGCCGAACCCCTGCAGGGTAGAGGTATGTGGAGGTCTTCATGAGATCTTTTAGCTCGAACTCTGTTTTTTTTTTATCAGCCTTGCAGTCGCAGCCAAGGGAACAGGTGTTGGCGCAGTGCCGACGTTCTTGCTCCTGGACTTCACATTTAGTAAGTTGAAGTAAGTTGACATCTTGAGAGTCTTACGAGATTGAACCAATCTGAACCAACCCTCAAAAAATAAAGGGCACAAAAGTGCACCAAGATGCACCAAGTATTTTGCTGCTTACACGATGATTCCTTTCGTTGAGTTTGAATGATGTGTTCTTATCAGTTGTCACGGGAGTATTCACATGCGTTCATCGGTTTCTTGCCATGGCTGCTGCAGTGATGTTTCTTGCTGGGACCATGCAGGTGGCAGATGCCCTGTGGGAACCTGTCCGCAACAAGCACAATGCCAGAAGCTTGCTGTAAGGCCAGCCATAGCAGCCACGGTAAGGTTCTTCCACAGGTGCAAAGACCACTGTAGGGGGGAATAAAGACAGAAACGGCTTCTGCTCGGCATCTCTACGTGAATTCCAGCAGATGCCATTGTCAGAAGAAACTTTTGATTCCATATGTATATGTATAAGTATAATATATATATATATATATGTATGAGTTTGTCCAAAAACGGGATATATGTACCAGGTACCACCAAATGGCTGTTTTATCGTGAAAAAGTATAGAATTTCGGGTACCGTATAGACAGACCCATATTGGGATATATTGGGGCAGAGAGCTCGCTATTTGAATTTGTCACTTTGAGTATCAATGGCATAAAGCGGTCGGGCTCTCCAGTCAAAGCATTCTGGCATCATCTATGGTCCTCATTGGAACGACTTTCTTTCTCCTTTCCATCCCATCCCATTCCCATTCCCATCTGTTCATGTCCCACATCTCACCGCCTTGAGGAACGGGGCGCTCATCTCTGATTCCACATGTCGCAGCCAGCGAACTGACAAAGTGACTCCAAACAACATCCAAAATGTAGACCCCAGCGACTTGGCACCAAACTCTGATATTCTCTGCACAGAGTTCAAATTTGGGTAGCCGTGCCAGGTGGTGCGCTCGAAAGACCGGCGTTCTGAGATTGGTCCAACTGTGCAGCTTCTTTTTTTTCTTGAGGTGCGACAACAACATCGGGGCAAGACTCAAGTACTTTCAGTTCCTTGTCTCTTCGCTTGTATCGCTTGTGGCCTTGTGGCAGATGTTTCATCCCCTGGCAGGTTGGAGGTATTGGTGGTTGTCAAGTGTTGTCAATGGCCAGTAACTGGTTGTCTTTTGGCCAATGGAATGAATTGACATCAGATCGTGATAGATCATGTAACCGGTGATGGTTTGAACAGCACCAGCTTCATGCCGGCGCGTTCAGGTAATGTTGGAGGAGCAAATTCCGCTGGACCTGCAGGGCCACAGTGGATCTGTCTCTATATGTTTGTTGGATCCTGGCTGGTTTGATACGCCCATAGCGAGGAAGTGCCCGCAGCTCTGCAAACAATTGATGCACTGTTTTTGCCAATTTTTCGCCCTTCTTTTTGCGAACAACTTCTCTGCTTAATGTATCTTAATGTCGTGTTCACCAAATTTGTTTGCCAAGTGTGAATCCCCAGGTCTGGACTTTTGGACACCCACAATTTGTGTAGGTTTGACGGTTTGACCTTTTTTTGGTCCAGGTTGGTTTGCCAGTCACATCATGGAGCCGAGGATGGGCGGAAGACCGCCCAATTCTCATTCTTGGCAGCGAATGATGAGAATCTTGTGGGTCATGACCCATGCGCATCTTTGGGTTCGTTTCGACTCTTTTCAATTGCGGCTTTCAAGTCGAAGACATATTGAATCTTTTGAAGAATTTCACATCCACCTCAACAGGATCTTCAACTCATCGGCCAAATGTCCGCTGAGTACTTTTCAGGAGTTGTTGTCGGATGACAAGACTTCTCTCTAGAGCAGTTTATCCAGCGCCGAATGACGCGAAAAAAAATACGGATGTCTGTGCGAATCATGTGCGAATCAGTTGTCGAAAGATAGCAGATCATGTTGCAGTATGGCAGTATGGTCATTCACTGGAGTTCTGCATTTCATCGCGCTGTGCGATCAGGTTGCAGAGAGCTTCTGCAAAAAGAGCTGGCTGAACAATCAGGTGCAGTCTTTGAATCCTTTGGCTTGTGATTTGTTTTGGTTCTAAAGAGTGGGATTATATCGAAGTGCTGGCGAGCCTTTTGCAGATATTTCAATAAATTAAGAATTGAGACGTGTCATTGTAATTGATGAGTGATATATAGTGATACTAAGTAGTGACATGTAGTGACTAGTGACTGATAGGGAGGTACTTGTAGTGTCATTGGCACTTTCATCTTCGATTCTTGATCCGTTAGCACCTTGAAGGTGCTTCAGACCATCAGAGACATTCGCTTGGGCCAAAGAGGGATGGAGGAGAGAAAGTACCAGAGTTCGCATATTATGGTCCAGATAGGTAAAGATAGGTGCAGATAGTTGCGGATAGGATGGCCGTGATTTCTTCATGGGATTCTGTTTGAGTATGTTTGAAATCCAACCGGTCACATTCGCTTCAATGGCTCACAGAGTGCTCCTGAAATGTTACATATAAATGTGTTGCTAAGATATGCTTGATTCGACAATCCAAGATGAGTGAATCCGTACCTATCTCTTGATCGGCGTACCGGCGTGAGAATGAACAGCGGCGAACTCAGGAAATGACTTCTTGGAATCCTTGAAAGGCCAGGAGTAGTTTCAGTTTTGTTTGAAGTGAGCATATGGGCGGGATGTCATCACGAATCCAGACACTAACGTGTACTCCATGTACAGGGTACCATTTGTTGACCCTGGCCTTTGTGGATTTCCATGTCATGGTATTTCGTTGTCTTCAACCCATACATACCAATACTATATAAGTATTGACGTATATGGACGTGTATGGAATAATTGCCATGAATATGTGTCATTCACCAAGGAAGTAGCACTGTTCCGGTTTCTCATTGTCAGGTGACGGGTTTGTTGAGACCTTCTCATCAAGCGAGGTCTCCAAACAGGACCGTCAACAGAATTGCCCAGCCAACTGCCCTGAACTGCCTATGATACAAGAAATCAAAAGCACAAAGTCTTTGTATCAATGTTTGTTACTCCAAGTGCGTCATTTGAAACGGTTGGATCAAGATCAAATGATTCTCAAACCACATATGGAGGACTTGAGCTCCGTGCACACCATCACAGCCTTGCTATTTGCCGGTCTCTATCCCAACGTGGCAAGAATAGATGTTCCGAAGGCTGGGAGGAATAACATGAAACTGCAGCAGGTGAAACCATGTGAATCCTTTGAAAATCTTGCAAGGTAAAAGGATCAATGTTTTTTGCTGGCAAATATAACAAGCATTTGTACATAGGCATGTAAAGAGTGAGGCCTTCATTCCCTATCAGCGCTAAAAGAATGAAGAAAATCGTTCCAGTCATTAGACATTGATTTTCGAGAAAATTACGTATCATGATGCTTCAGGGTGTGAAGGCACGATGTCAAAACCCCAACGCTGCAGTCACCCACCGAGAAGTTCCCACTCCTCTCTGCGGGCTCTGAGCAGCCGGGCACCCCAGCGTCACGGAAGGGACACTTTTGCTTCCAAACAATTCTTCCCAGGGAACTTCAAAGTGGCTGAACACCTGAAGACAAATAAACTTTGCAAATTGTTCCAATTGGTCTGGAGGTGTGATGCCACGCCGTGTTACAGTACTTGCATCGTGACCAAACCTTTCCCAGTCCAGTCTGGACGCGTTTGCTTTGCGGCATTCCTCCAGGTTGAAAATGCACCCAGGTTCCTTGTGTACCAGCCTCAATTTCTGGACAGAGATGCCAGTCCTCATTCGGTGCACTGAAAGCACGTCAAACTTGGCACTGGTCAGGCCATGGCAAAATCGAAGGGCTGTGCGGTTCTCAATACTCTGGCAATGAACTCGCCCTGGAATGTTTTGCAACATCTTGTAGTAGCTGCGATGCCAACCTTTTCTTCTCATCCTGCTTATGTACCTGTGTACTGTGCTCATTTGGTGATCTTCAGAGAGAAATGAAACAGCATAGGTCTTATAGATTCTTACAGATTTTTTTTGGAGATTCTGATAGTTTCTTATAGATTCTTGTAGTCTTGATTCCAGCTTCTTTTGCAAATGGCAAGGGCTTGAAGAGCACCCAAGGCATCGTACCAACAATCGATGGATTTGCTATCACACAAAGATGAAGACTTCGCAGGTCCCATCAGAGCAGGGAAATCAAGATGCCGGAAGTGCCGACTTGGACGGGGATACTGACAATAGAAATTATGAAAAAAAAGGTAGTGGTAGTTAATATACACAAAGCCAGTTCTGTCACAATTCAAGTTGTTTGGCTTTGGCTACTGGCTGTTTGCCCAGATATCTGCTGAAATCTTCAGACGGCATTCACGCGACAAAGTCTTCTGGAATCGAAGGATCCACACTGTCCAGAAGCTGACACTACAAAGCTCTATTCCATTGGGTGCACGTGTATTTTTCCTTAGCCCGTTTTTTTTCTTCCTGCAGCAGCCACAGCTTTTCAGGTCAGTCTTTGTCGACCAACGATGAATAATTAATGGATATTCATAATATATATATACAATCGAAGGAAGTTTAGAAGTCAAACTTCCGACAATATCGGCAGATGAAAAGCAGAGATGGGAAGAGTCAGAGAAGAAAAGAGAAGAAGAAAGAAAATCAAAAAAGAGAGGGTCTCAGAAGAAAGAAGATCCAGGTGCGCGAAAAGGTAGGAAAGTCGCGAAACACTGTGTTTTTCCAATGATTTGTGGCTCCAGAGGGTTGAAAAGTAGGCTCGCTGAAGCAACGGGTGCGGAACCAGCTGGCCAGATGAGAGATGAAAAATGGCACGCCGTTGTGGCGCGAAGCACGTTTCCAAGTCAAAATGTACAAAACACACCAGGTTCGGGCCACTTTTGGAAGTTGTGATGTTGAAAACGTGCACGCCGTTGTGACGCGAAGCACATTTGCAAGTCAAAAAGCTAAAAACACATCACGTTCGGAGCACTTTTGGAAGTTGAGATGTCGAAAAAGTGCACGCCGTTGTGGCGCGAAGCACATTTGGATGTCAAAGTGTACAAAGCACACCATGCTCGGACCACTTTTGGAAGTTGAGATGTCGAAAAAGTGCACGCCGTTGTGGCGCGAAGCACATTACATGTCGAAGTCAAAATGTTAAAGACACATGTGGACGTTCAGATTTCGTTCTGCGTGGCAGGCGCAAGGGATTGTGCACTTGTCAAAAGTGAGCAAAACGTGAGTAGCAGTTTCAAAAACGATGGCAGGCGTGGGACATTTGAAGAGGATCTGGCAAGATACGTTTTCCGTCACAGGCGCAGTACAAGAGACATGTTCATCAGAGATGTTGGGAGGTCAGGGCGCTGATTTCCTGAGAGGGGTTGCATTTTGGAGCATCAGATCATCAGGTTTGCTGAGATGATTTTGCGTGACAGGTGCAGCACTTCGTATTGACCTGGCATCACTTTTTCGTAGCAGGCGCAGTACTTTAGACAGATGGAGTCGAAAAATTGCAAAACGCATTGGCACGAGGCCGCCAGCTCTGCACCCAACTTTCCATTTTTGAAGGAAGTTTCGCAGAATTGCTTCGTTTTAGATGTTGCCAACTTCGAAAATTGAGGAAGTCTCGCAGAATTGCTCCATTTTTGATGTTGTCGAGTTCAAAAAATGAGGAAGCCTGGCAAAATCGCTTCGCTTCTGGTGTTGTCAAGTTCAAAAATTGCAGAAGTCTCACAGGATAGCTTCGTTTTCAAACTTGCAGATAGACAGATAGACAGACAGATAGATAGATAGTTAGTTAGTTAGTTAGATAGTTAGTTGGATAGTTAGATAGTTAGGTAGTTTTATAGTTAGATAGCTAGATAGTTAGATCGATAGATAGGTAGATAGATAGATAGATAATCTAGGTAGATAGATAGATAATCTAGGTAGATAGATAGATAGACAGATAGATAGATCGACAACTACAACTACAACTGCAACCACAACTACACTATAACTACAAATACATATACAAATAAACCACGCTACAGTACACTAATTCCACTACACTATACTAATTACACTACAACTGCGACGACAACAACAACAGCAACAACAACAACAACTACTACTACGACTACTGCTATTGCTGCTACTACTACTACTACTACTACCACCACTACCACTGCCACTGCCACTGCCACTGCCACTGCCACTGCCACTGCCACTGCCACTACGACGACTACTACTACTACTACTACTACTACTACTACTACTACTACTACATTACACTACACTACACTACACTAATTCCACTACACTACGCTACACTACACTACATTACATTACACTACACTCATCACACTACACCACAGCTACAACTGCAACTACAACTACAACTACACTAATTACATTACACTACAACTACAACTCCACTACACTACAACTACAACTACAGCTGCACTACAGCACACTCTACATCCAGCAGTTGTGGGTGAGGTGACCACCGCAACCATTACAACCACTCCAAAAAACACAAATCCAACCAGCTTTCGGTCCATCAGTGGATTCGCTTTGCCATCCAAGCATCACAGCAACTCACCTCTCCTATAGGTTTCCTATGGTTTCCTATTATTGAAACTTCCGCCACCGCCTTGCGCGGTACTACTGGTATATATTTGTTTTAAATATTCTATTATGTTTTATTATATTAGTTATATTGTTTTATATTATATTATATTATATTATAGTTATAGTATATTATATTATAGTATATTAATATATTATATTATATGTTTTTATTTAATATAATAATCGATGATTTGAAAAATATCATATATAGTATGATTTAAAATTATGTAGTAAAATAATATATATTAATATATATTCCCAATAGATGACTATTGGGCCCACATCATTATCACTCTTGTCCTACCTTTCCATTTTCTGTTGCAGGTTTTCCTGAGAGATAGCTCGTTCTTGGCTCCGAATGCCTGTAACCTCAGCTCTGATGGCAAGCATCTGGGTTTCTTCCAGAATTTCAATGAAATTTCACAAGGAAAAGGATGTAACAGTGCCAAAATATGCCAAAATTCTTATAGTTTCTCCTGAATTGAAGGCATTTCTGGAATTTGTTGGATTTGCCATGACCAAGGCTTTACTTCTCTTCGGTGGTGAAGCAAATACGCTAAGTATGGCTCTCAGCCATGAAAGAAAAAAACTGTTGCAAAACACATCAAAGCATCAAAACACAATGTCTGTTGCATCAGACTTCGGTGCACCACTGTTCCAATGTCTCAAACAAACCGAGTGCATCCAAGTGCTACGATTGACTCTTCAAGTCATTTGAATCATTTCAAGACCAAGGCATCCACCCTTGGGAGAAGAGCGTATCCATCGGGACAGGCAGTGAGAAGCATTGGCACACGGTGACCGTGGCCCCCCGCATTGCAGCGCTGCTGCGACAGCGCGGCGCCCGGATTCCAGCTGTGTAGTCAGATGTGTGACTTGATCCAGCAGCTCCTGATTTATCAAAAGTACTTGTTTCATTCAATACACTATTTTCAAAGGAATCATTGCCCAAGGCTTTCTTGTTTCAACGTGTTTAGTCTTATTGGGATTTACTGGGCAAGGTTGGTAGCACCTGCAATGAGTGATAGTTGAAACCTCGAGGCTGCGGCATTCTTTCGATAACCTCTTGCGACGGAAGGCCGCTGGGAATGGGAGGCCACCTTTCGGGGCCAAGACCCGAAAAACGTTGTGGATAAGGACGCAACAGCTGCATCCTGCATTGTCTTGATCGATCCGATAAAGGCTTGAAAACGTGTCCAGCAGATTGTTGCAACGAAGCTGGGGACTTTGTTAGTCAACAAGATGTGTTTTGCCACGCTAAATTTGTACATCGTTCGGTCACGACATAGTAGTCATTAGCAGCAATCAAAATGGGTATCCTTTTGTAGTGCTTCAATCTAAGGACACCGTCACCCAAGGATTGTGACCTATTTTGTGATCAATTTTGTCCCAGGGTCCAGTTTAACATAGTGATAGCTGCTCATATTTTGAGACTCTGTTCATGCAAGCTCCTTCGCAAGGCCACATCACCCTCCACCCCTCTGAACTCAGAGCAGAAGTCGATCTTGGCAGCGTGCTTCACAGGAGGATTAGGGTACCGTGTAATCATGTAATCAGTCCCAGGCTGTACAGGAATGTATGGTTTCGCATGTTTCGCGGCTGAAGTGCCAATGTGTTTCTGTATGTTTCTGTGGGTATCGCATGAAAGCTGCTCTGATGCCAAGCCCTGTGGAGGTACATTGCCGTGATCAACTCTGTGGATATGGACGCGTAAAACAAAAAAACGGTTGCGTGAGGGAGCGACTGACAGTCGACTGAGCATCCAGGGAGTTCCTGCCAAACAATTATTCAATTCAAATGAATTCAAGTAGGTCGATGTCAAGTCAAAGTTCATTTTGGCAACTGACTTGGAAATGGCTTGTGTTGCAGAGCGTGAACCTTCAATCTGACTTGGGTGGAAGGTGATCATTGGAAGACCAATCTTTGTCTCTGGAGCATATTTAAAAAAAAAAACATGAAAAAGCTGTCGGGTCAGCCATGACGTCCTGTCGGACTGGATAGACAGGATGGTATGGGTTCATGACTTCAACAGGGAAGGCGGCCACAGTTAAGACCCTGTTTGCGCAGGTTCAACCTGCAGCCTTTTTTTTATAAATGGTTCAACCGAAAACCGTCTCCAGTACTTGTTGCCATCGATTGCCACCGCCATCGATTTCCATCATTTTCATGGCGATGATCATCCGCAACTTCGACCTGAGTGCCACAAAGCTACCACCTGCCGGTTCTGAAATGCTACATGTAACTTCCAAAGCGAGGGATGGTCTGTGGCTGCCCAAAGCGCGGCAGCTGGGCTAGGATGAGCTCGGGTGAGCTGTGACCCTTCTGGGAACTTCTGATCCCTCTCTATACTTTGCGGATCTTTGTCGTTTCAGGAAAATAGAATCCTGCAACATGCCCCCGCACCCCGTCCCCTGGCCCTTCCCACATACACATGGGCACCCGCACGCCCATATGCCTTTCATGGCCTTTCTGTAAACAATTCTTCACACATGCCAAAATGCTTGGGACATCCGTACATTGTAGCTTTTGGCCCAGACAGCACGGCTTAAAAAGCGGCGTGCATGTTTTTTTTTGAACTACACAGCCAAAACAATTTTGACATTGACATAGTGGCCAAGTCATGCAAATACGATGCATATTGAATTGATGTTCATGGTCAAACGTTAATGCTACATTGCTCCAAGTCGAGTTTCTCACGACCATTTCTCCACGGGTTTCAGATGGTTTCAGGCTTTCCATCACAATTTCAACATGAACTGGGCTCCTTGTTCCAAGATGAAGTGTAAATAAGCCCCAACTCCATTCGCCCATGCTTCAGCAGTACGATGTGGAACCTGACCTTCCCCACCGCATTGGTTGCACCATGCCATGGCTGTAGAGCGTATTGATCCCAAAATGGAGAGTCAGGCAAGGAGAGGATCAGACCAGCGACACCATGGCACAAGCAAAGCTTTGATGCTCTGCGTTTGTTACATTTTGTTACTGACCATTCGTCCGGAAGAACAACTGCTGTTTTTTTCTCCAGGCGTTTCTTTTTAATTTCATGTGGAGCCAAGTGGAGTTGTCGATGGAAGCCGAAGGCCACTCGACATGGCAGCACCATCTTTAAGGAGCGATTGTCGATTTGTATTGTATTTCGTGGGCAGGTTTGCGTGTTTCGGACACATCACATGATGTTACATCGAAAAAAATAATCATATTTATCATTTTATAATATTTTATATCTATTTATATATTTTTATTTATATATCCTTTAATATCCTATATATTATCCTATCAATTTATACGTAAAAAAACAATGAAAAATACACACATACTCACTCTGCATTTCTCCTGGTCGGACTTAGCCAAGTGGGTGATGTGGGTGACCCTTGTGGGTGACGGAACGGGGAAGTGCTTGGTTGCACCGACAGAGGAGCTTTTGGCTCAGTGATCATGTCTGGTTGGGGCCCAAGGGCCCAAGGGCCGAACAAGACCTGGCAGACACATAAGCATCCAGCAAATTGATGCAAATTTGCAATCCCCGCTAGGGCGCTGTATCAACAGAATGTCGAAAACAACTAATGACACATGTAATTGTTCAAGGAATCAAGTGGACTGAACACGTGCACTCAGAATATCTCAGAGTGTCTTCAGGCATCGTTCATGACGAGAGTGCTCGTTTGTACGTACTTCACGTGGAGACGTCTGGGCCTCAGCCGCTGGAGGGGGGTTGGTGTAGGTCACTCTTGATAGTCTGATCGACTCTGGGGAGTTGCCAAAACTATTCTTCCAGGTTTGTCCCAGGCCTTTGCCCCACAATTGCCCAGTTTCCAGACTGGGTGGGTACCTTGCTGTATGTCTTAGTTGGCAGCCTCAGGACATGCTGAATCCCACTCCACTGGGTCAATGCAACCTTCATATTCATGTGTTCAAATTCTTTCATTATTACATTTTAGGAACATATATCATCAATATATTACTGTATACTGTATACATTATATAATACAATCTATACATGATATATTATAATATAAACTATGAGTCATCATGATTTATGTCACAATTAATGCAAGTTAGCTCCTGCCACTTGCTGCCCGGCAGGCTGAAGTTCGCCCAAAGCCTCGATTTCAACTCCTGTCCTGTGGCCCAAGGGATACTAAGAGAAACCACCCCTAAATGAGCAGCGTCAAAAACCTCCAAGTAAGAAAATTATATGGGGATGAAACTAGGTTGGGCCCGCGGAAGTGAAACCCACGGCCACGGAAGCGTGCGGAAGCGCTCGCGGAAGCAGACGCTGATCGTCCGATCGCGGAAGGGCCGCGGAAAACGGTTTTAACTAATCTTCACAAGGAGCTTGTTTTCGCGGAAGCTCCGCGGAAGCAGAATCAACTTACCAATCATCCGCGGAAGCTGAAACTGTGCTTGCGGAAGCAGCGCGGAAGACCGCGCGGAAGACAAGTAGGATTAGAAGAGAATTACGTAGCGGTTTTCGCCACCGCTCAAAATGGGTTTGAATCCCTGGTTTGGGAACAATAATTATGTTTGTGCAGATCTATAGTATAGTTATAGTCTCCATTCTTTTCAATGCTTTGGTCACAGTCAATGTGCTGCCCACAGTGCGTGTTGTCCATATGTGACCCGTTCATTCATGGACAGGTTGAGCAGTTCTCCATGGTTTGCAATTTTGATAATCATGAGCTTTAGAGTCGAAAGGGGTTTTGTTTGTCGACTCGACTTTGGGCCGGTGGCATATTGCCTTGAAAGACATTGGACATGTTGAACATTTGCCAATGCTTTACTTGGCATCTCGAACTAATGGGTCTTCGAAGTGATTTCATGCTGCCTCTCAGCACGCGACGCTTGGGGCCAACAAATATGAAGCTGGAGAAGTGACACATATAAATCTTGACCTGAGCTAGGATCACGTTGCCCGGGTTTTTTTGTTCTGGTAGATCCAACAAAGGTCCGGTTCCAAACAGTCACTGAGAATGTGTGCCATTTTAATGAAAAGAGATGAACACAGAAACCTCAGCTCTCAAGATGAAATCTCCACAAAGAGATCCCAGAGACCCAAACTCCCAAGTCTACTATGACTACTATGACTATGACCTGAGTTTTTTTGAGAACACCACGTGTAAATACTTGTAATATCTTGTAATGCCCTCGTAACTCAACCTGACTCTTTTTTGTCACAGCTGTGGAACGTGGCCGTTGGTGCCATGGATGAAAAGCTTCCAGATTATTACAAGGTGCGAATGTGCTGTGGCGCTCCGTTGATGCCAGTTCTGAGCCAGTTTTGGGCAAGATTTGAAGTGATACTAATACGCATATATATATATATATACATATATATATATATATTAATGCGATTCTCTTGCTACTGAATTTTTGAAGTAAAGCCATTGGAATCAGAAGAAACACAAGAACCTGATCAACCTGGATTTGATGCGCTAGGTGCTAGGCATCACTAGTGATGCCGAGATTGATGCGATCAAGAAAGCCTATCGGCAGCTCGCCCTGAAGTGGCATCCCGACAAGAACGACACTCGGAGCTGAACACTGGGATGGGACAGTTGTCGAGCCAAGTCAGTGGTAGGGGCGGAAGCAGAGCATTACAATCATTACACATATTTACACATATTTACACATATTTACACAATATAGGAATCCAATGGAATCCACATCAAATCACATCAACTTAAAATCGTTGACAGAGTGCCAAGTGTTGCCAGGGAATCCATGAGAATCCGACAGAGTTTCTTGAGAGAGTATTCACATGTATTCACCCTTTGGATTCTTTGGATCCTTCGGATTTTGCCTTTCCTTCTGATGACTAGAGCTTTTGGTGATGGTAAAGTTTGTTGGCCAAGGACGGTGATGCTGCAGCAGCGGAGAAGTTTAAGGCCGGGCGTGTGCCATGTTCTTTGACCACGGCACCGCTTGACCATTGCGTTCTACACTGCCACTGAGTTTGATTGGCGAAGTTACATATAATGTTGAAATATGTTGAAATTATGTTGCATAGCTCACCATCGGTCTGCGTTCAATTGGTTCGGATTGGTTCGGTACTACACTGGAATTCCAAGCAACTGAAAGTTTCAAATTACGACTGGAAGGAGCTGGCCGAAGCATTCACTGTTCTCAGCGACGCAGAACAGCGAAAGAGCTATGACCAGGACAGAATTGGGCAACGCGTTGCATGAACAAATGTCAAGCACGCCGAAGCATTCGTGGAAGAACGGCACAGGCAGTTGCTGAAGAATGAATGGATTGGATAGATTGCCTCCTGGAATGGGATGAAGGCAACTTTTTAAGCCTGATAGATACTGTATGACTTGATGTCTATATAAGTTATAATATATTATATATAATATACTTATATTTCTATATGATTTTATATATCTAATGGATGGTAAACCAAGATTTCCTGCAAGATTTCTCTTAAACCAGGGCAATGATTGTCGCTTTCAACAGGAGCGTCTGGCTGCTGCGCGTGGTGATTTACGCCGGCGCCAACCCAGGTCCAAAACTATGGAGGCGCCGTGACCAGGGATCCGTGAATAGGCCGTTTGGGGAGTAAACAATTAGATCAATTAGTAGCAATCGCAGGATCTGAGTTGATGAAGGATCACAGCTTGGCTGAGTTGGACCATTGTATTGTATTAATCCATTTCAAGCCTGGAGTTCCAAGGTTTGTCAATAGATCTTGTAGGATTCTGCAGGATCTTGTAGGGTTACCAACCTGAAAACTTTGGACCCTGCAGGCTGCTATAGCCAAGACGATGCGTGAAGCTCGAGACAAGTCAGGAGACCTGGGGACCTGAAAACTTTGGACCCGGCCGTGGAGCATGCGGACACCAAGTCTTCGGTGTGACTTGGGAGGTAGCTGGGATATATTGGGATATCCATGGATATCCATGGATTTCCTACAAAGTTGACAAAATCTGTGCAGTAAAGACCCTTGGGGGGCTGGGAAAGTGTTTGTAGATATGAGATATGGCTAGATATGGCCAGATATGGAGCTGCCGATTTTGACTCGAGGTCCCAATGTGCCACCTTTTGCCACTGAAGTGCTGGACAAGTGTCCAACATCTACATTTATGCAACCTTATTCTTTGACTTCAATGGTTATTTTATCAACTTATCTATGCGTTTGCCTTTTGCTTCAATTTTGAAGCTGGTATAAATGAAGGGTGACATTTGCAGACGAAGAAGAAGCACCTTGAAATGCGTTTTCTTGAGTTGTATGGTTGTTCAGATCAACAAGGCCTTCGCGGCCTTCCAGCATCCGCACATTCCCAGGTTCAAAGATGAAGCCAAAAAACCAACAAAGGAGGCTGCAGGCAGCAAGCTGCATCAATGACACACTGGGCTACTGAAGGTATACCTTTTTTTTAAAGGAGCATTCATTTTGAAAGATAATCAGCGAAGATCCATATGCCAACAGGCCAGAGTTCCAAGCCATAGCAGTGAAGGAGCTGACATGGGCGTCAGGAAGCACATTTCCAGATTATCCTTATCACAGTCTCTGTCGCATTTTCGCACGCATTCGTTCCCACAATTTGAGAAAAAAAGGGGACATACTTGTGTACACTCTACACAGAACCGCAAAGACTGTGTTGAAGAAACATTGATCATTGCTCTAGGTTTCAATGCAAAATGGGACAGACATTGTCCCACCCCGGCCCTATTTTAGCTTGGCCTCCAGCAGGGAGGACTTGGACATCAAGACATCGCACATGTTTCGATATTTACGGTTTGCGTCGGAAAGCCAAAGATATCAAGGATCTAAGTGTTGCAAAAACAAGCAAAAAGATGCAACAATGAAATTATAGCTGCTGCTGTAATGCAAGTATATAGGACAGTATAGGACACACACACACGTCACACACTTGCACATTGGCCACCATGGTCAGTCCTGGTTGCAAGTTGATGAATTTTGATGGTGATGTAGTCAGGTTGCGACTGGGGAATGGTTTTGATCATCGGTGTGGGCTCTTTGATTGCGTGCTGTCCTCAGCCTGGTGTCCAAGTATAAAGTAAAGCCTATTTGCAAAGGCAAAACTTACCGCAGAGAAGTTCACTGAAACCACACATTGCTTTTTGACTTGAAGTGACTAGAATGAAAGTGGCATTTCTACTAATTCATTTATTCAATCTATTCCATGTTTTTCGCCTGCGATGTTCAAAAGGTGCTTCAAATCCATTCCCACTCTTATGTCCTGCGTGTCCTGCAAATCATCAGCAACATTGACACCTGACGTCCTTACTGTCCCAGGTTGTGGGTAGCTGTTGGCTGATGAGCCCATGCTACTTTTGCTGAGAGTGGCTGCCAGTTTCTTTGATCGAATGATCAGCCTAAAAAGAAATGTGGTCCGCCTGCCTATTTGATCTGAAGTATTCTTTTCCAGTAAACTGGCAAAGAGGACTCTCAAAGAGGATTCCTTGCTTTTGCCACAAACCATCTCTAAGCGGAGTTCCCAAAGCTGTGGCACCGTTGGAGAGGACGCTGTTGGCTGAAAAATACCAGGGCTGCCGGAAGGATTGAAAGGTGCATTTTTGGTGTAGAGTGTAGAGTCATAGAATGCGCTTCCCCTTTCCTTTTCTGGTGCCACGGTCCTCAAAAGCCGTTTGCCCTTGTGACTTCTTGCCTCCACCAGAGCTGATGCTACCAAGGTCAGTGTCATTGGTATGTGGGTAGCGCTCACAACGCTTCAGCACTGCTTCCCGTGACACCTCCTGGGTACGAAGTCCCAGCGTGACCGGTTATCAAAGATATCAACCCCCAAAGGATTTCATTATAGGACCTATATACACGGTACATCTCAACATATCTCAACCAGCAATGTCTCAGGCAGAAGCATCTCTTGGACTTCTGTACCTTCGTAGTGGCGGACGCGGAGGCAGTTAACCTTGAACAAGGGAAAGGGGCATGGCACTGGAGATGTTGGTATGGTATGGGTTTTGGAATGTTTTGGACAGCGACCCAACCTTTTTTTAGATGAAGCGACCTCTCAATTGTGCGGTGAGACGACTACTATAAGCCCTCTCCACCGTTGCATCAGCCTTTGCAAATGTTCAGGACCCCATAATTCTTACACACATCTGTGGTCAGAACCTGCATCAGACCAACTTTGTTGTTGTAATTACTTGGTGAATACATTGCATCTGATGTTTTACAATGATTTATATACATGTTTGTTTTCCATGTTTTTCCTCATATTTCCATATAATTCCCGCAGCTGCAGGCGGACGTGGAGGTGAAATTAACAGTGGCCACTGCGGGGACACCAAATCTCGATGGAAAGAGAGATGGAATGGGCCAGAACACCAAGCATTGTGTCTTATGATAACATTATGATAGTATTATGATCATTATGGAATATGATGCAGCATTGGAGAATGTTTCCTCACCAGTTTGCACCTGACTGAAAATGACTGAAACATTGGAGGAATCTGAAGCAATCTGAAGCAGTGTAGGATATTGGAGAACAGCCGCGCTCGGCCACGGGGTTGACGTCCTGCCAGTGATTTTTTGTGGCTCTGCGAGGTTGAGGGCGAGCATTTCGTTGAAGCCTTGGTGGGTGGTCAGAGAGGCATACAAGGCATACAAGGCATACAAGGCATACAAGGCATCCATTTTTTGCGAAACGGATCGAAATGGCGTGAACAAATTGGACAAAGGTATTACAAAGGTCATAGATGACAGGGATGGTTCCAAACATTTCCAATCACTGAAGTGGACTCAATTTCTTTCGCCTCACGCTCAACTGTGACTGGTGTAACTAGCATATTAGTCATATGCGGATGGGTCAAAACCTACTATTACGTATTATTACGGCCAGACGCTGCGTGTTGCCCGGAAAGTTCACATGGCGTTTACTGTAAGCATTGTCCTTCAACATGCTCAAATACCTGCGCAGGGCCAGTGCTTTGAGATTTCCCAGACGGCGAGCCCTAAATCCTAAACCCAAAACCCAAACACCTAAAACCCTAAAACCTTAAACCCTAAAACCTGAAAACTTTGAATCCTAAACCAGAAAACTCTGTGTATATGCAATATTTTCTGCAATCTCTCCTATCTTATTCAACAACACAACATCCTCAATGTTAATGTCTGGGCAACACGTGGCGTTTGTGGGTATTATTGCTATGTTTTGGGGAATAAACAATAATAAACATCCATTAACCAGCTATGTTAAGGTACGTAGATACATCGATCATATCAAATCGAATCCATCTTTGTGGGCTCTCAGGCAGTGTACTTTGGTCAGTTGACGGGTCTGGCACAAGATCAGCAGTTTGTCAGGACTGTCCAGTCAGTTCGGGAGCATGATTGTTTCCAACACGTCAGAGTTCTTGAGGAATCACATATAGATATATAAATGTCGCTTGCAAGCGCGAAGCAAAGAGAATCCTCAAAGGTTCTATGCCCTCAAGATGGAACAAACGCCATTTATACTGATGTGTAACGATGCTGTCAGCAAGGTCAATCTGCTCGGTGTCAGGCGTGATTTGGAACTCAGGAACGTTCAAGGCACTGTCCGAACGCCCAGAGGAAGTCCGCTTTGGTGTTTGGAATGTTTGGGTGCAGCCGTGACACATGTGTCCTTCATCAGATGTGGGGTGACAGCATCGTGTCCCCTACGGGTCGAGGAGCTCAAAGGGACTGATATATAATGATATACACATATAATTATTGCAGCTTTGCAAATTTGGTACACTTTTGAGCAGCTCATGTTGATTCATGTTGCCTTTTTCCTCTCAACTCGCAGCTTACTTCCTAGCAATGGCCCATCACAGCACAGCATTGCCTATTTCATGCCTAGCCTTAGGTTGCTACGGCAGCAGTCTTTTGTGCCCTGCAGCAGCGTTGGACGGTGCGGTCGCTCAGTGTAAAGGATGCATCTCGGTGCCGCGAAACAATTTCAGCCAGGTTGGCCGTGGTGCTTGCGCACGCTTACCGGGTGATGCAATCGTTGTGGCTTGGCAGCAGGTCTGGCCGCCGAAAGCCTTCTGAGGAGACCAGACGCAAATGTAAGCATTGATGCTGCGCCCATGTGACAGATACGACAGCATTCAGATCTGAGCACAGTTCAGTCAAAAAAGGTTGGGGCGCAGAGCTTTGTGCCTTTTCCCTTGCAGTTGTATTGCTTATGCAATGATGCAATCCTCTTGCTGGTGCTGAGCACAGCTTTGTCTTGCACAATATGGTCTTGGCAAATTCATTTTTTATTTTGCACAATTCTCCCAAGCTTAAGTGCCCTTGCAGAAGTACTTTTGAAATCGTTTGAAGCCAAAGAGGTGTCATGAAGTTTTAAGTTTTATGTGATCTAACGAATCTAATGTATGCCATATGCGCCTTGCCGATTCTCAGGTGGGGCCGGAAGATACGCAAGCATCATACGTGCGTTGGCCCAGTTGGCAATCTCTGTGCAGGGTGGCGAAATGACCCAGATGTGCTGCTTATCTGTTGATCCTGTTTGCTTCATGCTGAGACAAGAGCCCTCAGATCTGAGTATGAAACATTATGAAACACTATGAAATATTATGAAATATTAATCAAATTAATCACCACTCTGGAGAGCAATGCTCTCAGCTCAAAGCTGTTCAACTGTCATCATGATGGTCCCTATAGTATAGCCGTATAGCCATGTATAGCATATATAGTTTCCATCATATCTTTTCCATATCCTGGTTTAGAGATGCCGTGCCATGATATCAGTGATATGCATTCCGAGGTTTTACAACATATTTTCCCAGAGGCTGAACCCACACAGGCCGTGGACTCAATGAATGAAGGTGGAGGATGGTGGAGGAGTGCAACCATACCATCCAACATGGCAATATATGGCAATGGCCTGACTTGATGTTTGTGTTTTGGAATGTTTCGGAGATCTCAAGGACACTTCAGATATCTTCAGATTGTTTCGAAATGTTCGTTTCATCTGTTCAGACTTCACCAGAAACACACGTTGACTTGCGATTCGGTTGCCATTCCATGGCCCATGGCCCTTCAGGTGGAACCTTCTGGTGAGTCCCAGGGCGGCCCTGGCCTCGGGAGAAAGGATCCAGTGTCCAGTGTCGAAGTGGCCACTCGAATCATCGACCGATGGGCTGAGGAGCAGACAACGTCACGGTTCCCAGATCCCATTGCTGATGTGGATGGTGTTTGATGATGTTTGGGGATGCTCTGATGTATTAATATTATTAGTAGTAGTATCATTATTATTATTATTATCACGTACAATTATATACGATTAAGTACAGTATATATGATTATATACTATGATATACTCAAGATACTAGCTTCATTTGGCATCAAAGCAAACAATGTCAGCACCTCAACAGCTTGAGAACCCTTCACATGCCGAAGCATGTGAATGTAGAGTCAGGCGTCAGGGGAAATCCACAGAAATCCACTCCCACAGTAGTGATTTTGATGTGATTTCTTTCTGTCAAACTTTCGCGTCCGTTCTTTATTGACGCCAAGAGACGTGAGGTGTCAAAGGCTCCGGTGAAGGAGGCACCTTGGAGAAATGGACATGGACAACATTCTCAAGATGCACGTGTGTTGATGATTGTTCATGTATGTTCACCACCCAACTGACAGGAAGTTTTTGGGTGCACACTAGATCAACATGACACACAATATGTCCTCTTCCACTGCACACAAGATTAAAATAGATTACTGTAAAGGGCTATCCTGAGGCGGTCCTGATGATCAGGACATATCAGGACTATCCAGCACTATTCAACCGATCAGGCAGATCAGGTCATCAATCATAGAATTTCCAGCTTCGTTGGTTGACTCATCTCCATGCTCCCATCAGGTCCGTCGATCCTCGAAAGCCAGAGACTTACACCGTCTGGGTTCATTATATGATGAATGAGAATGAATGAGCCGAAGAAAACAATGGAGATGACCTGGACATGTTGTGTAAGATCATGCCTTTGTGAAGCAGAAATTCAGGAGGTTGCAGCTGCCAAGCGTGACAGGTGACATATGGTGTATGGTGATCCTTGTGATCCACCTGTCAGGTGAAACGTCGATCAATCCGCAAGCGGAGCAATGCCGTGGAGGGCGATGGCGGCGCCGCGACCGAGATCGACAGGAGCCTTGGTGAAGGGATGCAGCCGACAGCCATATTTTTGTGTATCAATGTAGCATAGCTATAATTCTTAGTATTTCCGGAATGAATTCCAATTAAATTAGTTTCATTAGAATTATAAAATATGTTATTTATATTATCCTTATCATTCTCCGTTTTACTTGATTTATATGTTTTATTTAGAATGAATATTGGTTATCCTTTTGTATGCCTAAGATGTCGAGATTTCTTCCAGATTCGAGATGTGATGGTTTGAAGGTAAGGATTTGCTCATGTTATTCTTTTGCTGGCAACTGCATCACGCAGATGCTTCGCTCCTTGCAAGTATTGTATCGTTTGATGTCAGTCTGCGTCAACGTGTTTGTTTTTCTTTTGTTTAGTGTACTTTGGGTGGGGTGGTTTGGGGCATGGGCAGGGGGTGTGTTGGGGCGAACGTCCAGTTTTCTGCATGGCGATTTGTTTGCACGGCTGCCGAATCACATGATCAAATGCATGCAATGACCGATTGCTTTCACTCACGTTCAGTGCACAGGAAGACAATGGTAAGATAATGGCAATGGTAAGATAATGGCAATGGTAAGAAAATGGCACGAGAATGGTACGGCAATCTGCGGGTTGCAGGCATGATGATCCAATATATATATATAATTATATATATTATGATCCAATAAAATCTCCAATGCTCTCAGCCGACGTTACCCAGGATTGACAGCAAAGCTCCAGCCTCTTCAGAGATGGCCGACCAAAATCCTTGTCCCTTGGCGACGCTTTGGCGGTGATGGCACGCTGTTTAAATTTGTGAAACGATGTGATAAGTCTGATAGGTATTGAAAAGATGTGAAAAGTCGATTCTTAGATATTCTATGATATTCTTAGATTCTTATCAATTCAACACATTCCAACGTCATCAAATGTTTGATGACTCAGACACCCAGTTTTTTTCATTTTTTTCATCCATGGATAATAGCTATATAGTCCTAATTCCCAAGGGATCCAAATTTTGGGTCCGGGTCAGGTCCGAGCTGCTGCGGCTTGACTGGCAGCCCCGCCCTTGGGAGCCTTCGGAGTCCCGGCGACAGCGATGGCACTTCGCCCACCCGGGCGGAGAGCGAAACCTGTCCGGAGGCGCCCTTTTAGGATGGCAGATTTCTGACCCAATTTTTGGCCTCCGGATGCCTCCACTAATCATCCGTGGCAAAAGGGACAATTCATCTGACAATTCCCCATTTTGTTGAGGTAAAACATGGTAAAACCACAATGTATCGGTGGAATCGGTCGAGATTTGGAGATACGAGATGGGCAAATTGGGAAATGCCACAGCTATGAAGGCGATTGCAGTTTCATCATTGGAAAGTGTGGTTCACCCGATCGAGCCATAACTCCATTTGCAGTTACATGTGGTCAAAGGACCATAAGGTTCAAAAGTTGGATGGCATGCAACATGGCATGACCACCTGCACAAAGATGACACGCCATTGAACAAATGGCTCAAGATGCAAGCTCTTGAAAAGATAGAGCGCGTCAGCAGCTGCAAAGTTGCACCTGTGTGAAAACCACGGGTTATGAGCCCAAAGTGACTCTACCTGGCATGGAGTTGAGCCGACGGCGAGATTCGTCCTTGCAGCGGCGTGCAGCTCAAGCGCTGGCTGATGAAGCGGCTGATGCGCAGTTGCAGCGGTTGGTGGACGACGTGGCAGCGACTGGGACTTCTGGGGCAACAGCCTTGTCCGATGTGCCTGGGAATACTGGGATGGTGTCTGGTGTTTCTGGGGGTGACTTGTTAGCTGGTTTGCAACCCATAGGTCCACCGATGTCCTTCTCTCCGGGTGATTTTCTTGAGCCAGTTAGAGGTGAAACTACTAAAGGCGAAAAGAACCTCGAGGTAAAGGGAGAAAATCCTGAAGTGAAACGTGTTGTTGTGTCTGAACCGAGTTCTGATACCCGTAGAAGTGATGGTGCTGACGGGAATGCCTCTGGTTCCCCCCAAAATGGTAACGGTAAAGGTCAAGGAGGCCATGTTGCCACGGGAAAGGGAAACGGTGGGACCCAACAAGTTACCCAGGGTTCAAGGGTTCGGCAGGCGAAAAATGAGCCTGGCCAGCCAAGTGGGTTGGACAGGAATGTTGTCGGTGAAAACCCTCCTCAAATGTGGGTCACCGGTGATGTTGTGGGGAAAAATGAAATCCCAAAAAATGTGGTGCAACATGGTAGTGAAAAACATGTTGTTCATGGCCAAGGGGTAGAGGGATCAATGCCTAGTGGTTTGGGGGTCCAAAGCCAAGTGAACCCGTTTTGGAGTCCTGACTGCAAACGTGAAGCTCTTCGAGAAGCTTATGGGCCTGGCTATGAAGGTCAGGACCTTATGCGACTTGGTTTTAGTGCTGGGTTTCAGGATGCTTCGCAACTTGGATTTAGCGCTGGGATTCAGGAGCCACTGCAGTCGGTGTCAAACACCACCACACCACAAAAAGGGTATGTTGAAATGGATCCTGTTGAGCTCTTTAGGCTTAGGTGTTTGCGTGATGCCGAAGAAAGGTTTCGGCAAGGTGTGCTGTCTTTGAAGTCCGAACCAAAAAGGGGAGTAGGACAAAAGATGGTTTTTGATGAATGTTGTGAGGGTTTGGGAGTTGTTGGTGGAAAAGAGGATGGCATGAAAAATGAACCATCCCTGCAAGGGTCACAAAGTTCCTTTGTTTCGGTGCCAGAGCCTTTGGTTGAACTGTTTATCCCTAGGCCTCCACCGGGTCCACCACCACCTTCGCCTCCGAAAGTGTCTGTTGTGGGATGTGGGAATATTGTAGGGAATGTTTGCCCCCCGCCTCCTGTGTTGCCGCCATTTCCGCCTTCGATCACTGGCTTCGGCCCAAGCTCAGGCGTTTGTGGTGAAAATCCCTCGGAAAATCTGAGGACTGTGGATTTGCCGAAGTTGTCAGGTGATGCAACTGCGGTTCAATATGGTGATTGGCTCAGCGTGGTTGACACGATGATGGGCGACTTGTCGTACACCAGTGAAACTTGGTGGAAAATGGTCCGTAGTGTGTCGGATCAGTGTTATCAAACATGGTTGATTTCTGGACCTCTTGAAAGGTTGAATTTGAAACCTCAAGCCACTCCTGAAATGGGAATGTTTCCAAGAACTGAGCGTCGCGCACTATCCATGCTGTTGGCTGCAATTCCTGAAAATGTGAGGGATGAAATGATTGCTAGCCGAAAACTGACTGTTGACCAATTGCTCTTTCGGTTGTCAGTGTTGTTTCAACCTGGAGGGTCTGCTGAACGTACCAAATTGTTGCACATGTTGACCGATGGAAAATGTGGTAACAGTGTGAATGAGATTTTGGAATGGCTGCGTCAATGGAGAAGGAATGTTCAAAGGGCTGTAGAACTGAATGTTGTTCTCCCTGATGGTATTGTGCTGTTAGGTGCCCTTTCCAAATGCTCCGACTGCCTTAGCCAGAAATCTCCGCAAGTTGCCTACAGATTGAATTCGGTGCGCCAGCAGCTCAACCTTGACCGCCAGCCGCACACTGCCGTGATTCTTCGCTACTCCGAGCATCTTCAGGCTGAAGCTGAGGACTTGTCGCTTGGTGCTGGGGGAAAAACGGGGACAGCTGTGAAAGCTGCTGCATTGGGTGTTGATAGGCCTCCAGGGTTGCCACAAAATGGGGATGATGGGAAACCCCAAACTCAGAAAAAATATCCATGTAAGTATTGGATGACCGAAAGAGGGTGCACGAGAGGTGATTCATGTAAGTTTCATCATGCTCAGTTGGATCCCAGAAGTGGTAGATGTTTCAATTGTTCGGGTGTTGGACATTCACGGACTGACTGCCCAGTGAAAAAAGGGAATTGGAACCCCAAAAATGATACCCCAAAAAAGGTTGCCAAAACCACCAAAAGTGAGGGTAAGGGGACCCCCGAAAAGGGAAAGGGTTCTGGTGTCCATGAAAGCCCTGAAAAAACCTCAAATGCTGCCTCAACGGCAGATGTGTCTCTTGGATGTGAAACGTCAAAACGTACGGATGGGAGTGAGAATGGTGGGAACCCTGAAAATGTGTCGGGGATCATCACTGATGCTTCTACCTTGTTGAAAACGTTGAAACCGTGCAGTAAAGCGGTGAAGGTGAAACGGGTTATGCCCTCTGATGGGCCGACTGGTCTCTTGGATGGTGGTGCAACAAATGCACTCCGTAGGGGAACTCCGCAGGAATTGGAAGCCTCTGAAACTGTGTTGGTTGAATTGGCACATGGGTCTGTGGAACTGAAACAACACCCCCTTACGGGAACTATCCTTGCTGAAAAAGCCGTTGAACCCATTGTACCACTTCGAGGGTTGATCGAATTGGGTTTTGTCATCAAATGGGGTTCAAATGGATGTGAAATCAAACACCCCACCAGGGGCACAATCAATTGTTGGCTTCGGAATGGTTGTCCTGTTGTTTCCGAGTCAAATGCACTGGCCTTGATTTATGATGTGGAATCTATGGAAATGGCGAAAAGAATCCCTGTAGGAACTCATGAACCTACCCCCGGAAATGTTGAGGAATGGTGGAGTTCTAGGTTCCCAAATGTCCCAAAAAGAATTTGGAAATACATGAGTGGTCAAAACATGTCCTTACAGGGTTGTCACCTGCCGTGGAACCGTGCACAAAGGCGACGTCACTCTCAGGCCAAAGCACTGGTGATCCACTTGTATGCGGGCGAATCAGCCAAGGAATGGGATCATGGATGGCCGCCTGGACTGGAGGTTGTCACCTTGGACGTTCTGAACGGCCAGAATGTTCACGATCCGGCCACTTGGGCGTATGTCTGGGAACTGGCTGGTTCTGGAAAAGTCATTGCAATCATTGGTGGGCCACCTTGTAGGTCTGTGAGTCGAATGTTGGAAAAACAGCCTGGACCACCAAGACTTAGGGGACGTGATGGGGATGATCGTTTTGGCCTACCGATGTTGACTGAAGCCCAACAACAAAAAACTGATGGAGATACTGCGATGTTTCTCAAACAGTTGGGTTTATACATGCATGCTGAAGAAAGTTGGAACTCCGAAACATGGCCGCACATGGAACATGTCAAAAACAGGGTTGGGTTTTTCTTGGAATCCCCACAAGACCCGAAAACCTATCTTCCTGATGGGGCTGGCGATGAATCGGCTAGTTTTTGGGCATGGGAGGAAACCCTTGCGTTTTTGGCCAAGTATGAAAATGTTGGCATGAGCCTTCTCAGTTTTGATCAAGGTGCGTTTGGTCATGTTAGGGAAAAACCAACAACATGCATGTCAAACCTGCCTGATATGTGTGAACTTGATGGGTGCCGATCCGGTCAGAGGGAAAGGCATCTTGCTGTGCACTTGGATGAGCGATTGCAGCAGACCTCAACGTGGTCATTGTGGGCTCCTGGTCTTCGTGCTGCTCTCCGCACATCGTTGCTGGTCTTGGGTGAGTGGTATGGGTTGGCACCACCAAAGCTTTCCAAAAGTTTGGGGATTGAACAGTGGCGTCAACATATTGCCCAGGGTCACCAACCTTACCGAAGGGATTGTCGAACATGTGTTCTCAATATGGCGGGGGCGAAACCACATAGGCGACGGGAAAACCATGGTAGTTCTGCTTGGACTATGGCTGTTGATCTTGTTCCTTTGCCTAGGGCGCGAGACTTAGCCACCCGAAAAATTGTCAAATATGCCTTGGTTGCCACTGCACTTGTTCCGGTTTTTGGGGATAGTGAAACCTCCAATTCCTCTGAAATCCCAAAAGACCCAAAAAATGGTGATGATGTTGAACCCCCAAAAGAGGTTGTTGAAACTGTTGATGCCAATTGGGGGGAGGGTCTCGAAGAAAAGGAGTTTGTACTTCAGGGGGAGCCGGATGAACCATGTGATGACCCAAAAAAGGTCCCTGACGGTGATGATGATGAATATGAACCCTCAATTGCTGGGGATGATATCGTAGCTGACCTTTCCAAAGAACCCAAAAATGTCCCTGTCGATGCTGGGGATGAACCTTTGGATCCGGATGCTCAGCTGCACAAAGAGGTTGAACAGTTGTCAGCACCCTTGAAAGTCCGACATGTCACTTTGATGGAACCAGTCATGTCAAGGGGTGTTCAACATGTTTTGCCTGCCA